GTGGGCGAGGGGGAAGCCGGGGAGGTGGTGGAGGGCGGCTTTGATGAATGTTGCCTGCGGCTTTGGGGTTAGTATTCATGGTCTTTGTCTGATGGGTTTGTTCATGGGAGTTGATTTGTGTGTGGGAAAGGGGAAAGGGGGGGGGGTGAGGAGGAGGTTTGGTGGAGGATGAGAGGGGAGGGTGAGATGTATAGCGTGAGGAGGCGAGTGGGTAGAGTGAGGAGGCGAGTGGGTATAGAATAAAGTATAGAGTGAATAGTATCAGAGTGAAGAGGATAAGTCAGGGAAAGGACATGGGGAGTGAGACTGGGAGGGGAGAAAAACTCACATTCCAGCACCCAAGGATGATGCGTTCGTCCCAGGGCGTCGCAGACGACACTTCTGTAAGAGCACACGCAATGGCCCGCAGCAAATCATTCGGATTGTCGTCAATCTGAAGCAAACGATCCAGTCAAATCAGCAAACTCTGCTCTCTCTCTCTCTCCCCCCCTCTCTCTCTCTCACACACACACACACATACACACACAAAAAGATGGGATGAATGGAAAGGTTGAGTCTCACCTTAATGTCCAGCAAGACCCAAATCTTGTCCGTCTCCGGCCCAGAGACGAGATACTCGAGCAAGTCGACGAGTCTGGGCAACGCCTCGTGCGGCTCTTTGAGCGTGCGGAGACTGGAGAGATAGGACCAGGTGCAGTCCTTGATGAGCAGGTCGACGCCGAAGCATCTTTTGAGGGAGGGGTCCTATTACCGATCTCATTAGCCACCAAAGTTCATCTCATCTCATCTGATTTCACATGAAATCATTCATCGTCAGCAGGATTAAGAGTTTCAAACTTACATGAGAAAGCACAACGACGCCATCCTTGGAAAGATGCACGTCCGTCTCGATGGCATGCGCACCCACGTCCACCGCCTTGCGGAACGCGGCCATGCTGTTCTCCGGGAGGGCGGCCTTGAAGCCGCGGTGGGCGATGGCCTGCGGGAGGAAGCGCGAGGGGTTGCGGCGGGAGGGCATGGCCGAGGCCCATTTCGCGGCTGTTTCGAGTCAGCTATGCATTGTTCAAGGCTGATGGCGTTGACGATGATGATGATGATGATGATGATGATGATGGGAGATGATAAAGTGATGTAGTAGGTAGATGAGAGTTGCTCGAAATACGTACCCTTTGGGGCGGTAATGTCACGGTGCAGGGGACGCATCAAGGGCTGTCTCTCCGCAGAAGCCGTCATCTTCAAGGGCTTCTAAATTCTATATTTTGCTTCCAACACTCCTCTGCTCTGTTTTTTGATAACAACTGCAGAAAATGAAATGGAATGAAGCAAGAAGATAAAGGAAAACAAAGAACGGGTTTCTGTTTTAGTAATTTGGAGTTGCAGAGAGGAGGAGGAGGGGGGCGACTTTGCCCGGATCGACCGTTGGCAAAGCTGAGAAGATCAAATTGGGGTCGATTTCCGTTCCACGCAAGCCGGTTTTTTCGATTGGGCGGATATAAGTCGCTTGCTCAAGTCCGCTTCTCCGACGGGCTTTTGGTGTTTTGCCTTTCCGTCTTTTGCAATTGAACTTTTATCACAGGAAAAGAAGAGGAAGAGAAAGAGGGGGAAGAAGAAGAGGTTAAGAGGGAAGAGGGGGAGAGTAACTGGTCTCTTTTCAATCTCGCTCTTGTACGTGCTATCACGAAACTACATCCTCCCTCCCTCCATCCACCCAAAGTATCCATATAGTACATGTAGTATCTAAACATAGAGGTGTCAGGTCGGTATCATTGACTCACAACTCAAAAAGTTCCACTAAACAGAGCTGGCTTTCAACCAAATCTCGCATAGCAAGTGGGCAAACGATGAATGAATGAGGCCACGGGAGTCAACCACATGCGCTCTCTTCCGAGGTTGTGTGACCCTCTTTAGTCTAGAATATTCCGGTTTAATGATATATTTCTCGTTGGTTTGAACCCCTGAACAAGGTGTCTCTTTTGTCGCCACCTGCGTTTTATATCTTGTTTTTTTTTTATTGCCCATTGTCTATTTATATATCTAGTACCAAGCTTGGTGTAATTTGTATAGTCAAGTTATTAAGCTGTGTACATGATAAGCACCTTGTCTGTTCGGCTGCGGGAAGTGTAAAGTAGAATCTCACGGGTTGCCTCTAATGGTTCGCGCCAAAACTCCACCCTAGCAACACCTTTGTCCATTCATCCTTAAGTGCCCTGTAATCATACCTTTTCTTGCTATTACAGACCACTTCACTCATTCGCATACAATGCGTACCTGAAGATACATTTCAGCTACTGTAGGCACAGACAGTCATTGCACGCAGCTTAACCCGTACCAAAACCCACCCAAAATCATTCAATACCACACGCCCTGTCTCCTCTACACCTCTACCTACTATCCACCACACCACGCCTTACTGATAAACACACCACCTAACCCACCCCCTTTGGCATCTTTACAATCACCGCAAAAGCTGAAGAGGTCCCTCAACAAGTGCTACGTTACAAGACCAGTACAAACCGATAATAATAAAACAAATTTTCTTCCTTGCCCCCTTCCCTTCCCTCCTTGATCCCCTGTTGCGGCAAAAGCAACAGCATAGCCCGCGAGTCATCGTCCCGATCATGCTCCCTCTTCCCAATCAGGAGACAAAAAAGGGTCAGAAGGGTCCCCATCGCTAAGAGAGATGCGATATCGACCTGTCTTTCCCGGCCAGACAATGTAAAACGTGCTCTTGCTGCAGCGGAAGACGGGCGTCTGTGGCTCCGTCGCCTTCATCCCAAGTCAGCTTGGATATGTACATGTTCCTTTTCTCTTCTTCCGACGCAGCCATAATCATTTGATTTCATGCAGCTTGACGGGTGCCTTGCGGTACTAGTAGTAGTGTCATCGGTAGCTACATGCCGTATCATCGTCGACCAGGTGGGCCAGGGTCCAGGCACTGAGCCTTGTATAGCCTCGATTCAACATGCTGGTTCATGCACAGATAAGATGCCGTCAAGCCATCACGGAGCAGGGGTCATGGATATCAAACAGACTTCTTTTCAAAATCGTCGCGACGGTGATACCTATCCAAACAAGACCACGCGGCGTCAACAGAAAATCATGGAATGCAAATCAACAGACACGCACTCCATTCGTTCGCCCATATCCATCCATATCCTCCCTATCGGGCAGCTATCCGAAAAGCATGTAATCCCTCATATCTTCGTGGCAGCCTTGAAGCCACGACTTTTTTTTGGTCTGCCGACTCATAAGGAAACGATAGAAACAGGAAAAAAGACAAGAAATGTCCACAACAAATCGCTCCAGCATGTGCGCCAACCCAACAGAAGAACTGATTAGAAAAAACGTTACATCGGTAAATTGCAGTTTCAAATAAACCAAGCGCCTCATGTCGCCACCGCACCATAGCGCCGTGAAGGAAAAGAGTGAAATTCAAATGATGCGCCATTGGCTCACAAGGATAGTCCGTGTAGCCCGTCTGTTGAAAACCCGTCGCCGTTGTGATAGTTGACTTCCTGCAGCTGCTTTCCGTAGTCAACGCTTCCCAGGTGCAGCCCCAGCTCTGAAGGCGATACTTCCTCCCCCGAGCTGAGGCTCTCATCGCTCATGCTCAGCACGCTCTGCGGCGGCGCCGGGTTGCTTCCAAACTCGCCAATGTTGAAGTTGCTCAGGTCGAATGCGTCGGGCGACCAGTCGCTGCCCGTCGAGTGTCCCGCCATGGCAGCCTCGATGCTGGCCCCTCCGTAGATCACGTCATATACGTTGTTCATTCCGCTGTCCATGGACCCAACCAGTGCCTCCCAGTCCGAGTTGGACATGTTGGGCGTTTTGGCGGCTTGCTGCCCATGGTTCATGTAGCCCTGGCCGTCGTTCTGCATCCCCATGTGCTGCTGTCCCTGCATGTTGCCCGAGGGGGATGTGGCGTGCTTGTTCGTGAAGGGAGCGTCGTTGAGCGACAGGTAGTCAAGGTTCTGCCTCGGCTGGGCGCTGGGAGAAACCCTAGGCATCCGCGACGCCGACTGCTGGCGCTCTTGCCGGTGCCCGTCAAACGACTGGCGCGACGACGCCTGCTGCTGCTGGCCATCTCCGTTGGGACCCTGAAGAACCGCCACGTTGCCCATCCACCGCTTGTCCTGGTGACGGGTCAAGTCGGTCTCGCTCGCCGACGACGGGAACTGCACAGCCATCGGCGGCGAGCTTTGCTTGGGGAAGCTCGTCGGAGGCGATGCGCGACGGGGACCCGACGTCACTGACGACTTGCGGACGTGCTTGTTCATCAGCGCCGGCGCCGACGGGTCGGTGACGGTGATGAGCACGCTGGCGGCTCGTTCCAGGTCCACGAATCCCGGCGACTGGTTCTTGCGGAGCGTCTGGAGGACGTCGTTGACCAGGCGCTCGTCCTCGCGCAACATCTTGCTGTCGCGCTTCAGGTCAATGGCCTGGTACAGAAGCGTAAGAGCGCACACGGCCAGCAGATCGCACTTGTTCATGCAAAAGGAAAACGACAGGCTTCGTTCTTCCAGAAGCTGTGCGATCTGGATAATGTGTTTGCTGGACTCGCTGATGGAAATGAGCGCTGGCGCCGCCTTGGGCCCGAGGTTCGACCCAACGGCCGGGCGGTAGATGAGGGTGCGGATGTAGTAGTAAGTGAGTGACTGCCGTTTGTTAGTGCCTTAGTTCAGAGTAATTGATACTGGCCATGTCATGCGTTCACTTACCAAAAGAGGCGATCGGCTGCCAGTGACATCTGTCGATGGCTTGCCCTGGGCAAAGTTGAGCCTCAGGTGAGCTGGCAGATCTTGGTACCAGCCATCCAGTTCGGCCTCAAAGGCGCCCATCTGCTGCAGTGAGAGCTCGTAGCTGGCACACGCAGGGTAGTTCTTATCCAAGACGCGGGCAAGAATGCGGGTTGCCCTGAACAAGGCCAGGGCGCTGGAGATGCGCGTGAATTCTCCCGGCAGCGTGGGCAAGAATCCCTTCTCCGTCACGTATTCATCATCGGTGTCAGATGGGTATTCCGCTTGCACATCCTCCTCCTTGAGGAGTTTGGGAAGGCCGGTGATGGCAGCCGTCATGGTATCCAGGGCGTACAGTGTCCAAAAGACCTTTTTCCTTGTCTCAAGCGTCAATGCGCCAAAGGAGAAGCGCTTTTGGCTCTGGTGCAGACCTAATCGGTGAGAAAGGCCCACGGCTACGCACTTATAGTGCTGGAGGCGACGATAGTCGGCTCGGACCGTGCAGTACAGCAGGGCCAGCACGAGGCACTGCAATGTGCTCATGGTGTTCTCAAGCATCAGAGACTCGAGCGCTCTCGTCCATTGGTACTCGCAGGCAGCAACTTGCGGGATGTCTGGAGACTCCGATGAGAGGCCGGCGAGGGAGAAGACGAGGTAGAGCTGTGCGAGCTTGTAATTGCACTTGACCCTCTCCGGGTCATTGACAAACTCTTCATAGATGCGGAGAAAGGTGGGTTTGTGAAGGACAGGGAAGAGGGGCGCCCATTCCTGGAAGAAGACGTTGACACATCTGTCCGAGAAGATGCGAGGGGGGACTCTGGAGATCTGATCCGGCAGCTTGGCTACCAGTGGAGCGCAGCCTTGGATGTGCAGAAAGGCGTCTGGGGTAAAGTCACTGCATGGCTTGCCGCTATCTTGCATCTTACGCTTGAGGGAGGCTATACAGAAGATACGTCAGAACTGAAGCAATGGGCTTTGGGGAGCAAAAAAGGCTGCGCGTGCGCATCGTACGCTGTGTGCCTGGTGGGAACTGCGAAGAGCACGCCATGTGAGGCGCAGTATAAAGGGTATACAAAGGGTATGAACATACCAATAAAGGCGCGCCCGCTTGACGAACCCATAAAGTACGACTCTGAGTTCTCAACGCCCAGCAGCAGTTGTGTAGCTTGCACTCGGAATGTGTCCTCCTTCATTGTGGGCGAGTCTCTGGGGCCATCCGGTGACACGGGTGTGGCCATGGATGTGACTGAGGGCCTTCGTCGTGGCCCGCCGTGGCTGTTTGAGTGCATCGTCGAGAGCATCTCGATTTTCTCGTCCTTCTCATCCAGCAGGTCCTTGAGCTCGCGGACCTCGCTCTCCAGCGCGCGCACCCGCTCCTCCAGCGACTCTGTGTATCCGCGCGGGAACGCACGTCGGCTCAGCTTGTCGCTGGTGCGGCACTCGAAGCCGACCGAGGCACATTGTGAACATGTCGGCCGGACGCCGTCGCAGCGGATCTTCTTGCTGCGGCAGCGGTCACAGGCCTGGGCGATGCGGCTCTGGGCGCTGTTGCCCACCTTGATGACTTTCATAGGCAGGATGCCCGGCATGGTGGCGGCGGCGATCCGAGCGTCGCTTGAAGAATGCTAATACGACTACTGGGAGACGAGGTGAAGAGATCGAGCGTGGTCGTTGGTCAAGGCTCTGCGGGAGCAATCAACGCTTGGGGACTGGGGCTTCCTTCGCCCACCAGCCGTTGGTTGGCGCAACAGGGCGGATGGCAAATGCGCGGTAGCGGTTGGCTGGAGTTGCTTGTGGCTCGAGTCGGGTCGCCCTTCGACAAGCACGGCGATGTCGTGATATTCGGTCCTGGGGAGTGGGATGCTCGGGTCATGCGAGGTTGAAGATGTTTGGTTCTCCTGGTCGGCGGTCGAGAAGATGCGGATCGTCAGCGAAAGAATATTGTGGGGGGTGAGAGATGAGATGGAAAGGAAAGGGAAGGGAAGCGAGGAGAGCAGAGAATGGCGAAGTGGAGCCTAAAAAGGACAAAGGAGCAGAGCATGAATCAAATCCCGGGGAAGGGGATTGGCCGGTTTGATGACGGGCAATGCGCTGGAGCTGGGCTTTGTAGGGCCCTAGAGCGCTGCAACTGCTCTGGCCCGGACGCTAAGGGTGCTGCTAACCAGCGCCTGGGCAGCCTGTATTTTAGGCACGCACAGAGGGTTGCAACCATCAATTGAAGTCCATGCTGCCTCGCGATTCCCAGACCGCGAACATGGTCCTCATCATGATCTGCCTCGCTTCGTATCTCGTTTAAACCGCAGAAGTAGCATCGCATTGCATGGCATCGCATCGCGACCACCGAAGTTCTCTTACTCCTTGCATACAGGCATAGGTAGGTAGGTACAGCCTAGCATAAGTGCTACTCCGTAGGTAGGTACCTCCAAGCACAACCAAACCTGAAGCCACGCCAGCCCGCGCAGTTGCTGATTGCAAGCCGCACGCCCCTAAGAGGCACATCGTCGCCGTGACTGGACAGCAGCCGGGCTGCCGTGCTCCACAGCTCTGCAACTCGCTGTTGGGTCTACTTGTACGAGTACTGTCTCCTCGGGTGGTGGCTCCTTTGACGTTGTTCTCTCTCTCTCTCTCTTCAACGTGTGTCGTCTTTCTTCATCTTCGTCGCTCGGCTAGTGGCCCCCTGTTGTAGGCCACGAGATGCGAGGGTCGCCCCCCACTCCGGCTCTTCCTCTTTAGCCATTGGCGATTGATGGGATCAAGGGCTTGTACTAACGATCCAGCTGCTTTTCTAGCCTGCCAAGTTGTTTGCCATCCATCGGTACCGAGCGAGAACGACGTTGGTAATACTAACGGCAGATTGTCATCCTCATCATCATATTCTGTCTCAAGCAAAACAGACGCTGAGACACAGCAGCCTGTCTCGCGCTGAAGAACGAAACGGAAACCCTTACCCAGCATCGCGACATTTTAGCCCCGACCGCCGCAACTCGCATGCCCATCCGGAACCCACATGGGCTGGCCATTCAGTCCGATATACGGCGACGTGGAGGGTCTCTGACGCGGGATTCAGGTCGAGCGCAAAAGTCAGGAAAATGCAACCCATTGTCCCCAACAGCACAGCCGCGTTCCCATCACACTCTTCCGCCTGCTCTCCTTCTTCCGCCTTCGAATACCCGTCAATTTCACTGCACAAACCCGGTCTCTTTTGTCACCAAGCCGTCCAACGCAGGAACTCGTAGAATTCGCTCTAGAACACGCCTCCTAGTCCTTGTCAACAGCTAGCGCCGAGACAAACGTCGACTGTGGCCTGATTTACCCCAGATTTCCCGCGGTTTGCCCCCCTCTGAGGCGCACATGGTGCGGGGTGGAAAAAAGCCGGGGGAGAGCAGCTCGTTCGCGCTTCTTCTTCTCATACCGTGTGAACCATGTCATTCGTACGAGGACGGCGGATACTTGATGACGACGGCCGTGGTGGACGGGAAATGTGAGCGGAAATCCCATGACTGGTGGCGTTCGTATGTACTGTGTTTACGCAGACCGAAGGACAAGGACACGGAGTACTTACAGACAGGTACCGATGCTTTTGTCTGTTTCGCCTCCCACTCATCTCGATAACGTGACCTGCACAGCCGTTGCCAAACAACGTGATGCTTCCATTGCCAGCCTACCTGTACGCGAATAGACGGCACTGCCGGAATCGAACAAGTCTGCTTGGTTTTCTCGTGTCTTACTGCAGTCATTCGGCGTGCAATAAACTCCCCGACCAGCGAGCGAGCATGTAAAAACGTGGGATTTAGCGGAACAGACCGGCACATCCGGACCCTTGCCTGAATGCCGTCAGCTTCCTTCGCTGCACCAACTCCGGGGACCACGCGACATCGCAGCGACACTGCTAATAGTTAAAGGGAATAGGCCCAGAACCATGTTCGCAGATTATGCGTGTGTGCTGCTTCGTACTTCGTAAAGGTATGCGATTCCCATCCGGGCATGCAGCTCCATCTGGTAGTTGGAACCTTGTAGGTGTCTTCGCTCAAGGTACGAAGCATTCAAAGTGCTCTGATTCAGTTCGACTTCACACCCAATTCGTTCATCCCTCCCAAGCGTTTCACTGTGTCCAAGGCCATCGTGAGATCGGCAACTATCGTAGGAAGATGCCTTGTCGGCACATCTATTATCCTTGATGGCCATATCTAGCGCTTGACATCCCCGTATTTTGCGCCAAAGTTTGGGGTAGTGGCATCTCCATGCCAAGGTTGTTTGCTAACGCTTCCAATCTTGGACATGGGGTGCATCGAAGGGGAAAGCTTGAAGCTTATTATCATCCCAGCGTTCTGGTCATGCCATACGAGTCCAAGCACGACGGGACATCACGGGATGACTTGGATCCAAGATGCAAAGATCTCGACCATGATGCCTTAGTTCCCGAGTCCGTCCAACAGCTTCATGATCAAGAGTTGAAGCGGTGTCCAAAGGCTCCAAGCCACTGGCAATCGCTTGGAACAGAAAACGCATTCATCGCATGTTCAGCCCGCGTTTTAGAACCTCTTCAATCGATAGCTCAGGGCTAGTCCATTCGCTCCCACCCTCCTCTGCACCGTAGTTCGTTCGAGCGGGTTCACGATAGTGGTAGACAGATTCAACACGAAAGCCTCAAAAGCCACAAGAAGTACAGGCAGTATCTAATACCCGGTCCAGGAGATACAAGATGCTTCACCATCCCTTCATCGGGTCAAGCCGGCGCAGACCCCATGAATCAGGAAGCCGTCGATCCCCCCGCTACCGTACCAGCAAGACTCGATACAGACAGGGCAAATCAGCGCTTCCCCGGCTGTTCATCCCACGCACGCGTGACTATTCCGACCGCCTAGCTGAACTCGTCGTCGTCATTGGACGCCGGGCCAGGCGCTTGCTCGTTTTGGGCATCTTCCATCGACCCGAGATATGTCACTACGTCTGCATCCAGAAGCAGCCTCGCCTTCTGTGGAATATTACGTGGTTGCATTAGCACTCTTTTTCTTCAGACGGCTTTTCTGTTTTGAGACCTGGGGACACGGCCTGGCTTGGACATGGTCGTCGGCCGCCATCTGTCTGGATGAGACCCCTCGGACCGTCGAAATAGCGACATGTAGTGTCACGGCGAAGGGAAGGGTTTGTGTGTTCGTCTCACAGAAGACACGAGCTGAAAAAAAGAAAGAGAAAGGCGTCCGTACCTCGTTTTCTAGCGCGTGTGCCACGCCCTGCAGGACCTGGGTTTCGAGATCTCGCAAGGTCTCAGCCGCTAGCCTGCACTCCGCACGAGGCTCGTTTGCTGCCGCGTGAGATTGCTCCCTTGCCCCGTATGAGGGACCGGAGGAGATTCTGTCCAGCTGCATCGCAACCCGCTCCTCCAGCACGGCAACTGCTCGAAGCTTAAACACCTGGTGGAGAGGGTGGTTCTGCACGAGTGTCTCGAACTCGCCCGTCCTCTCTGTGACGTCCTCATCTTGCCAGAATAGCTTCAACTGGCGGCCCCCTGTTGTGTCTTGTAGTACCCGGAACGCAAGGCCATCTTCCTCGTTCAGGATCAGCAGATACAGAAACGGGCTGGACCAATGGACATTGTTGTCGGTTATAGATAGTCGTACAGTGGGAGGTCCTTTGTAAATGTGAAATTTGGCCCTTCCTAGAGGGTCGTCAGGCAATGCATCCAGGTGTAATGTTAGCTCTTTGACAGGTGAGTCTGTATCGATGAAGCCGTAGCTGAACAGCATCTCAGCTGCCGACTTGGCTTCTCCATATGAGATGGTAATCTCTCCATCTGCGTGTATCTTTGATCCTGGTCTCGGAAGCAATACCACATCACCGTCAGAACTTTCATCGTAGTATGCCGAATGGCTCTGCGAGTGATTCGCCATGTCCAGTCCGGGAACCATGGCATGGCCGGATCGGGGAAGCTCCAGGCATCGCGAGCGATACCAGGCGTCCGCGAGGGTCCAGTCCTCCAACGTTGCAGATTCGTTGAGAAGGGCGTTCCAGAATGGTAGGGCTGAAGCCTGTTCGCACAGCTCATCGAATTCGCTTGAGAGCGTAGATAGCTTGGCACTCACGGCGGCCTGTATAGGGAGTGTGAGCGTTGACCAGGACTGTATGGCACCATCTCCTGCGTTGCGACCCGCCTTTAGGTTGACAAACGCAGGAAGAATCCCGATAGGTTGATATATGAGAGGTTGGGGGATTTGAGTTTACCTCGAGAGAAGTCCCCTTGAGTAGTTCTCTCTCGTCATTCGTCCACATGGTGGGAACGGGGATGGGTCGTGGCAGGAACTTGATGTACTCGGTCCATGGCGTCGAGGTAAACGCCCTCGTGCCTGATGATGTTGCTTTTGATTGAACAAGACGAGTCAACAGATATAGCATGATGTCGTCCCTGGTGCTCTCTCCAGATGTTAGCGACTGTCGTCCTAAGGACTCCGCCACCGGGCATGCAACTGAACATGGCGGTACCTACCCGATGTCCAGCCACGTCCAGCAGCTGCTTGAAGTTCTGATCGACCTTGGCATACTCCTCTACCGCCTCAGCAGACAGAACAAGATCCCGGGGTATTCGGAGGATTGGTGCTGCGCCGGAAGCCTCACGGCCCTCGTTCGTGATATCATTCTTGGTGACGAGGCCGAACCCTTTGCCTTCAATGTTTCGTATCTCTGCGTTTGCAAAGTCGACGTTATTCAGCAAAGCCCAGGCTGGGAAAGCCTCGATCGGTAATTGGGCCATGTCACAGTCTAATAAGATATCTGCTTGATCTGACGAGTCCGCTATTGGCGAGTTTGGTTGCATGAGAATGAAGCATCAACATAAAGTTCGCCCTGGTAGGCATGTGCTTCACATGGAATTTGAAAGTACAATGAGGTAAAAGGCTAGGAGGGGCTTGTAGAGGTAGCAGAAGACTACATCGGTCTTGGCGTGAAGTCCTGTCAAAGTCAGGTACTCCTCCTTAGCTGGTACAGAATCTCCAACGGCTGCGTTTAGCCGCTACTTGTATCGTCACATCACAAGCGTCAACCCACTTGCGCCAACTTTTGCATACCTTATCGCCGGTCCGTTTTTTTTTTCTGAATCTTTCTACGATATCTCAGCTGGTGTCTCTCCTGCGAGCTTCTACAAACCCGTCCATATTCGACATTGATAGGCTCATCTCTGTAAGCTTCATACCTTCAGAGCCTCAACAACATCATCAAACCGGTTCATATTCGCTCTCCCTTCCACTCGAGATTCCGCGCACCCCGCCATGCCTCGCGATCCCCTCATTGGGCTTGTAGGCAAGCCTTCGGCCGGCAAGAGCAGCATGCTCAACAGCTTAACGGATGCTTCCTCCAAAGTTGGTCAGTACTGCCCTCTCCTTTGCCGCCAGCTTGGGAACACCAGAAAGACACAGAGGCGACAGCAAGAGACAGGCCATGGCTCGTCTGACTGAAGCAACTCGTGTGCTGTTGCTAACATCAATTTCCAATAGGCAACTTCCCGTGAATAATCGCCCGCCTACCCCATCCCGCTCGAAGAAAAGCTCGCCAAGCTGACTTGGACATTTCTCGTCTCGTTCTCATGCGACAGATTTACCACCATTGATCCTCAGCGAGCGATAGGATACCTTCAGATCGACTGCGCCTGTGCGCGCTTCGGGCTCTCAGATAAATGCAAGCCCAACTACGGCTCCTGCGTCGACGGTCGACGGTCGGTCCCGATTGAGCTTCTCGATGTTGCGGGGTTAGTGCCTGGTGCCCATCAGGGCCGCGGTCTGGGAAACAAGTTCTTGGACGACCTGCGACATGCCGATGCGCTCATTCACGTCGTCGATGCCTCCGGGACGGTCGATGCCGAAGGCAAGGAGACGAGAGGCTACGATCCTTCGGTCGATATCGCCTGGCTGCGCAGCGAGATTGTGGCGTGGATCTTGGGCAATCTGATGCAGAAATGGGGAGGCATCAAGCGGCGGCATATCGCGGTCAAGGCCACAGCCGTCGAGACATTACAGAACCAGTTTTCCGGTTACGGATCCACGCCGGTAACAGTGCAGCGGACGCTGGACCGGTCAGGCGTCAAGGAGCCGCTGGAGGAGTGGTCTGACGAGACGATCGAGCACATTGTCAACTGCTTCATCGACGAAAAGTTCCCGACGGTAATAGCGCTGAACAAGATCGATCACCCTGACGCGGACAAGAACATCGCCAAGATCGCCAAGATGCAGGACCCCAACACTGTCGTTCTCTGCTCGGCCATTTCAGAAATCTTCCTGAGGAAGATGGCGAAGCAAGGATACATCAAGTATGTGGAGGGAAGCGAGTTTGTCGACACGAGAGAGGACCTCATTGAGCAAGGCGACCCCACAGGCGGCGGCCTCAAAGAGCTCGACGAAAAGAACCGGAATCGAATAGAGAATCTCAAGGACATGGTATTGTACCGCTTCGGATCTACAGGAGTCGTGCAAGTGCTGTCCAAGGCAGCTGAGCTGCTCGGCTTGGTCCCCGTTTTCCCCGTCCGAAACACGACAACGTTCAGCTCAGGAGCGTCAGAATCCAAATTTGTCTTTAGAGACTGTGTGCTGGTAAGGAAGGGCCTGACGGTGGGCGATGTTGCTCGCAAAGTAATGGGCGACGCGCCGATTGCATTTGTGGAAGGTGTTGGAAATATGAGGGTATCTGAAGATGACCCTGTCGCGGTAGGGAAGAATGATGTGAGTCGTAGACCATGTATAGCAGCTTTGGGGTGAATATATGCTAACTGTGTTCTAGATTCTATCATTCAAGGTGGGACGGACATGATCAAAGCAATGAAGGTTTGGGAAAGATGATTGCTTTCGAGCATGCGCGGAATAGAGGAAGCCATAATACATCCATCTCTACCTACCTACCTACCTATATCCAGATGACACCTTGTTCCATATAGCATTATGTGTCATGATTGAGCATGTTGGAATAGCTTATTGAACCCTGGTCATCATTCAAAGCTTGGTTGGATTGTCGCCCTCTATCGCTTGGGAAGAGAACTGAAATGCCGCGGCATATCAGATTGCCAAGGTATTGGGAGCTGAAAGAACCCACTAACACCAACCTGCAGCTGTCACGAGATGATCACAGCCGCAACTTCGCTCCTACAACCTGCCACTCACGCCAGGAGCAAACGTGCTCTGCCATGCAATGCCGATGGCAAGCTTGATAGAGCGCTTCTGCCGTCCAACGTCCACAAGTGATCTCTGTCATCGACTCAGCCGGGCAGGACAGCCATCGAACCACAATGGCGCTGGGAGGCAGCCAACTGCCCGCTCCACGAAAGAGCTGGAGGCATTGCAAGCCTTACAGCGGTCCATGATCGACGAGTTTGCCCAGAACCCGAGCGAAGCATATGCCATCGAGATAACGCCGCTGGCGTCCTTGGTCGATGTGGATGACTACGTGCGCCTGTTCGACAGATTCCACAATGTCATCGCCGCCGCCGCAGTGGACGGCAAGATCGTCGACACAGAGCTTCTGCGCGCATTCGAGGCCTTCCTGCACTGCCGTCAGACGGGCCTAGCTGGCAAAAAGCTCAATCTCGGAAGCGCCATGCTGTCTATCCAAAAGGCGCTGGACAGTGCCGTCGACGCAGCCCACAACCAGACAAAGTACAACTCGATTCGCGCGCTTTCCGCCGTCTTAGACGCGATGAACGAGGTCAAGGCGGAGGGCATCGCTGATATAAAAGTGCAGAGCTTGCTCAAACGGCTGGAGAAGCTGAGAGATTATAAGGAGCTGCGTCTCGCCGAAGCCGCGAGTTACTCGTACCAGGCGCTGCTCGCCATCCCGACGGACGTGAGCCCTTGGAAGAAGATTGGGAGCAGCGCCGTGAAGACTCTCATGGGCGGCGCCAAGGTCGCTGGCTCTGTCTGGTCTCTCGATCCATCGAAACTTGTCGAGGGGCTGGTCGACTTGACGGAGGCGCCCGAGCTGATCAGCTCCATCGTCGAGGTCATCAAGTCATGCGGCGACTTGGTAGGGAGTGCGGCCAACACGGACAAGGCATTCAAGACGCTCAAGAAGCCCAAGGACTGGTACATTGCGTTGCGGGCGACTGATGGCCTGGTTTGGGCGAATGCTCCGAAGCATCTGGAGGCTTTGCTTCAACATCCTGATCTACCATGTCGGGAGGTTAAGGACTTCCTCTGTGGTCTCTGTGCACAGCTTGAGATGGCGAGGGACTTGAACCATGAGCGACTATGTGACGTGTTGGAGGCTTTCATAACCGCACAAGCCAGTCGGACCAAATCCTGCCGTGTCCTAGAATGGGCTCGGCTTGTTACCAGATCGCCGCAGCTTGACTCGCCGAACCTGACAAGGTACCGTCGCCGCAAAGTCTACCACGCAAACGTTGAACGCGCGAGGGTTGTGCTTCAGCAGCCTCGAAGACAGTTGCTGGATAGTGCATGGCGAAACTGTCACAAAGTCCGCGAGTTTTACGCAGACCAGATGCTTCGAGATCATTATACAGATGAGGATCTCAAGCTGCTTAGGATCGAGCGACTGGACGGTAGCAGACTATCCATGAATGAGTGCTATATCAATCTAGCTGTTGTTCGAAGTGCCGGGGACGATACTCTGAGTAAGGATTCCGGCACCCCCTCACCGTCGCCCTTCTCTATCCTGCGCCGTCTGGATATCTGGGAACCGCCAAGGTCGCAACGTGTCGATTTGGAAGCACTATTCGACAGAAGAAATGGTGCATCGGTCGGCGCGGCGATAGATGGCTCTTCCGAGGATATTCCCATGCGAATCCTCATCCGTGGCCAAGCCGGCGTGGGCAAGACGACGCTCTGCAAGAAGCTGGTACACGACTTTCTCTACAAGGGCATGTGGGCTGAGATCATCGATCGCGTCGTCTGGATCCCGCTACGCCAGATCAAAAGCAGCCTCGAAATGGGACAAAGTATCGCAAATATTCTGAGCGGGCCACTGCCTGATATCGAAAAGGCCGGGGAGGGCACGCTCGGCGAGGCCTTGGAAAGATCGTTCAAGGACAACCCCAGCAGGACGCTCTTTATCCTTGATGGCTTTGACGAGGTGTATCGAGAGTTGTACACTCCAGGTTATGAGCTGCTTCTCAAGCTGATCAATGTGCCTCGGGTCATTATAACCGCCCGCCCACGAGGTGTCAATCGCGAACTCTTCCAGAACATTCACCTGGAGCTCGAAACAACTGGCTTTTACCCAACTCAGGTGAAGGAATACATTGAGAAGCATGCTGGAGATAAAGCAGTAGAGATTCATTCGTTCATCGAGGGCCACCCTGTGGTAACCGGCTTAGCTCGCATTCCGATTCAGCTTGATGCCATCTGCTACAGCATGATGGCTGGGATGCTGAATGGCGACAGTCCTCCGGAGACCATGACGGAGCTGTACCACTCCATAGAGACGTCGCTCTGGAATAAGGATGTCGAGATGCTGGAGAAGCGTCGCGAAGGCAGTGGTGAACCAGTCTTGAAACATGAAGCCCAGGCTTCTTATCCGGACGACGTCAGACGTCTGTGTCAGGCCGAGATCAACGCCCTCCAGGCTCTTTCGTTCACCGGGCTCGTTAACGACACAATTGAATTCGACCCGGTGTTTCTCAAAAGCTTCCATGACGTGCAGACTATCATCACGAGCAATCTCCCTGCATCCAAAGCACAGCCATGGTTTACGGACTTGGACAAGCTCTCTTTCCTGAGAACGTCAGATGGGCCGCTCACACCAACCACCCGGAGCTATCACTTTCTGCATTTGACATTCCAGGAGCTGTTTGCTGCGCAATTCTTTGCCCAGCATTGGATGTCGAAGAAGGATCTCATAGTCTTTGACTGTGCTGGAAAGGACCCAACCCCCACCGAGCCGGAAGTCTTTCTACTGAGAGAGAAGTATAACCCAAGCTATGATGTCTTCTGGCGCTTTGTCTCCGGCATCATACAGCTCCAACGGGACGAGAGAGCTTTGTGCCGCTTCTTCCAGGTAATGGAGAAGGGGCCGAAGGATCTGGTTGGCCCCGCGCATCTACGCTTAACGATGCATTGCTTGGCGGAGGTGAATAGCAGCGCATATGAGCCGGCCTCCTTTGCGGGCATTCGCCAATCTGTGCAAGCCAAGATGATGGGCTGGCTCTTCCTCGAGTCTGACATCTCGACGAAAGCGGTGCAGCGTCTAGTCGGAGAACCGGAGTTTCCAGAAGAGCTGCTGAGAGAGGCGGCTGGCATGCTGGGCTCTGACAAGAACAGCCTGCGAGCGTCCTTTATCTACGGGCTCTCAGCTCGCCCGAAAGTGACGCCGAGTCTGGTGGACTATGTGGTTGAGTGGTCTCGGGAGTTTCTTGATGACTACAACGACGAGTACGACGAGGAGGGCTTCTACCTATGTTCCGCAACGGCGAGCCTCCTTTGGCACGCACCGAGGTCAACTCCGTCTACACTTGCTCTTTTTTCGAAGCTGCTCGACCATCCGGACAGGCACATATATCAACATGCGGCAGTCACTCTGTGGAAGGTCGCAGAGAACCGGACCGAGACAGAATACAGCCCGTTGATTGTGGAGGGGTTGATCGAATGCCTCAACGTTCGTAACGGTGACACCAGGGTGAGCGTTTTGTCGCTGTTGAGAAGCATGTTGGATTTGCCGGAAGCAGCATTCGAGCGTTTACAGGAGGTGGCACGTCAGCGTCCGCTGTGGCTGAGACCCTACGAAGACGTGGATACGGGACCGCTTTATGAGGAGCCAGAGAAGATGAGGAAGGCCCTTGTCGTGTTGGCAGAGAGTGCAAAGGTCGAATCCAACGATTCAAGCGTCTCAGGCGGTTTCGAGGGGGAAGTGACGCAAGCACCCCTGGGCGACAGGGAAGAGATCGTCTCGGACACTCTTCGACGCTGGAAGGACAAAATGTACAATTCAAACTATGTGGTGAAGTTGGAAAGCATCCAAGACGTGGTGATGCAGCATCTCAGTCGTTCGGAATACAAAGACGATGGGTTCGCCACAATGACTCTCGAAAACTTCATGGTCGATGCCTTGTTCGATATGCTCGGCACCAAGAAGAATGGCCTTACCGATTCACAACTAGAAGGGCTTGCAGGGTTCCTGGCCAGCGGTGGGATGTACTACGACATCTTTGACATTCTCTTCGCCCACTTAAGCAACCAAAAAGACGCATTAGCAGGGTTGGCGGCAAAGCTTCAGCGTCGACGCTTTGATGCGCCGATAGTCCCACCGGAGGCCATATTCAACAGCGTGGCCGCGTTGGTGGGCGGCTCAGGGCCGCTTCACAGAGCAGTTGCCGCGATCATCATAAACCAGCATCCTCGTCTGCCCCCCTGCGTCTCGGAGATGCTGCTTGACAATCTCGAGATTTGGGAGGGCAGTGTGAGAGAGTGTGCCCTTTTATTCCTCGCGACGGAGTGGGAGCATGCAAAGCTAATGGACATGTTGCTGGCCAGGTTCAACGTCCCCAGCGAAGACGGACGCGCCGGGCCCTTTCCTCCGGAGCTGTGTCTGCTGATTCAAGATGTCGCGTTTCAGGCATTGACTTCGCCCAAGGCACAAGCTACGGATATCAAGCGTTGGGCTGTAGATGCCGTGCTCAACCATCCCGGCTCCGGAATTATGGGGCTGGTGGTGCGCCTGAAAGAGCAGCACTTGTCTGCCGTCTACCAGTTGTGGATGGAGGAAGCTCTAGAGAGATTGCTGAGCTGGCATGTTGAGGGCGATCGACTTTGCATTAGGACGTCGTTGGGTGTTGTTGTTGTCACGGAGAGCTTTGAGAGTGAGGAGGTGGTGTTGGAGTTTGTGAGGAGGTTGGGGAGGATCCAGGCTATGATGAAGCTTCCGTGTTGAAATAAACAGAAATGCAAGGACAATTGGATTTGTCCGAGTCTTCAGCCCGTTCTTACCATGTCGGCTACTTTACTAGACTTCGTTCGAAAGGAGTTGATGATGAAAATCCGCTCCTTTGTTACGAACAAGCTTCTTGCATTGTACATGTACAGAAGAAGAAGCTTGGGAAGCTTGAGCTGCATAGACTTTTGCCGTTCCATGCCTCGTTCCAGTCATCCCACAGATCTTCTCGCAGCAGGTGGAAGTGGACGGGGGACTTTTCAGCCAAAGGGACGACCCGATATCCGGAACCGGGCCCGGAAAGGTGGAGCCCCGGACCTTGGGTCTATCGCAAAGTTCTCTTGACCAACTCCACTTCGAGATAAGACACCATCATGTATGAAAATACCGCATCTCTCTAGCATCAAAAGACATCTGGTTCCGTGGTCTAGTTGGTTATGACATTTCGTTAACACGTTTAACGCCACCGAAAAGGTCCCCGGTTCGAGCCCGGGCGGAATCACCACTTTCTTTTTTTGCTCCCCCTCCCCCTTGAACTAAGAGCACTTCGTACAGCAAAGCAGAACGAAGAAGCCATCGTAGTAGGTATGCCCTCGATTTCTTCGGTATGGTTGCTGAAAGACATACCTATCCATGCCCGCTGGGGCATGTTTCTTGTATATACTACAATCATATCAACTTTTAATTACCTGTACGGGCGTCTAACATATTCTCGTAAATCGTGCCAACAAAAAAAGTTATCCCCAGCATCCCAATTTTGCACGCTTCTATCCTTCTCCTCCCCGTTTCCCTCCTCGTTAGTAGTATACAAGACACCAGTTCTATCAAAGTCTATGCTGAACCTGTTCACCAAATTCCAAGAAGAGCTTCCCGAAATAAAAAGAGACACCCATCTACTGCTCCTGTCTCAGCGGCCCGCCGCCAAACTCCACGCTCCGCAGCCCCAGGATCCTCTTGAACCTCAGCCACAGCTCAAACGCCTCCAGCTTGAGCTCAACCCTCACAAAGCCCAGCCAGGCAGCAAAAACCCGCACCGCGTTCGGCGGCCACAGCATCGACCCGTTGTGGAGAATCTCCTCGAGCTGCTCGTGGAAGACGGTCCGGGTGCAGTACCGCGCCAGAATCATAAAGGTGCGTATGGGACCCTGGCTAGTGTGAAGATTCTCGTCCAGGCTGCGCGTCAGGTCGTTGGTCTTGAGGATGAGGAGAATGATGCGAGGGACTCGGCCGAGCATCTGCACAAGGTCGACAATGAGGCCTTCTTGCAGGGCACCGCTCATGTTCTTCTCTTCATCTGCCGTGCGTGTCTTCAGAATGGACCCTTCCTTGCTGACGATGCTGAAGTCGCGGCCAGTAATGGCAGAAGCGAAGAGCGGGAAATCCTCCTCGCTGATGCCGGCGACCTCGTGGGCGTACTTCTTCATTCTGTCCATGTCTCCGTCAATCACAGCGAGCCACATCTTGGCGTATGAGCGCCTCAGGGGCAGCGGAATGTCGCGATACAGGCCGTGGTCGTAGAGGATGATGTCAAAGTTGGGTCCGCGGCCGAGACCGCGTCGGGTGTCGTTCTTGCGAATGGCGAGGTTGCCGCCGTGAGGGTCGCAGTGCAGAGGAGCGCCATCGCCAAAGATCATCTCGTTGAAGATGCGCGCCAGCGTTGCCGACACCTCATCGCGGTCGATGCCGTTCTTGTCCAGGTACTCGAGATCATCCGGTCGGCGACCGGACTCGCAGGCCATGACGAGAATGCGCTTCTTCGCCCACATGACCTCGGGGATGACGAGAGGCAGCGCAGGGATCTTGGCGAAATGCGCCTTCATGCGACGTGCGTTTTCCGCCTCCTCTCGGAAGTCGAGCTCCTTAGGCAGAGAGTAGTCCATTTCCGACGAAAGCCATTCGAGATCGTACTCGGGGAAGAATCGCTTGAGCGTCGAGAAGGTGTACCGGGTGAGAGCGAGATCGAGAGGCGCCCAGCCTTCCAGCTCGGGGTGCTGGACCTTGACGGCCACCTTGCGCCCAGTGTCCTTGATGGTTGCCAGATGCACCTGCGCAAGAGAGGCGGCGCCAATTGGTTCCTCGGAGAACTCAGAGAAGTAGTCCCATAGATCCTCGTTGGTATCCCTCCGGAACATATCCTGAATGGAAGCAAAGGAGGACACGGGGCACTTGTCCTGCAGTGGTATAAACGTCGTCGTCCACTCGGGAGGTAGGAGGTAGTTCATAGCACTCTGTCACCGCCGTGTCAGTCGCTTCTCGGCCAATTGCATCACTCGGTTGCCTTGTCGTCTTACCAGGTGCTGTCCGAGCTTGATGAAGATGCCGCCATTCTTCTCCAAGACCTTGAGGGTTCGCTCGGCGCATCGCTTGTGGCAAGCCTTGAGCAGCTCGGCCTGCTTTTCCGGCTCCTCAATCGAAGACTTTGTGTTGAGCGTCGTCCGGTAGCTGTTCAGCTCGCGTCAGCCCGCTGTCTCGTATTCCCAACACTCACGCGCGCACTCACTCGTTGATACAGACAGCCAGCGCCACAACCACCCTCCCCGTCCTCTCCGCAGCCTCGTAGCTGTTCTTGATCTCGTCGGTAAACGCCAGCGCCGCCGTCCCAGCCGCCGCCCCGGTCGACGCAAAGAGAATCAGCCGGGCATTCGGCCCAGACTTTGCGCCGTCGCCCGCCTTGCCCCTGCCCTGCGACCATGTCCGTCCGGAGGCGAACCGTCGCGCGATAAACGGTCGAGCCGACGGCTTATTCGTACTCCGAAGCAAATGGCCGCGGCAGGTCGAGCACGTCCATGATGATGTTCGGTCACCTATGCGAGCCGTCGCAAAGGTCGATCTAGAAAAGACGTTCATTGGTGGTGCCGAGGGGCTTTGTCTAAGGATGTGTCGACATGGAATGTTTTTTCAATGGCTGCGGTTCGGCATTCTATGTAGGTGATGTGTAGGTATATCGTGGCAAATGGTACCGGATGATAAGGTAAGGAAACGGTATAACGCAGAGCGCCTGCCTTTCGCTTCCACTGAAAAACAAAGGAAAGAAGAAATGAAATAAATCGATGAAACTATGAATTAGAAGCAATTCAGGTGCTTTCTGGCAAGTATCATGGCGCAATACCGCGAAAAACACCAAGGCGGATCAGACAAAGGCGAAAAAGGAGACGGACTCTATTTTTGTTGGGACGCCGTTTTGCGCAGTGGATAATTTTGGCGGCCTTCGAACGACATCATCGCCAGATATTTCCTGCTCCGGCTCCTGATTCGCCCGCGATAGTCCGCCCTGGTTCTTCGGTGCTGATCTTTCGACATGTGCAGCGGAGGCACGTGATTGCGCGACTGATGGTACCGCGTCGGCTGTTTCGTGTAAAGCTGAGTTGAACTTGCCGCTGGACGGGGAAGAGAGACGAGACAAAGACAAGCTCATTAGTATTGCATATATCGTCATCTTCTTCTTTCATACATCGGAGAGGAGAAGAAGATATTTTCGACTGCCGCCCTTGAATATTACACTCCTACTCTTCTTCTTTTTGTAAATATTTCATGCAAACTCCTCCGGAAACAACCGCTCCAGACACAAACAAGATGCTGTCCTTGACGCCAAAGCCCGTCTTTTCCTGGGACAACCGGCCCGCCGTCTCGTCCCCGCTCTCCTCGTCTCCAGTGCGCGCCTCGTCGCCTCTCTCTGCCGCCGACGAGCAGCAGGCGCAAGCGCAGAGCCATCCTCACCCTCGCCAGATCCAGTCGTCGCCCATCAGGCCCGTCAGCTTCAAGTACCAGGCGCGTCCCGCGCGGCCGAACCCCGTCATCAAGAGGCGCGAGGAGGCCCAGGAGCAGAGGCGGCGCAACTTTCTGCAGAGCGTCCGCCAAAAGGCCGAGGACAAGTCTTGGCAGAGGAGAGACATTGAGGGCCAAGTAAGCAAACTTGCGAATGAATGAACTACCAGACGGGGCTGTTGCTGACAATGGCGATTTTTTAGTTTCTCAAGACAAACTGGCTTGCTAACGTCGGCCGTCTGTCCCACGATGCCCCCTCGCTGTCGGAGGCGGATATCGAGGATGCCATGACCTTTTCGCAGGAGTCTGCGCAGCTGCCGACGGACGACGACATGATCCCGGAGGAGCTCGTTGAGGAGGAGCACATGCTTACGTCTTACGAAGAGGAAGTATTGGCTCAGCGAGGCCATGCGCTGCCCACTCTGGTCGAGGAGAGCGATGAGTACGATGACATTTTTGCCGAGCTCATCTCACAAGAGCAACAGCTTCCACAGCAGCATCGCTCGTCGCAACCTTCAAGTCAGATGGATATCGATTAGTTGGGTTAGCGTCGGTATTATGTGGTCACGTTGAATTTGGCAAGACATTCTCAGCTTGGCGATATGGAGTTTGGTATTTGCTTTCAGGGCTCTCGGAAGGGTTTTCACTGGCGTTTTTGGGCTTTGGTATACGGCGGAATGTGCTTGCATTGAGAGTGCGCACTGTGGGTATATATGAGTGTGCGTGTATATATGGCTATTATATGATGATGAGTTATTGCGGGGTGCACTGGTCTTCCGCCGAGTTGAACGCTTCCTGAGCAGAGGCCATGTCCCCGACCAGATCTGACGGCGGCGAGCCTGCCGCTTGCATCTACGAACTGTCAGTCGTCGTACATATACAAACAAGAGCCGGGGGTTGATTAGGTACTCACCTTCTGCATCCTGTCCACGATATACTCCCTATCGGCCGCGTTAGAGTCCGAGTAGGTGGGCTCGTTGAACTTGGCCACAATCTCCTCCACAATCGTCTTTTGCTCCATGTATCTCTTCAGGTCGTCGGCGGGAACCGAGTCTTTGTTCTTGGCGATCCAGGCGGGGAACTTGTCGTGAAGCTCCTTCATCGGCTCGTACAGGATCTCCTTGTTTGTGAGCTGCTCCATCATGCCCATGAGCATCTTGGAGAAGTCCTCTTCGCTGCCGCCGGCAAAGTCGCCAGACGTCAGCTGCTTGAGCATCTCGGAGAGGAAGTCGTCGTCGCCTCCCGCCGCCGCCGCCGCGGTAGCCTGTTCGCCAGAAGTCTGCATGCGCTCCATGGTACGGCGAATGGTGTCTTGAAACGCCGCGCCGCCAGCGCCCTCACGAGCGGGCTGGGGGGTTGCCGTTGAAGCCGCGGCGGGAGCGGCCGCGGGAGCAGCTGCGGCGGCGCTCGGGTTGGCACTTGGGGCGGGCGTGCTCTTCTCTTTGCTGCTGGTGGGTTGCTGCTCCTGCTGCTGTTGCTCTTCTTCTTCCATCGCGGCGCCCATCTCCGCGCCCATCTGCTTAAACATTTCTTCAAACTGAGCTTGCAGCTCGGGCTGTCGCAAGGGGTTCGGTGTCAGCTTCGGTGTCGTTGCGGGCACATGGCATAAGCCAACATACAGATTGCTCCAAGTTAGCCAGCAGACCGGCTATGCCTGCTTGCATTCTCTTTGTAACCTCCTCTTCTGACATGTTGTCGTAGTCGAGCTCCGTGGCTTCAGCCCCCTCCTTCAACGTGTTGTCGTTGATCATCTCCTGTCGGACGGCCTTGAAGCCGTCCAGTAACTCTGAACATGCTGCCGTCAGAATCAAGTTGCACAGCCAATTGGCAAGATCCGGGAAGTATGAGCAGCAAGCATACCGTCGAGATCATCCAGGTCGTCCTCATCTGGATCGGGAACATCGTCAACATCGTCGGTTACCGTGGCCGCAGGGTGTGCCGCCGCAGTTGCTGCCGGTGCCGGCGCCGGTGCTGGCTGAGCCTCCCCTTGCGTTGCCCCAGACTCTTCCCTCTTCGTCGGGTCTGCCGCCTCGGACGGAGAGCTCATTGTGTCTCGCGGTCACGATCGAAGTGTCGTCGACGCAACAAGCCACATGCGCAAGATTCGGTATTGCGGACGTCTAGTCTAAGTTGCGGCGCTAATGGAGGGGGAGGAGACGAGCAAAGCTGTAGCTTCCGAGGGTGAAATTGCAATGAGGAATATCGGTAGAGAGAAAGCACTCGGGTATAACAGCAGCACCGACAGTATCCAAGACAGAGGCGGCGTGGCCGTGGCCAGATGTGAAGTAGAGGTGCAGCGAAGGCCCTCTGGTGCTTGTGCTTCAACGTTGTTTGGTCCAAGTTCCAAGCTCGGCCCGTGGGTTGGTGACATGCAGCGTCACATAGAACGAACCGAGGGAACAGCTCGCTGCCCCGCGATTCCGCACAGCCCCCTACGCTCGTGCTCGTCCAGCGGCCGACTTTAGGGGGTCTGTTCGCTGTAGGCCTCGCTCTCCAGGCCTATGCAGCCCTGTAACCTGGCCCCTGCACCGCTGAACCGTTGCGCGCTGCCCCGCCGCCGCAGGCCGTCAAGTGACGTGGAGGCTCTCTTCGCTTCGATTGACTGCAAGGGACCGACGGGACTCAAGAGATCTCTGCCCTCCGAGGGAATCGCACTAGGCAGATCGCGGCGCTATCCGCAGCCTTGCTCTGTATCCCGGGGTCCTTTTTCTGAACGTGGATTTTTAATCCGACTGTTTGCTTCTTCTATCTTCCGTCATTCTGATTCACGCCTGGGCGCATTTTGTCCCTCTTCTTTATTCCATCACGAGATACACAACGAAGCCAAGCCGTTCTTTTCGTCCGTACGAATTCCATCATCGCCTGCAGCAGGCACTTTTCGACTTCACCAGCGGTCGAGGCAGCGCATCTACACTCCCGTCTCGCGACCCGTCGTCAGTCTTGAAATCAAGCACTTCATCATGGCTCTTTGCCAAAACAGATTGCAAGAGGAGCGGTATGCGATGCAGAGACTTCACAGCGCCTCATGGGGGCCAAGATGCTGACGGATATCCAACTACTAGGAAGCAATGGCGACGCGACCACCCGTTCGGCTTCTTCGCCAAACCGTCCCGGACAAAGGAGGGCGCGCTCGATCTGAAGAACTGGGAATGTGGCATTCCGGGCAAGGAGAAGACCATCTGGGAGGGAGGGCTGTTCAAGCTCAACATTGCGTTCCCCGACGGTGAGTGCCCCCGTGCTCGATAAGGTCTCGGTTGGGCAGAAACTGACCTCAGTCCCGTTTGTCTAGAGTACCCAACGAAGCCACCGAAATGTGAGTACAGGCCATCTTTTCCAGGTTGCTTGACAGTTGTCGACCTGTATCTAACCGCGCTGGCAGGCAAATTTGTCCCCCCGCTGTTTCATCCCAACGTCTACCCCTCGGGCACCGTTTGCCTGTCGATTCTCAACGAGGAAGAGGCCTGGAAGCCAGCCATCACGGTCAAGCAGATTCTTCTGGGCATTCAGGACCTCCTCAACGATCCCAACCCCGAGTCGCCCGCCCAAGCCGACGCTTACAACTTATTCAAGAGAGACAAGGCCGAGTACGAGAAGCGTATCCGGCGCGTGGTTCGCGAGAATCCGGCTCCGTGAAGATGGGGAGAAGTTATTTTTCTTTGCACTTTAGACGAGGAGGACATTGTTATTGAGAAGATTGGTCATGGCGTTGGATGGGGCAATACCAGGACAAAATGGTTTTCGATTTTCTTTCTTGTGTTTTCTTCCTTCAATCGACAGATCTACAAAAGATTGGTATCGGTGGCTATAGCCGGCTTGTGAAGTTGAACTGCCAGATGGAGACGGGCTCAGACACGGGGTAGCATCGGCGATGTTGCTCCGGTTTCACGGACGGTGAATGACTGTTCGCTCGGTCCGACGGAGAGGCGTCCGTCGTAGATGCTGGCACGTTAGTTAGTTTAGTAGCATTTGAGAGAGACATTTACAGACACGGTCCGGACTAGAACGATGGGGAAGCAGTCTCAGGTTGGAATAACCTTATATGTGATTTCATATTGTATGTGGATAAGTATCATATCGCCCTTCTGTTTGACATGGTCACGGGCATATATATGTACTCGTAGATGGTCAAAACCGTATCCCAGTCCGCCACGTGCATCTATCCCAATTTGATCTGCCTACCTAAACCAGACCTCCGAGATACGGCTTCCATACCTACAGTTACTATATGCTATGACCACTGTTCTTATGTATATCAATGCCACGTCGTTTGGAACAGAGTGTCCATCCGCTGCAGGGTCTTGCAAGTGAATCATCTTCATGTACATGTATGTACCCTTGATCGGTCCATTTGCGATAAGCCGTCAGCAAGGCCGCTCTCTTCTAGGGAGGTCGGATCTGATACAGTACAACGGCATATTCAGCTTCCACACCAAGGAAAAAAAAAAGCGGTTCAGGCTCCCCCCAAATTCCCTTATCAGCAGCCCTTCAGACGCTCCATCTTTCGTTGGCTTTAGGTAATTGGCAAAGGCCGCCAATGACCGTCGAGGCAAAGGCGAGACAGCTGGGGAAAAGTGACTCTTGGGCATTAGCCGAAGTCGGCCGGGCGAAAAGCGATTAGCTCGTTGTTAAAATTCTGGGTAGAAAAAGGCTGAAGGTGAACAAGAGTCATGGCCATAGTCTAGTACTACTACTGCCGACTTATAGTCTCGCTGGCTCTAAATTACCTAGCCATCCAGACCCGAATTTCTTTCTTCTCTTTGAACTTGCTCTTGAGAATTTTTTGTGACTCTTCTCACGACGTCAAGGAACATCGTCCCGTCGAGCAACCGCAATCATGTGTGGCATCTTTGCTTGCCATCGGTACGTCGCAACCTGCTCCCCTAGTCCTCTTTCGCCCGGCGTTCGCGTGCAGTGGACAGAGACAGCTTGTACCTCTTTAATCCGTCCTCGGTCGTCCTTTTATTTTGGAGGGGCATTTTGGGAACTACCAACACCCCGCCATCTCTTCGACTCATCGCGAACATGCAAGACACGAAGCCAGAGCTGACAGATTCTGCGTCCAAACAGTCATCCTGACGTCCAAAAGTTCAAGCCGACCGCGCTGAAACTGTCCAAGGCGTAAGTACACCCACTGTCTGGCGATAGCAGCTCCAATTGACAAGGAATGGGTTAGGATTCGACACCGCGGACCTGATTGGAGTACGTCTCGACCAATTGATTCGGTTACATGCTGTATAGCGACAGGAAGAGCTGTATGAAGCTGACTATTTGATGTCCAGGCGGCAGCGTCATCTCTCACAACACAAGTAAGTCAACTGGCCCTGAGGCGCGTTCTATTGCGGGCTTGAACTGACATGCCTCGCAGTCCTTTGCCATGAGCGTCTCAGCATTGTTGGTGTTGGTAAGTCCATCTCTCCCCGGATGCAAACCCAGGCGCCCGCTCACACAGGAGACAGAGTCTGGCGCCCAGCCCCTGACCAACGCCGATGATACCATCATCCTCGCCGCCAACGGCGAGATCTACAACCACCGACAGGTCCGAAAGCACCTGAAAGAGCCGTACCACTTCAAGACGACGTCCGACTGCGAGGTCATCATTCCCTTGGTAGGTCTCAGAGCGTTGAGGGTCTAGGAAGAAAAAGGCCTGGGCTAATTTGCTCTGCAATAGTACCTGGAGCACGACATCGACGCCCCCAACCACCTGGACGGCATGTTCTCCTTTGTCCTGTACGACAAGAACCAGGACCGTACCATTGCCGCGCGCGACCCGATCGGCGTCACAACGCTTTACCAGGGATGGTCATGGAAGGAGCCTGGAGCCGTGTACTTTGCCTCGGAGCTCAAGTGCTTGCACCCCGTCTGCGACAAGATTGTTGCCTTCCCCCCTGGTCACGTCTACGACTCAAAAACCGACCAGACAACCCGTTACTTCAACCCCACCTGGTGGGATCCCACCAATGTCCCCTCTGCCCCAGCCGACCTGATGGCCATCCGCACCTCGCTCGAGACGGCTGTAAGAAAGCGCTTGATGGCTGAAGTCCCTTACGGCGTGCTCCTCTCCGGTGGTCTCGACTCCAGTCTGGTTGCGTCTATTGCGCAGCGGGAGATGCTGAGGCTCAGGAAGAAGGCCGAGGAGGCCAACGGCACGGCTACCCCGGCGGAGGCTGATCCTGATGCGGGCGAGGGTCTTGTCGGTGTCGATGACGATAACAACCTCTCCACCGTTACCTACCTCCCGCAGCTCAACTCCTTCTCCATCGGCCTCCCTGGATCTCCGGACAACGAGGCCGCTCTCAAGGTGGCCAAGTTCCTCGGCACGAAGCACCACGTCATGACCTTTACCATTGAGGAGGGCCTCAACGCCCTGTCGGATGTCATCTACCACTTGGAGACGTACGACGTCACGACAATCCGAGCATCAACGCCCATGTTCTTGCTGTCTCGTAAGATCAAGGCGATGGGCATCAAGATGGTCCTCAGTGGCGAAGGCAGTGACGAGATCTTTGGTGGCTACCTCTACTTCCACGCGGCTCCTAGCAAGGAGGCTTTCCACGAGGAAACGGTCCGCCGTATCAAGAACCTGCACTTGGCTGATTGTCTGCGAGCCAACAAGTCCACCTCGGCTTGGGGTCTCGAGGCGCGTGTGCCTTTCCTGGACAAGAAGGTATGTCGGAATCGAGCTTGCGGTATCTCTCTATGAATGCACCTCCCCGTATGCTAACACTGTTCATCAGTTCATTGAGACTGCTATGAGCATCGATCCTCAGGAGAAGATGATCACCAAGGACAGAATGGAGAAGTACATTCTCCGAAAAGCCTTTGACACGAGCGACGAGCCCGACACTCCGGCCTACCTGCCCGACTCCATCCTGTGGAGACAGAAGGAGCAGTTCTCCGACGGTGTCGGATACGGATGGATTGACGCGCTCAAGGACAACGCCGAGCTCCACGTCACCGACGAGATGCTGAAGAACCCCAAGGCTGAGTGGGGTACCGACATTCCGGATACCAAGGAGGCGTACTGGTACCGCCTCATGTTTGACGAGCATTTCCCTCCTCGCTGCGCTTCCACCGTGGAGCGATGGACGCCGACTTGGTCCAAGCAGACGGACCCCAGCGGCAGGTGCGTATTTTTCTTGTCTCCCTTTCCATGGTCAGGAGACGATGGAAGTCGATTCAAGTTTGCTAACATGTGTCTTGCAGAGCCATCGCGGTCCACAACGCCAAGTACGAAAGCGCCGAGTAGATGGCATAACTGTGGTATCGCCGGATGTTGAGGGGAGGTTTGACTCTGGGGGCAAAGGCACACTACGAGGATAGTAGACAGAAAAAGTAAAGAGTATAGAACAAACAAGAGGTCTCCAATGGCGGGTAGTCGGTACTTTGTAGTGCTGTGTATATACCCGAGGTGCGGACATGGCTCGGCATTGGAGAGAAATACACATGGAGCGCAATTGCGCCATTGTTTGACTTGACGACGTACACTAATCGAGATTTCGCGTGTATTCAAGGAGTATATGCACGCAGTGAGGCCTCATGATGAAATGGTTTACTATATCTCAGAGATCCGGCGTAAGGTCTGGCGGTTTATGGTGAGAGCTTGCCCCGCGTAAGCAAGCAAGAGAAGAGGCAATCACCATCGCCGGTGCGTCCAGGCTGGCAACTCAAGATGTCTGATAGCATACCTGTAAGGTAACTGATGCAGTAACCAGCAATGTCAATACTATCGCTGCAGCAAGCCGCACTGCGTCATACCAAAAATGCCCTCAGTTCTCCTGTCACAGCACAGCTTCTTGCAGCTGTCTCTCCCCCCCACGTGGCCTCAATGCCGTCCAATTGAGTTCGGCCCGACATCAGCCGACGCTGCTTCTCCCGCCTTCCCCCAACCAAAGCCGGCCCAGCCAATCACCGGCCGCGGCTGCGCCCAAAACATTTTCCCTCTCTCCAAACCTCCAAACTGGAGAACGAACCTCTTCCCTTTTGGCCTGATCCTATCAGCACACCGCAATTGCTCCAGCCTCTTCCCTCTCGTCACACCAGCTTAACATCTCCTCTTCTCTCTTCTTCTTCTTCTTCCTCCTCTCACAACCACCGCCAAAATGTCCATCCCCGCCTTCTCCGACATTGCCAAGCCGGCCAACGACGTATGCGCTCCTTTCCTTCCCATGCAGCTGCTGCTCTTGTGTTTTTATTCTCGCTGTCTCCTCGGCGTTGCTTTGCTCCCTCGGCTGTATAGCTCGGGGATAGCTTCCAGCTGCGGCAGCGACTGCACTTGTCCCAATCTCCAGACGATGACGACTGACGTGCTTCCTCTTCTTCGCGCCCTGTAGCTCCTCAACAAGGACTTCTACCACCTGTCCGCCACCACCTTCGAGTTCAAGGACACTGCTCCCAATGGCGTCGCCTTCAAGGTGACCGGCAAGTCCAGCCACGAGAAGGTCACCTCTGCTGCTGTAAGTCTCCGATCCAGTCGCCCCAATCTTGCTCTCTCTGCCTCCATGTCTCTCTGTTTGCCCTTCCCCCGCCATCGTGCGGCGGGCCAACGGGTCGCATGTCGCGGGGTTAGATTCCAAATTGCAAAGACTGACGGGGCCATTGCCGTGGATAGATTGAGGGAAAATACACCGACAAGCCTACTGGTACGGCCTCCCCAACCAGCCCAGTCCAAACTGAAACACGCTGTCTTCCCCCCCTAGCGCGCTCTTCCGTCCGACGCTCGTCGCCGCATGCTATCCGGGGCCATTGACGATGCTAACGCAGCTCCGCGCCCATAGGCCTGACCCTGACCCAGACCTGGAACACCGCCAACGCCCTCGACACCAAGATCGAGGTCAGCGACTCCCTGGCCAAGGGCCTGAAGCTCGAGGGTCTCTTCAACTTCCTGCCCGCCACCGCCGCCAAGGGCGCCAAGTTCAACCTGTTCTTCAAGCAGCCCGGCTTCCACGGCCGCGCCTTCTTCGACCTGCTCAAGGGCCCTACCGCCAACGTCGATGCCGTCGTCGGCAACGAGGGCTTCCTGGCCGGTGCCAGCGCCGGCTATGATGTCAACAAGGCCGCCCTGACCGGCTACAGCGCCGCCGTCGGCTACGTCGCTCCCCAGTACAGCGCCGCCATCACCGCCACCGATAACCTGAGCACCTTCGCCGCTTCCTACTACCACAAGGTCAACAGCCAGGTCGAGGCCGGTGCCAAGGCCACCTGGAACTCCAAGACCAGCAACACTGTCGGTCTTGAGGTCGCCAGCAAGTACCGCATTGACCCCGTCTCCTTCGCCAAGGTACGTTTTTTTTTTTTTCTTCTCAACCCAACCGCGCCATTACCGTGAGCTTCTACTAATGCTTTTCCGAACCAACAGGTCAAGATCAACGACCGCGGTATTGCTGCCCTTGCCTACAACGTCCTCCTCCGCGAGGGTGTCACCCTGGGTCTTGGTGGCTCTTTCGACACCCAGAAGCTCGACCAGGCTACCCACAAGCTCGGTGCTAGCTTCACCTTTGAGGGTTAAGCCTCAGAAACCCCTCCCCATCACCTCTACGGCCATTGACGTCCCATGTGTGTATACAATGTACATGTGAGATGTGAGTGACGAGGCGGGGGTGTAGTTGCTTTTCCGCGACTGCGTCTCCATCGAGTTATCCCTGAAGGGTTTACACATGGCCCCGAGGAGCCGACTCGCGATTGAATCTCTGGTGGTAGATAGATGCCTTTCTTGTCTTCTTGGAGCAACCGGGGACCAAGCAAAAACCCAAAAGTAAATAAAGAATATCTTGCGCAAGTGAAACAAGGCGGTCGCCGGTCGTGGTTTCCTTTCTGTTACTGTTACTTGTTCTGCTCTGTGATGCTGTTTTTGCTTCTCTGCTGGTCCTCACAAAAAGTATGATGATGCATATATGTGTATATTAGCACAAGGCTCGTTATCTGTACCTCAACCGCCTGTGTATTGATTAGGTATTCTCTCTTTGAAGAACGATAACTGCCTCTCATTCCTGTATCATCGCGTCTTTTATCTATATCTTACAAAACACATCCCCCCGTCCTCGGTCGTTCAACCCCCCTCCTCCTTCTTCCTCCTGCCCAAGCGCATAAACTGCAAGTACACCGCCGGCGCCACAAACGTCGCCGCCAAGATGCCCGCCACGATGAGGAAGTGCCCCGCAAGGCTCGTCTGCGGCTCAAACTCGATGCCGTCGTCCCCGACGGCCCTCCGCTGGCGCTGCCACCGCCGGCGGTCCTGCCGCTCGTGCGTCCGCGTGTGGCCCTCCCTGTCAAAGTGCGGCGGCACCTCGTCGTCCTGTCGGAACGGCGACGAGCCGGGGCCCATGCCGCCGTACTGCGACGACGACGACGACTGCGTTTGGTGGAAAGCGCTCGTGTCCCAGGGGTTTGCGCGCTGCTGCTGCTGCTGCTCTCCCGCTGCGCGAGACGATGCCGCGCCGCCGGTGGACTCCTCGTGCGCCTGGTGTCGCTTCTCGGCGTGGGCGCCCCATCCGCCGCTGCGGTAGAAGCTGGGCGGGGGGCCGCGGAAGGTTCCCCTTCGACGGCTCAGGCCGGAGGGCGGGCGGCCGCCGGCGGGATTGGTGCTGTGGTAGGAGCCGTGGTGGGAAGGGTGGTGGTGGTGGTGGTGGCCGTGCTCGTGCAGGCGCAGGACGTCGCGGTCGTAGGTGGCTCTGCGGGAGGCGTTGGAGAGGACGGTGTAGGACTCGGAGAGGAGGGAGAAGTTGTGCGAGGCGTCGGGGTCGGAGCGGTTTGCGTCTGGGTGGTGCGTTTTGGAGAGGGCGTAGAAGGATCTTGTGGTGTGAGAAGAAGCACGCAGTTAGTTAGTTAGTTGACTGTTGGGGGAATAGATTTGCTTTTGAAGAAAGATATGCGCTTGGGCGAAGGTTTTGTTTGGTTTTGGTTTTGTTTTTTTGCGTACTTTTTGATTTCGGCGGGTGTGGCATTCGTCGATACCTTCAGCCGCTCGTAATGATTCTTTCCCTCAAAGGTACTGCTCTTCTTGAGATGCCTCGACGCATGGAAGCGCCTCCTCGTCGACGCCCCGAAGAGGAAGAAGAAGAAGATACCGCGATCAATGCCGCCATCGCAGCATCGCAGCGGACGCAGTCCTTCCGCACTACTCGAGACGAAAGACCAGGCCGAGGCCGTATCAAGCCGGCATCGTCCGTAGGAGCGCGCAGCAGATGCTCCCCCGTTCACGCAAGGCCGTGACGACAATGTCGACAATTGCACCAGGGAAGAAGAGCACGGGACGGTGGCAAAGGTGCGCGGGAGACGGGGTGGCATGCCTTGCGTATCCTCATCACCGCTTTTTGAGGAGGCGGAAAAAAGAGAGGAGGAAAATCGAGGACGGAGGAGGAGAGACAAGGGCGAGAAGGTTGTTATCGATCTATGTGGTCAACCATGTACTATGTAGTCTAGTGTCTAGCAGAGAGGTGATGGCAGGAGGTGATGTAATCGACGGTGGCGGGTCTCCATATGCAATCCTGGAGTTTAGAGCCGGTAGCGGGGCGGACGGTCAAGGTGTAAGTCTGGTACCTTTAAGTACCTTAGGCTCAAGGTCACAAAGCAAACGAATCAACATGAAGGAAAGAAAGATGCTCAAGATGGATCACTGCTTGATTGCTATTCAAGCACCAGCGTGTAGATGATATCTTTTGTATCTACAGACTGAAGCAAAAACTTCCGAACTCTATCAGTATCTAATGCTTTGATGAGCTGATATCAACATGGCCATCTAGACACGCACGCAAACGCCTCTTATACCCTATGGTATCATGATGATTTTCCAAAAGACGCACGCACACATCACCGCCAAACACGAGCCGGCCTCTGATCCTTCTTTACACAGCTGGCCGCTTGAACGGATGCGCTTCCGTGTTGAAAACCCACTTGTCTAGGTCAATGGCACTTTCGTCGTCGAAAATCAGGTAGAAGTACTTGAGCGTCTCAGCCAGCCAAAATGTCTATTGTAAAGCATCGTCTGTTAGCTTGCCGTCCACTTCCGTTTCCAGAGTACTTGGTCATCGAGGGCATAAAACTTACCTCCATGACATCGCCTTTGGAGCCCATGCTCACGGTGACGTCCTCCACAATGGCAAAGGCTTCCTCCGTCTCCGTCTCGCGGGCTATGTTCTCCCACATCCTCCAGGCCGTCTCCCTCCAGACCTGGTCGCCCGTGATGCGCCACATGTAAAACACGCTCTCAATGGCTTCTGGCCGCAAGAGATAGTGCCTGCTCTTGACGTTGACGAAACCTTGGGGTTTCCTGCCTTGAGGATCAATGGGCGCTCTGGCCTCATCGTAAGGGCATGGTCCGTCGAGCTCCGGGCAAGCTATCACATCCGCCGACTCGGGCATGATGCCAGAGGCGAAAGAGTCATATGCCCATACGCAGCCCGATGAGATGCGTGCGCCCAGGTCGACATAGTCGTCTCGCTTGAATAGCCTGCCAGCCATCGCGTACATGCCGCCGGCGAAGCACGTGAGGTGTTGCATCTCGGCAACTCGCTGGACATTGCCGTGGTCAACCACTGCATTTCCAATGGCCAGGATGTTGTCGTCCTTTGGAGTCATGGGACGAAATAGCAGGTTGTCCCTGGCGGTATCGAGCGCCCTGATGGCCATTTCTGGGTACTGGGGGTCCAGTCCACCGAGAAGCGCGGGCATCTTGACCAGGTACTCGTACAGGGAGTCTGCGCTGCCTCCCATGGAGTATCGACTCTCAATCATGGTCTCATCGCGGTAGTTCATGAAGACTGGCCACATGCCGGGGAGCGAGGTTTCGTTTTGGAAGCGATAAAAGAACTGTTTGATGCGCTCCGTGGCATCGTAATACTTGGGGTCGCCCGTGATTTGCGACAGGCGAGTAAACTCCATACAAAGGGTGCCACCAGCAGCTCCCGACATGCTGTCATCGGCCTTTTGGGTGCCCTTCTTCGCCTTGTTGTAGTCGAGCCAGTGAGACGGCAGGCGATTCGGTGTGTCAAACGTAGCGTAGAGGGTATCGCCAAGCTCGATAGCCTTTGCGCGCAAGACCGGCTCCTGCGAAAGATCGTACGCGGCAATCAGACCGCCGAGATATCGAATCGTCACCTCGAATAGGTTGACAACACCATTGTCCTTGGTCTTGGACCAGTCAATAAGCGCCACTTCTTTGACCGCGAGGAAGAAGTCGTCCTTGAGATCCATGATCCACAGACTATCCAAGGCATCCACCAGCTGTGCCGACCACCCGCTGAAGGTTTCCTTGCCAGTGCGTGAGAGCGGCTGCAGCTGGTCCTTGGTCCACGCATATGTCTTGTACGCCTCCCAGCTCTTGACGAAGGCATCCTTGACAGCCTGCTTCCGGGCCTTGGTAGTGTCGTCCTGAGGTTCCGACTGGTTCCTGTGCTGCATCCGGGGAAAAGTCACAGGCGTGCCCTGGGGGAGCATCTTCATATCCTTGACGGGGTAGTAGACTTTGGCCTTGCTCCAGTCATAGCTGCTGGGCACGTACTTGAACCTGCCGACGGTGGCTGATCGAGGGACGAAGTCATAGCCGCTCCAGAGGAAGAAGGCGACAAAGGTGGCAAAGGCCACGAGGGCGATGTAGCGGCGAGGGACTCGGCCCTGAAGCTGGTTCAACATGGCGACTTCTGTTCGTTTCCTATGACGAGTACATGTTTCGTTTCGTTTATACAAGATGCAAATGTGTCCAACAAGAATCCCGACAAAGCCGCGGGGGGAAGCTTGTCAGGGCTGAATCGAGGTTAGGTCAGGTTGAGAAAAGAGAGCGAGTGCTTGAGAACAATGCAAGCAACCAAAGAGCAGCGCAGCGCCAAAAAGGAGGAAGAGAAGGAAGATGAACCAGGGCAACGCAGAGGAGAGCAGTCAAGTAAAGGAGGAGGAGGAGGAGGAGGAGAAAAGGAATAGGGAAAAGGAACTTCGTAAAAAGGAACAAGTGAGCAAGTAAGCAGGACCCAATAGGACGATGGATGGCCAGCTCCTGCCAGTGGTTGTTTGGCCTTGGCAGCCCGCCTTGGCAGAAAGTCCCCTATAAACAGGCGAGGAAAAGGCTGCTAGAACGCAATCAAATGCCAACCGGGAAAGGGCTGAGTGAGCTGAGCCCCCTGTAACAGCCTCCAGTGGCTCTGGGGCAGTTCAGCTGGCCGTCTTTCAGGTGGGTAGATTCTTGCCCAAATCAGGACACGCAAAGTAGGTACCGGTGCCTTGGATACGCCTCTTTCATGATGCATCGATTACACGTCTATGAGAGTGCAATTCGGCCTCGTTACGCATTACAAGTCCTCACCACTTCTAGGCAAAACGCCACATTCTTTGAACCAACCATCAAGTAATAGAATGTATGTAGAGAGCGATGCAGTTGCGTTTGATTGGCTGCTCTTACATAAACCTACCATAACTCCGAATCCAATCCGTGGATGGAAACTCCCGCCTTTGTGCACGGACAAATAGCGACCGAATACGGCAATCTAGGGTAGGAGTAATTCAGGTTGCCTTGGTATGGATTGCCCGTGACAGGTTGATGATATCTGATCAAACATTAAATTTCAAGCCACAGCGATGGCTAGCATTTTGGCTAGGTAGATTACCACACACTTTGAGTCACCTGTCAACGCAAGAGAAAAGTTATGCTTCAACAGAAGCATGACTTGACAAGTCTCCTCCCCACACGACCCCTATTTCTCCCTACACTGCCACCATCAAACTCCATAATATTCCGTCCGACCGCGGTTGGTTGTAGTATAGCCACACAAGTACGGAGTACGGAACGCGAGCTGCCTCCGGACCGTAAATTCCGAATGCACCTGCAAGATAGTATTCGCACACATCATTTGGGTCTTATACCGCTCTTCCTTCTGATAGAGGTAGGTATCGTGCGGAGGTAGGTGTCCGCGCAATCCTGGGTACAGTAGCCTCCCCTTCATCGACTCTATTTGCACCAATCGGCAATGCTTCCCTCTCCACAGGTCAAGCGTTCATCGCCTTTATACCAAGTGCCACTGGGGCAACTGGGAGCGTTGCTTGCGTGCTGTGCCATAGCCGCTGGAGGATTGGTTGACCCTTCTGTTGGGCAAGCCGCAAAGGGTCTCATCAACTCTCGAATAAGATTCACGTCGACGATATTCAACGAATGACTGGTTGTTTTCTTGACTAATCTGAGTAAAAGAGTGTCTAATAGTTGGCAGTAATTAAAGATCAATTTGCATCGTCCCGATAAACGTCGGGCAATCGGCCGGGAAAATTGCCAGAGGGTTCGTATTCGGCAGCAGCTCTCAGAAACAGCGAGCTGCCAACACATGGCTCTCCATTCCGGCAGTCTGCCCTCAGCGTCGTCTCGCTGCTCCATCAAACAAAACAAAGAAGTCTAACCCCCCTCCCCCGTCACACCATTGCCGTTCATACGCTGCTGCTCGTCGTGGACCTTGGAAGAACAGTCACAGAAGCTGTCACCGCCGCCTCCCGTGGATCACGAGTGTCAAGCAGGCTGTCTCGACAAGCCTTGACCAGAAACACACCTCATCTCGACGGTGTACTAGCTTCAACTCCGATACACGTTCGAAGAAGCAATCAGCTGCATCACCAGGCTCGAAGTGATCGCAGTCACTTTAGTCCAGTGGAACTTTCGGCTTTCCTACGACCTTTTCGGCGGAGGGGCTGTCGTAGCCATCGCGATTTGATGAGTCCCGCGGAAGTTATTGCTCGTTATAGTAGAGCCCTTGGGAACTATCCTTATTGGCATCACTTGCTCGTGCAAGAAATCTCTCCTTCTAGAGTCCTGTGCCTGTCACTCAATCGTAGCCTCCACCGATCTGGCTGTGGAAAGCGGTGCTGATGCTCTTCTCGTCGTCGTCGTAGCGTCGCCCGTAGCCGCTACCAAGCGTCATACGGCCATTGCTTTCCACGTAGTGCTTCAGCCTGTCGCTCTGACTGTACGAAACGGCTCGCATTCCCGTCACAACGTCGTGCAAGCCAGCGCCCAGGCTGACGCCTCCTTGGCCAATCCCCTTGGCGCCAATGACACTGGCCGAAGCATCGGTCAGCTCAGAGTTGGCCACGCTTTCGCCAGCAACACTTTCGGGCGCCCGGTTGCGACTCTTATGTCCTCGTCCCGGCGCCGACACTCCAGGCAGCCCGGGCCACTGCTCGGGAGCAAAGCTGGAGAACATTGGTGGGAAGGCCGTGTTGAGAGCCGCGCCTCCAAAGGCCGAGCCCTGAATCGACGACACATCGTCCGGGATGTACGAGACCATGGAGCCCGCATCAAAGTCACGGCCGGGAGGACCGCCATTGAGTCGGCCGCTCTGCTGCCTGGCGCCCGGATACTGAGAGGGCTGGCTGTTCTTCTGGCGGTAGCTCACTCTGGGGCGGCTGAACTGCAGCAGGCATGCCTGCAGGTTGGTGAGGGGTCCCTCGACGAAGCACTTGCGATCCTTGAAGTGCGTGAGGAGGTTGTGCCAAAGCTCATGCTTGGAGAGAACCTTGGGGTTACCAAGGATGACAAGTCCATATTTGGCTCGCGTGAGGGCGACGTTGAGACGGCGGGGATCAGACAAAAATCCGATGCCCTGGTTGTCGTTGGATCTCACGCAAGACAGGACGATAAAATCCTTTTCACGACCTTGAAACGCATCCACCGAGGCTACCTCGACATCCTTGTACCACCCCTTACTGTACGAGCCCGAGTTCTGCATGGTGGAGACGATGTAGCTGCGCTGACCCTCATACGGCGTGATGACTCCGATTTCAGATGGCTTCACGCCCGCCTTGAAGAAACGCGTCACCGTCTTCTCGACGTTGGACGCCTCGGTCCTGTTCAAGTAGGAAGTGCCGGACGTGGAGATCTCTTCGTGGCCAATGTTGGACCAGAACATCATGGGCATCTCCGCCACGGGCCAGGGAAAGTCGACGTCCTTGCGGATTCGTTGCTCGTGGGTGATACCGTTCTGGAGAGTGCCGTCGTAGAACATGTTGGAAGGGAACTCCGAGAGGCATGGGTGCATTCGGTATTGCGTCTTGAGCGGAATCGGATTGATCTTCAAGTTGATGAGTCGCTCAAACAGGGACCTGTTCAGACCGGCCTTGGCCGCCTTCTTGTTCATGATGACAGGACCGAGCTGCTTGTGGTCACCGACCAGGACGACCTGCTTGCATCCGAGGACAAGAGGAATCATGCATTCGGGCTCGGCAGACTGGGTAGACTCATCAATCAGGACGTTCCGGAACTTCATCTTGGAGAGTCGCGGGTCGCCTGCACCGACACAGGTGCAGCAGATGACATCTGCGTTGGTCAAGATCTCTCGTTCGGCAGCCTTGGTCAATTGCCTCAGCTTCTTCTCATCCTGACTTGAAAGTTCGCCGACTTCGCTCTTCAGTTGCGACAGTTTCACCAGTTCGCTGTTGTGCTCGGAGAGACGGACCTGCTCATGCAGAGCCAGGAAGCTGACAGATGATTCCACGTCCTCTCGCGACTTGGCCGTGAGCCGAACCACCTTGAGGCCTGTGCGGTGCACACGTTCGCAGAGCTGATCTACAGCAACGTTCGATGGGGCGCACACCAGCACTTGGCTACCGCTCATCTTGGCAAGGTGATAGATGATGGTGGCAGAGGTCACGGTCTTGCCCGTTCCAGGGGGGCCCTGAATGAGGCTGAGAGGCTTCTGGAGAACGGCTCTAATTGCGTCCACCTGGCCCTGGTTCAGATCAGGCAGCCCGGGAGCGGACCATTTCTTAGGTAGCGTAACTTTCATGGGCGGCGGCTGGCAGATATGGCCGAGCAGGATGTGAAAGATGTATCCCGAAACACTCATGTCGTCGACGGCGAACGTCTTCATGGCGAGCTGCATGCGATCGTACGAGGTGGCTTTCCAAACGTAGTCGGCCGAGAAGTTGTGAGAGAGGTCAATGGGGACGGACTTGTCGTTGCCAGTCTTGCGGAGCTCGAGACAGACCTCGTCGGATTGACTGTTGGGAATCTTAATAACATAGCCAACTCCCTCCCATGGCTCTCGAAGCTCGCCGGTGTAGCGCAGTCGCATCTCGTCGCCAACTGCGAGCTTGACATCGCCCGACTCAATCTTCTGTAGGTTAAAGCTAGCAATGTGCTTGTTGTTGAGAGCATAATCCCAGCGAACCGTCAGGCCGTCTTCCGACTGTGCTTCCTTGAGCTTCTTGTCATAGTCGGACTCCATCTTCACAAGGGGACCAAAGATATTTTGATAGTGATACGGATCGTCATAGGTCAGCTGAACGGGGAGAGGGTCGTCGTCGATGTTGGAAGCCTTCTCCAAATCTTCAATCGTCGCATCCGGTTCGAGCTTCCACATCTCCTCGAGCTTAGCAATCGTGTTCGGCGTGAGGTGGCGGGCGCGCAACTGTTCGGCATCAGACGGTGGGCTCACGAGCCACGGCAGGAATGCGCGTTCTTCAATGAGAGGCTCCCATCGTGATGTGTCCCAGGCCATGTCCTTGTTCGAATGGGGGGCGGCGCAAGGTTGGCGGCATAGCAAGACAACGACGGCGTCGGATTTCGCAGGGATAAAGCCAAGAATGAACACATTCTTCGTTCCACAGCTGTAGCACTCCAGCACGGTGTCTCCGAGGGTCGACTCGGGGTGGAGTTGGACTTCCTTGTGTCGTGCGCGAACCAGGTGATTAACGATGTGGGTAGAGGAGCCGCTGCCGCGGGCGCTGCAGAACCATTTGCTGCACGTAAGGCATTTGATGACGCAGGCCGGAGAGTGAATGCCGCAGTATCTGTAAAAGCCCTTGATTAGCTTCATATCCAGCACCAACGGCTGCCTGTTATTACTCACGCGCATGCATGAGCAGGAAGCTCCTTCTCCTCCTCGGGGTTCTTCAATTTCATGCCCATCATTTGGTCAATGGGGACACTGTTAAGACTGTCGTTGTCGTCCTCTTCAAACGCCTCCGTCTGGTTGTCGTCATCGTCGGCTCGGCGCCGGCCACTTTGGCCACCGTATTTGCCATAAAGGAGAGCCTCGTCGGGATCGAGCGCGGACAAGTCGTCCGCGCCAGCCTTGATGGCCGCAGCGGAGTCGGAAATGAGGTGATTCCCGACATGGGTGAACGCGCCCTCCATCTTGGGTTGATACTCGGGCAGGTGCGCCGGATCGTTCTGTGTAGACGGTTGTCAGTCAGCCTCGAAGCGGGTGAGAGTGAATTTGCCGTGAGGCGTAACACCAAAGAGGGAGGAAGAAGAAAGAGTGGCTGTAGGACAAAAATACAGTCGCTCGCGCTTCGGCCTCACATACCAATGGAATGAAGGGAGGTATTTACCTGAAAAGTAAATATGAGTGATGTAGGAATCCGGTGCGTGAAGCTTCGGCGCGGATATTAAGGGAAGGATTCGATGGTTTCGTCGGCCGGCCTCACATCATCGCCGCAGACACCGGGCGGGAGAGAAGGAAGCAAGAAAACCAGGTTTAGCAGCAAAGATAGTAGACTCTCGATCTCGAATTCTCAGGTGAGGGATTCGCTGCCGGGGGAATTGTGATCCAAGAGGCAGAAAGCGTTTTTCTCTGCACTTGACAGGCTGGATCTATTATCAGACAGTGGAAGCGGCTAAGAGACTCGGGAAGACTGCGGTGCTAAGGCAAACGTCCAAGACTTTGGTGGGATAATGCGCCCACGTGATAAGGTGGCGCGTTATCGATAAGCTAGAATGTCGGCAGAACTGATAAGCCAACTTTTTTTCTTCTACATAGCGGTTCTCATTCCCAAGCCTGCGGATCGGGAACGCAGCCGTCAAGTGGTTCGGCAACAGTTGAAGTTGAACCATCCATCATGATTGTACGTTGATCCGATTATCGTGCTGTAGAGCACTTGGACTTTTGTCGATGGCTAACAGTGAGATTGCAGCGCAAACAAGCTCGCCAGCGGCGCGACTACCTCTACCGACGGGCGCTTCTGCTGCGTGATGCCGAAATCAGCGAAAAGAGGGCGAAGCTGAGAGCCTCTCTGGCCTCAGGAAAGCCCTTGGACCCGACAATTGCCAACGACAAGTCGCTGAGGAAAGACTACCAGTATGACGAGTCGCGAGATCTTACTACGAATGAGCAACTGGATTTGGACGACGAGTATGCGCAGCTGTCCGGCATCGTGGACCCTCGAGTTCTCGTAACGACTTCTCGCGATCCCTCGGCCAGATTATCGGCCTTTGCGAAAGAAATCAGACTCCTTCTCCCGACCTCGATCCGAATGAATCGTGGTAATCTCATCCTGCCAGACCTCGTCAAATCCGCCCAGTCTGCAGGCCTGTCCGACATGCTCCTGCTTCACGAGCATCGCGGTACACCCACAGCCTTGACGATTTCCCATTTCCCCCACGGACCGACAGTGTCATTCTCGTTGCACAACGTTGTGCTACGCCACGATATCCCCGGTAGCGTTCGAGGAACGGTTTCCGAGTCATACCCTCACCTCATCTTCGACGGCTTTACGACACGCCTGGGAGAGCGAGTTGTCAAAGTTCTCAAGCACCTGTTCCCGCCCAGAGAGCCAATTACCAGCAAGGCTAAGATTGGCAACCGCGTGGTGACATTCAAAAACATTGACGACAGCATCGAAGTCAGGCATCACGTTTTCGTGCGGACAGGTTACGATAGCGTTGAGTTGGCCGAGGTCGGGCCTCGAATGACCATGAGAGTGTTTGAGATCCGCGGCGGTACACTGGAGAACAAGGACGGCGACGTTGAGTGGCACCTGTCGCAATACACACGGACTGCCAAGAAGAAGAATTATCTTTGATTCATCATTGGGCATCTTTCATCTGGTGGACAGAGCTCTCAGCGCCTCCCTTTTGCGCGCAGAATGGCCGCTCCCTGCAATATTCGACGTCTGCTGGGGCATGAATCCGCTATCCAGCCTTGCCAGTGGAGGCGGGCTTAGAACGACGTTCCAGGCTGATGGTGGCCGCCATGGCTGAGTATAGTACATTTTTGGTCCAAGACGGCCTCATGTCAAAGAGTGCTTCGCCACGATGGCGACGTAAAGCTTCATGCGAAGGCTTTTGAAGCCACAAACTTGTACGCCAGCAGCGGTCGAGTAGGGGTGAGAGCCGAGGAGATATTGCATGGATTTTAGCGGCCTTGAAGGCCAATCCATGCGCCGTTGTCGATTGACGACTCCAAATAGCTGATATTCAAGACGCTTTGCGGATCAGCGATTGTATATAGTGATCTTTGAGGATACTGTACATAATTATTGAAAGGTTTTCTGTTAAAAGTTGTAGTTATTTACGATACTGGTCTGTTGTCTTAGTTGAATGAGACGTACCTAAGGTAGATTGACTTCTGATTCGCACTGGCAACCAAGCCCGCGTGAGGATACTCGCGAGCTCCCTTATTAGAGAGAGCCTCAGCTGTACTTCTGATTACACCGATCAGCTATCGAACTGCCAACAAGCATCCGTTTATTAGCAGACGCTACGTGAATACTTGCACGTTCTGGTAAGGTAGCAATCGGTTAATGCAAGATACCACAAGAACCGTCAACGTCTGGCAGAATACGAAGCTACAGACCCCTGCCTATCATCTGATCCTACAAGCATCCGACTTGCGAGGGCTTCTCCGGCTTCAGCGTCATTTGACGTAATGCCGGGAAAGAAGACTCAGAGAAGACTCAGATGAAATCTTGTTCCCTTTGTCTTGGTTTGAAAACCAATCCTCGCTCCTCACTAATGTATATTCTACTCCTTGATGGCTGACAATAACGTTGATCGACTGCGACAACTTCTGGGTGATTTACGCACCTCGAGCAGTCCATTCAATGGTTCCGCCTCTACCTGCATGCAGATACAGCAGGCCAGCCCACTGCAGACTTCGCTGTCGACGCGCAATGATGGCATCCTACAGGCTGCCGTCCATTGGCTCGTTTGCTGGCAAGGGCAGCCCCAGCCACGGGTTGATGACAAGTCAGACCCGTTTCGCGCGCCAGGCAAGGCATGGGTTCATGGCCGCGGCCGCGATGCGCATCGATTGGCGGGCGCATGGGCCAGCGATCAAGGGACTCAAGGGACTGGAGGAATCTGGGCAACCGACGGGCCCTGTGGAGCTTGTCAACGGGTGGTGATTCAATTCCATTGCATGCTCAACCTTGAACGTGGCAAGGCGGGCTTCGTAATGGCGCCGAACGACGACCAGCTTCCTCTGTTTAGCAGCTACAAAGCACTAGCAGCACTACCTAGACAGCTGCTGGGCGCAGCGCGCTGACAAAGGCTCCGCCCATCCGCAGCAGCACGGAACGTGAAGTCTTTTTGCGAACACGACTCGGCCTCGGGTCGCCGGTTGAGGATTGGAATTGAGGGAAAACCTGGTGCTTCAGCCCGGCTTGTTGAAGCTACTACTACTATACCTACTCAACAGCCCAGTGCCCAGTAATGGCTGTCTCTCGAACTCCGTAGGTACCTTGTAGCAATCCAGTCTGGCTTCACTTCTGGGCAGCTGGCCGTTGTTGTACGTCATCACAGCCTGTGCATGTACTCGTACTTTCGGACCTCCACACTCACGGGCATTTTTACCCTTCTCTGTGCTCACTCCTCCCATTCGGCCTTTATTTTTGCGCCTCTGCAGTCTTCCGCTTTAGGCCGCTGAAAAACAAATTGCCGTCCTCTGACCTTCTCGCTCTTCCTCCACCTCCGCACCACCCGAAGCAGCTTCGGTATACCTTAAAGCTACTGCTAATTGTTGCTGCTTCTTCAATTTGTGCCGCAACTCCCCCGCCAATTAGAATCCTTGTGCTTGTTCATCATTCTCGAACTTTCACAGCACGAGGCCGCCTTGTCCGCTGTTCCCTGCGTCTGCTTTCTGCAGTCTTGAAACTACCTTGTTTGTACGTACCGGCAGCAGCAGCGGCGACACCGCAAAAGCCAAGCTTTCGGACCTGCCTCTAGCGGTACCTGTCGCCCGAAAAGCCATCGCCGGGTACTTCTGCCCTTCTTCTCCTTCCTCTCCTCCTTCTTCTTCACCACCACACGAGAAACTCCCGATAGACGCTTTTCCAGCATGTCGAGCGGGCAAAATCCTTATTCGCAAGGCCCTACCCAGGAGTCTGGATACGGCGGCGGCGGCGGCGGCTATGGTCAGGTAAGCATGAGGCGTTCTCGCGGCGCTGCGATAGCCGCACTTCGCGAAGAGCGAGGACGATGCTAACAAACTGCGCCCGGGCAGCTGAACCCGTATGCTACCAATGCGAGCGACAACGCCTCGCCGTATGGCAACAACAACTACGAGCTGCAGGACTACAACAACCAGGGCACCGCTGGTGGCAATGGCTACGCCCAGGAGCAGGCGTCCCGGCAGCCTGCCGTGCTGTCGCAGCAGGACTTCCTCAACCGCGTGCAGAACCTGCGCAACGACATCAAGGCGCTGACCGCCGACATTGACTACATCGGACAGCTGCATCAGCGGACCCTCAGCACCACCGACCAGGAGGCCACTCAGCAGCTGGAGCACTACGTGGCGCAGACGCAAATCCGCAACACCGCCATCAAGGACGGCATCAAGGGCCTGGAGCGCGACCTGCTCAAGACGACAGACGCCTCGCGCAACACCAAGAAGACCCAGCTGGAGTCGCTCAAGACCTTTTTCAAGTCCGAGCTCGACAAGTACCAGAGCATTGAGCGCGACTACCAGCAGCGCTACCGGGAGCAGATTGCCAGGCAGTATCGCATCGTGAACCCGGATGCGTCGGAGGACGAAGTGCGACAAGCCACAGAGGCCGATTGGAACAACGAGGGTGTTTTCCAGACAGCTGTAAGTGTTTTTAACTCCCCTTCTGTACAGTTAGAGGTGTATTGGATATCGGGGAATCGGCCTTGGGTGCCACACAATTCCAGTTCCTAGCTAGGAGCCTGTTTGCGCGGGTATAAACATAAGCAATGCTGACTCGACTGTTTGCAGCTTCGCACCAACCGCACCGGCCACGCCGCCTCTCTGCTGGGCAACGTGCGTGCTCGTCACAATGAGCTCCAGCGCATCGAGCAGACGCTCTCCGAGCTGGCCATCCTCTTCCAGGAACTCGCCGCCATGGTTGAGCAACAGGAGAACGTGGTCGTTTCTGCCGAGGTCAACGCCGAGAACACGGTGCAGAACATTGAAAAGGGCAACGAGCAGGTCAGCCAGGGCATTGAGCACGCCCGCCGCACCCGCCGCCTCAAGTGGTGGTGCTTCCTCATCTGCTTCCTCATCGTCCTTGCCATCGCTTTGGGCGTTGGCCTGGGTGTCGCTTTGACAAACAAGAACTAGTTTCCCCTCTGCGGCCGCTGTGTTCATCACTTGTCTTTTTTTTTCTTCTCTTTGTTTCTTCTCTTCTTCAAAATTCCAAGGGAGAGCCACACTCCATGGCTCACGGGGCGCAACTCTTTTTTCTTTCTTTCTTTTTATTCCCTGCTTAGACCATGACACATGTATTCAAACTGCAACAGGAGGAAGGCGAATGCCTTTCCGCAGCGGAACGATCTTATACAAACTTAATTCTAACTTTTCGAGACGCTACACGGGGAAAGGTAGCGTTGATTGCAGCAGCAAAGGGCCGGGGAGACTGGATTGACAGGTGTGAGAGGAAGGAAAAACGCGTCCAAAAACCAAACATGACATATATTGTGTGGAAGAATGGGGCTGCGATGGATGATGACTCTTTAATACCATGACGTCTCGGATGCCGAAGGACTTGAGGATGGAACGCCTTACCTTGGGCAAGGGAGGCGGACGGGGGAGTTGATGTGATGGTATGGATGAACATAGGATAGGGCTTCTTTTTATAACTTATGAAGTGGACAATGATGATTCTTTTATTGCATTTAAACATGGGAGGAGGCTTTCTCTCTGCCTTTGTTCGAGTTGCGAGTGGTGCATGCATCGTCGTCCTGTGTTACAAGACGTTTTCGATAAGGTATCTGGCCCTCATACCATGATGCAAAAGGGGAAAATGACATGGCCAGTCGTACAGGACAAGAGAAGGTAAAACCTCAGACAAATATAAAATAGAATTACAGATACGAATACAAGTACAGAAGAAAACGGTAGCTAGGTAATTCTTTCAATGACACCGTTACATATCCGAGCGACGTAAGATGTCATTTTTAGAGTAAACATGTACAGAGAGATTGGTTTCATTTCTGCATTACCAAAGTCACCACATACCACCTTTGCCCCCTTTCTTACAATTCACCACCCCTTTTTTGAACTCCTCTTCCCCCGGTACAGCTCTCTCGTGTACAAGTTCACTTCATTTTTGTTTCAGCTTTCATGTTTTTTCCTCCTTGTCCAATGCTTCCTTTGACTGCCCATTAACTCGAAACATGGGTCAAGAGCTCGTCATTGTCGTATGAGTAGAGTGTTGACCACCAAGGTAAAAAGGAAAAGTACGGGATGGTGAGCTCGCTTGAATAAAAGACAAACAAAACTCTTTTCATCCCAAATGTACCTCAATCTCCCAAATCGTTGTTGATATAAAACATGGCGGTAGCATGTACATTAGAGGTGGTACATGCGCACGCTTTGTATGCGTGCATTCTGCGCGTCTGAGAGCAATCTCCTCCCTCCATTTAATCGACTCTCTTTTTTGGTTGGTTTTTTGTTTCCTTCCTCTTCCCCGTTCCGCTACCGTCCAGCTATCCCTCCTGGAGACTTCGTGAGACGTAAACTTAAGGCATACGGAGTCCTGCAGGGCCGCCTGGGCCGCCGGCCAGCTTCTCTGCCAGCTTGGGGTACTTCTCCGTCACCTTGACCTGGGTCCGGGTGGCCTCGGCGTAGGACAGGGCGTTGACGATCTCGCCCTCGGTTCGGGCAAGCTCGGCGGCGCGCTCAAAGTACTTGAGCGCCTCAGTCACCTTGTTCTGCTGCAGCAGGAGCTGGGCCATGGTGGCTACGGCAATGTCACACTCGGGGTCGACTGCAGAAATTGTTAGCCTTTTGTCACAGGAACAATTAAAGATGGGGGATACTCACTAATGAGGGCTTTCTGGCACAGCTTCTCAGCCTCCTTAAAGTCCTGACTTGACTGGAAGAGGGCCAGAGCCTTGTTGATGAGGGGCAGCACGTTCATGGACATGGGCTTGGACTGCTTCTCCATCTCCATGGCCGTGTCGAACTTCTCAATGGCCTCGGCAAAGTTGCCCTGGTCCAGCAGCAGCTCGCCGTAGTAGTTGTAGACGTCGGGGACCTTGGGGAAGTTCTTGATGCAGCGACGGAAGGTGGCCATGGACGAAGCGATGGAGCCCATCTTGTACTGCGTGACACCAAGCTGGATGTGGGAGAAGATGAAGTCCTTGTCCAGGTCGATGGACTTTTGGTAGTCCTTCTGCGCACTCGCGAGATCGCCCTTGATGAAGTGAGCCTGGGCGCGGTGGTAGTAGACGTCGGGGTCCTCGCTGTCATGCTCGAGGGCCTTTGCGAACTCGGCATCTGCCTTGTCCGGCTCGCCCAGCTCCAAGAAGATGCTAGCCCGCTTGATGTAGCTCTGGGTCATGGTGGGATCGAGCTCGATGCTTCGGTCGAAATCCCGAGTCGCGTCCGCGTGGTTGCCCAGCAGGGTCCGCATAGTACCGCGCAGGTTGTAGGCGAGAGCCTCGTGCTCGCCGAGATCGCCCAGCTCAATGGCCTTCTCGAACGCTTGCCTGGCCTCCTCGTAGCCCTCGGCCGTCTTCTGCTCCAGCCCCTGGAAGCCGAGCTGCAGCTGTCCGAGACCGGTGTCGGGGGAGAGTTCGACCGAGTCGTCGAGAGCGGCGGGTCGAGGCTTCTGTCGGAAGCTCTGGAGGTAGTTGCCGACGAAGATGGGGCTGGGGAGCTTGGCGGGCCTCGAGGCCATGACCTCCTTGGCCTTGTGCTCGGCGAAGACCTTGAGCAGCCTCTCAACGGCCTGGGCGGTCGACTCGCTCTTGAAGTTGTCAATGATGCACGAGGCCGTGAAGTCGAGCAGGGCCTCGGAGTACATCTTGAGGTGCTCGTATGCGGTGGCACGGCGGTTGATGGCCTTGATGTAGTCGGGGTCCATGGCGATGGCGGCGGTGGTGTCCTCGACAACCTTTTCCCACTCGCTCATGGCGCTGTAGCAGGCGGCTCGGTTGGAGTAGAAGACGGCGTCGGGCTTGCACAGAATGGCCTGGGAGTAGAGCTCGATGGCCTTGTTGTAGGCCTTATCGCCGTAGGCCTTGTTGCCGGCCTGCTTCAGGCGAGCGGCGTACTGCTCTCGGACCTCGGGGGTCAGCTGCAGGACCGAGGTCTCGTTGATCTCGGGCAGCTCTGATTCGGGCTCGACGGTGGCGGCCTTAGACTGGGTGGCCTTTGTGTCGGCGGCCTTGCGCTCGGCCTCCTTGCGCTTCCTCCTCTCCTTCTTGCTGAGCTTTGGTGACGCATCGGATTTCTGTTGCGAAAGGGCCTATGGTTAGATATCAACCGTTTCTCAAGTTCAAGTCCAGTCACCCATGGAGAGATGCCCCTCGGCCAATGCGGCGAGCGACGGCGGCAACGCAGCTATGCGATGGCCCGTGATGTCGTCATGCCCTGGTCGAGCATCTACACTTGCAACCCCTCCACTGGTGATGATGATGGCGACAACGTACCGAGTCGTTGTTCAGGTAATAGACGACGCCCGCGCCGGTGACGACAACCGCCACGCCGGCAATGGTGTAGACGACGGCCTTGTGCTCCGACACCCACGAGGATATCCGGTCCCAGGTGGACGACTGGCTCGCGTCGACGGGGATGGCGCCCGCAGGCATTGACGGCAGCGGGTTGGACATGGTCAAGACAGAGGATCGAGATCAAGAGGGCGCTGCCGGGGCGAGAGGGCGAGAGGCGCAGCTGGAAGAGGCCGTCAGTAGAAGCTGAGGGGGGCGCAAAGAAGAGCTGCAGCAACGCGCAGCAGGAAAAAGAGACACAGAATTATGAGATAACAGGACAATGATGGCACAAACGAGGTTCGGTCCTCGTCTGCCTTAGTTCGAAATTTCGCACCAGCGGCTCAGGTTACTAACAGAAAAATTCCAGCCCACTGACGCTGCTGTTTTTTTCGCGTCTCCACCCAGCTCCAGCCGCTGTGAGAGAATTTACAAGAGCATCAAAGACGAAGAAGTCTCAGGTATACCTTTCGGATTGCATGGAGACGGAGCAGATGCCTGGGGCAGCTTCGACAATTGCTTATGATTGCATGATCTACTGAGCTAGCTACTGCTGCAGGAAACCATCAGCCTTTGAATCAACTGCCTCGACATAGAGGTCTTTGGCTGTAGTATAGTCAACCCTACCTACTAGGTAGGTAGTGCGAGGTGGTGCAGAATGCCATCGTCATAGCTGGAGAAGGCAAACCGCTGCCACTCCGCGGGGCCAAAGCCCGACAACTCTTATTCACCCGACGCCATTGGCCCATTACACGCCAGGATCATCTGCCGCCTGTCCTTGTATGCACGTATTGTCGCGAACCCTGCACGATGGGCTGCCGGCTCGTGAGATCGCACCATGTGGGAGATGCTTGCACTGTACGCCCATGTGTCTGTGCCCAAGTGCCTGCTGTCAGCGTAAGGCTGGGTGTCGAGGTGGATTTGTCCTTGAAGAAGCCGATTCGCCTCTTTTCCATCCCGGGAGTTTCTTTACATTGCCTGCGGTGGACGGAACAAATAACTGACTGACGATGCTGATGGCGATAGCCAACACAATGATGTACGCACTGTGAAGCCCGTCAACTCTTCGTTACGTGAGCGCAGCTTATACCTTTTCAACGTGCTCGATGTCTTTCAATCTCAATTGTCGTTCACTGTGTATTACTTCTTAGACATTCAATTTCGATACAGAGCATCTCTCCATCTACTCCATCCGTTATTCGCATGCGATACTGCTAAGGCACATACTGGCGCAAGGGTTTTAGGATAGTGTAGTCTACAGCACACCACCTTCACTCCCCCGTCTTCAGTAGATGCCTGCGTCGGTAGTTGAGCATCATGGCCGACGCCTTTTCTCTCTTCACCTCTCTTCGGTATGATCCGGCCTTGTTGGAGCTCCCATCAAAGAAGATCGACTACGCAGGATGGAACTCTGCCAATCGGTCCCCGTTCTACATGCTCGACTATCATCGCGATCGCATGCTACGGGCAGCAACCCACTGGGGATGGGACAAGGCCATCCAAGTCCTTTCGGGCGACAAGGGCCTGGACTCGTTGAGAAAGGCAGCGGAAGACTTCATCGGCCCATCTCAAACGGCTCCATTGCGCTTCAAGATTCTCGTCAGCCGCGAAGGCGTTGTGAGCTTCGAGAAGAACAACACGGCCCCTGTTGGCCTCGAGAATCTGTTTCCTCTGCGGCTGCCTCCCCCTGGATCTCCATCCGCTCCTCAGGAGCCGAAGAAAAGCCCTTGCTGGACGATAGTGCTTGATAACAGTCAAACGGCAGCTTCAGAGTACACTCACTTCAAGACGACCAAGAGAGAGATGTATGATTCTTCGCGCGAGAGGCGCGCCATTGCCCTGACAGACGAGCGAGAAGTCTTGCTGGTCAACCGGGACGACGGGTCCATCATGGAGGGAAGCTTGACAACGCCATATTTCTGGCGAGATGGCCAATGGGTCACTCCGCCTGTTCCTGCGACCTTTGGCCTGGGGGCCGGGAGCGGTGGCCAAGACGGGACGTCGAGACGATGGGCATTGGAAAGGTGAGCTGTAGAGCGTCTGAAGTAATCTTGCAGGATAGCTAACCACGACAACAGGGGACTGGCCGTTGAGCAGAGTGTTCCTGCAAGCTCCTTGGTGGATGGCGAAGAGTGCTGGATAAGCAACGGGGTGAGGGGGTTCATCGCTGGTGTTGTTCGCCTTTAGCAGGAGCATCACAGCGAACACTAGGAGACGCCCAGTAGCTGAGATGCAGTTAGAGAGCCATTACAATTACAAGAGTATCGTTTGTCTAACGTAGTCATACAGCCATGGAATGCAATTGTGACTTTTTTCCTTCTTTTGACGCTGATACAATAATAAGGTATCCATGGACGAAAAAGACGGGCAAGTTCTCAGTGGGTGAGACTTGCAGTTTCAAGGTTGTCGCTTTGGCGGTGACGCCGCTAAAAAATGGCCTGCACCTTGATAACTCCATTGGACGTCCTTCGCGTCTACACAATCGCGTCTGCCTCACCTTTCCTCGTGAACAAACAAACAGCGCGGTGTATTTGATGCTTTTCAGTTCGTCAATGCACCGCTCAGCCATCTTTGCATAACTGGAGTTGAGTTTCTTTGTTTTCGGTCATCTTTAGCCTTTCAATCCAGCGTTCATCGGATGGTATCGTATCGAATTCATCTCTTTTTCGTACAAACATCAGCTCTATCAGGCTTCGACATCCAACTTCATTTCACCACATCATCTAGAATATATGCCACTCCTGCATCATCCTCACCATGGCGATGATCATTACGCCTGACGTGGGCCGCTCCATGATGGACGCCATCGCCGCCGGTCGCGCCAAATACGTCGAACAGCGTTACAGGCAGGCTCTTGACTCCTTCACCGAAGTCAGGCGTCCTCACTCACCATGAAACCACTTGCAGCTACATATGCTAACTGCTTGTAGGCAATCAAGCGCTGCCCGTGTGAAGTTGCAAAGAGGAAGAGGAAGCGAGACGAGATGGAAGATGAAGAGCTCAGCGAAAGTGCACAAGCACTTCTTGCAACCCTCAAAGCCACCAGACCGCCATCGTCGGAATGTCTCAACCCACTGCACCTCCGAGCTCTCAACTACCGGGCTGGCACATTCGAAAAGGTGCCGGATCTCCGTCGTGCGCAGGCTGATGCGCAGCGAATGATGGACATTGCGCCGCGCTCGCCCGAGGTAAGCATAAACAACATCAAGACACATCATAAGAACCTTCCCCTAATCGGCCATACCTACAGGGTTATCTTCGTGCAAGCAAGCTTCTGCGGGCAGATGGAAAGTCATTGGAAGCCTTCAACGTACTGACAGAAGGCATTCTGGCGTGTTTGGAAGGGCCATTTGAACCAGAACACATACGGGTACGTTTGTCTGTCTCATACCAAGGGTACCAAAGCAGTATGCTTGGTGAGTAAGCTAACGGCGTGATAGATCCTTGACAAGGCCCGGAATCCCTTCAAACCCAAGTATGCCAAGGTCGATCCTTTTGGGAGCTTTCTGAGTCTTAGCTGGATGTCAACGGCTCATCTACCGCAGGAGCTTATACGGGACATTTTTGGTCGTTTGGATCTATTAACGCTATGGTAACGTCATAGACCCCCCTCGAGAACCGTCAGCTAGTACTAATCCATATTCTCCTTCAGTAACTGTCTGCGCGTTTCGAAAACTTGGAGGAAGCTGTTGACGGGTCCAGCAAGTGTGCAATTTTGGAGGTCGCTGCAGTTCACCGGCTCCTCGAACCCCAAGAGACCCGTTCCGATGAAGTCCTTGAGGAAGCTACTCTCGTACTCATCGAACGATATTCGGGAGCTCGTAGTAGCCGATGGTCGAAGGTTTGTCCTGGACCGGAGAAAATTCGACGCCATCCTGAAGGCAGGAGTCAAACTGGAGCGCTTGGAGATCCACAACCCGCATGAATCTCTGATCCTCACACAGATTCCGAAACATCTCAAACGCCTGGAGCTTGACGGATTCCAGCGGTTCTTTAGGCCCCCAAATCCAGGGCCCGAATATTATAGGTCCCTCGTGCTAGCTGTTGCTCCCACACTCGAGACCTTGGCTCTGGCGGGTATCCCCATGCAATGGCTCACCAATGCGGATATACCAATGATGCCTAATTTGAAGCATCTCAAGATGGCCCTGAGCACCACAATGCAGCCGTGGCCGTTGTCTTTGGTAAGCAGTTTAGTGAAGTACTGTTTGTGGCATGACAGACTGACCCTCGTTAGGTGCATTTGTTGAAAAGCACTCCGAGTCTGGAGCAGTTCCATATCGAGGACCTCAACTTCAGTAGTATGCCTCTAGGCGACGAGGATTTTGACAACAACTGCGTTCCTAATCTCAAGGCTCTAACGATTTTTGATACAAAAGCACACATGTATCATGCCAATCACTTGAATACGGCTTGGAACCACAACTCTTCAGCCCTTGAGGCATATCGCCGCTTGACAGTCTTGAATGCCGGAAGGAAGCTCAAAATCCTGGACTTGCACTATGGCTGGGACTACACCGGCGTGAACCTGGAGGCTACCGACATATTCAGCCACATGCGCGCAAACCCTGCATACGAATACCAGAATCTAGAAGAGTTCCATGCCTCTAAGTTAGTCATATCTCCTCAGGTTGCACAGGACCTTTTTGAAGGACCCATCAGGGCCGGCAAGCTACATACCTTTGACATTGTTTTCCCTCTGCCCAAGTTCAGAGAGCCACTTGGGGAGTCCAGTGCGGAGCACATCAAGGAGTACCAGTGGCTTGAAGGGGCCGAAAGCATTCGAAGCCTCGGCCTATTCGACTTTCATTTCAAGAGCTACATATACATGGCAGAGCATCCTCTCATTAACTTTCTCAACAAGCTCCCATGCCTGGAGGAGCTGAGGATCACATCGACTCACTTTGACACGCCCGAGTTCCACGTTACCCTCCGCGATATCCTGCGTCTGGTGAAGCTCAAGTCGGCATACATTCCGCAGATATCCGGCATGGCTTTTGAGACGATTCGGGAGTTGGCCAAGCAGAAGGGGGTCAATCTGGTGTGGGAGAGGCGGTTGCCCAAGTGGCCATTGGCGTTGAAGGGGGATTAAAATTGGGCTTGCTAACAATGTGAACGCGGGCAGCCAAAGATTGGGAACATTATGATTTTCTTGGGCGTTGACACATGGTAAGAACTGGGTCGAGAATCTCTCTGCATCAGGGTCACTACCAGAGATGGCGCAGGGACAGCATAACAGCTTGACAGTTAGATATCACACGGAGAATGAACTGGCTCCCTATGTGGATGCAAGTCTACCAAACCCCCACACCATGACCGAAAAGGATGTAAGTGAAGCCATCACGACGCCCCAGTAACCCAACCATTCCCTCCGACCCAAAGTCCTAAGATTTCCAAACCTCAAGTATCAAACAGACACCAAGAGCAAACGGAGCCCAAACATTATACGGCGCACTTCGCCATAAAGGGGTATATATATCACCATCTCCTCCTCCTCACCCCCTACTAGTAATCCCACGACTGCTCAACGGCAAACAGCAAATCCGCGTCATTCCCCTCCATCCTCGCCCTCTCGATAGCAGAGTATCCATCAGCATCACACAACTCCGGATCGGCCCCATGGTTGAGCAACGTCGGAAAGGAAGTCTTTGCGTCGTTGAGAACAGCAACGTGCAGAGGCGTGCGGCCAAGCTCATCGGCGTGATTCACGTTCAGCCCGCTCTCGACGAGATACTCAATGTACGAGACGACCCCGTATCCCGCCGCCTCGTGAAGCAGCGTCGCGCCGTTGCGGTCCTGAACATCGATCCGGGCGCCTCGCCGGATGAGATGGTGGAACATCTCGCCGCCCAGCTGTGCCAGCGCCAGGAACAGGGGCGTCTTGCCGTCTTCGTCTCTGGCGTTTTCCAGATCGGCGCCGTGGTCGAGGAGGACGTCGACCATGCGGATGTGTCCGCGAGCAGCGGCCAGCGCCAAGGGAGACGCACGGCTGCCATGGTGGTGCGAGTTGACGTCTGCGCCCTTTTCGACGAGCATCTTGGCCATGGGGAGGGAGCCGGCATCGGCGACGAGCACGAGAGGCGATTGCCCGTCCTTGTCGAGCGACTCCATGTCGGCGCCTCTTTCGATGAGCAGCCTGGCGGTCTCGACGTGCCCGTTGACGGCAGCCCACGCCAGCATCGTCCGCCTATCGCCCGCCTTGCACTCGAGAGAGACGCCGTGCTCCAGCAACGTCTCCACGACGCCCGTCATGCCCGTCATGGCCGCGTGCAGCGCCGGCGTGTGGCCCCATATGTCGGCCGCGTGCGCCGAGGCGCCCTCGTCGAGCAGATACTTGACCAGCTCGCCATGGCCCCTCCTCGCCGCCCAGGATAGCGCCGTGCGGCCCTCCCGATCCGGGTGGTCGACGGCGACGCCGCGCTGGACGAAGAGCCGGACGGCGTCGAGCCTGCCGCGCTCCGCGGCATGGGACTGGGCGATGCGCGCCTCGTAGTCGGTCTGCAGCAGGTCGACGCCGAGGTCGAGCAGCTTGCCGAGGATGCGCACGCTGCCGCCCTCGACGGCGTGGAACAGGGCCGAGGACCCGGCGGCGCACTTGACAAAGGGGTCGGCGCCGCGGCGCAGGAGGAGGTCAAAGGTGCTTTCGTTGCCCTCCTGCGCGGCGAAGAGCAAGGGGGTCTTGCCGAGGTAGCCCAGGGCGTCTACGTCTGCGCCGTGGTCCAGGAGCAGGCTGAGGATGTCGTCGAAGCCGTGCCTCGCCGCGGTGACGACGAGCATCGAGTCGCCCAGGGAAGCGCCGCGCTCGACCAGCAGCCGGACAATGTCCAGGTGGCCCTGGGCGACGGCCCACCGAAGGGCGCCGAAGTCACCTCTTTTTGGGGGGGAGGAGGAGGAGGCATTGTTGTGGTTGTTGTTGGGATCGGCTCCGTAGGACAATGCCTTCCTGACCGTCTGGATGTTGCCCGTCTTTGCGGCCCAGGCGAGGGCGTCGCTGCGGGAGGACTTTATGTTTTGGCGGTAGAGCAGGGGGTCGAGGATGGCGTGTAAGCGGGAGCTGCATCTTGCCAGGGCGTTGGTGTCGCGCTGCGCGGGGAGGAAGTCGGCGATGGTGGTGAGCAGCTCTGGCGGGATTGCGTCCAGATTCATCATTACGAATGATTTTTGGTTTTCTTTTAATTCAACATTCGCAGCTAATGTGACGGTGAATGAGTGTGAAGTGATGTTTTCTTGGTGGTGATGGAAATCTGGTGGATTTATAGAAGATGATCGTCTCGGTAAGGGGGGACGATGAGTGATGTCACTTGCGTCGTCAATTTCAATAATCGTGCAGCGTTTGTGGTCCGGGATTCACGGCGGTGGCCTATAGAGTCCAGTTGAAGCCTAAATGTGAGGTTGATTTGGGAGTCCAAATAATGATTGGCCCTTTTGCGCCAAAGTAGGGATGAGAGCGGTGGAATGTCACGATGCAGAGTTGCCATAGGACGGCCTGCAACCGAGTCCGCAGGTAAGGGAGGCAGCAGGTCCTAAGACATAAGTATGACAAGTGGCTACGAGACTTTAGGACTGGGAAAAGGGGGGGAAATAGAATCTCCCAAAGGAGAAAAGCAGACGGTCTTCATAATTCTACTGTAAGTCATCCATTTGGAAGTCTTTTGCTATGTTGGAAGGGGCAAGTTTCGTGCTTCTTATTCATGTTCAACCTTCGCGACTCCAGCCGGTGCCATGAGATAAAAGGTTCAAGCATAAGCAAGGCTAAAATAAAAAAGCTCCCAGGGTACGGAGTGCTCCGTGCTCCCGAATCCTCCGTACATGCAGCCCCCGTCAGATGCAAGCTGCAGCTGGGCCAGGTCAAGTGCCTACAGCCAGCCGTAATACTACTTACCTTACATCATGATGCCTTACCTTTCAGCTTGTTGGCAATCTAGAATCTCTCATCCTGTAGCTTCGACGGTCGTGTATCTCCAAGACGCCGTCTTTCACCTGGGATTGTGCTACTACCCCGGATCGTTTTCGAGCAATCATCTAGAATCACAAGCCTCTCCAGCCGCTCCCCCCCCCCTCCCTTTTCCCGTCCCCCTTTCACCGTACCTTGTCAACAAGCAAAAAAAGGATTCAGCTGCACTCATATCCTGCATATCAGTGCATACACCCTACATGACAACTGCCAATCCCTGCAAGCCCACCTGTTGTGACACCCAATCATCTGCCGAACACCACCCAAAAGCACATCCAGTCCCGGCATGACAGCTGTTCTATGCCGGTCTCAGGCTTCGCAAACGAGTTGTCAATATAGCCTATCCCATTAGTACCACCCATGACTGGATGTATGATTACCAGGAGATACCGGATAGCTGAGAGGCATCGGAAGCGAACCGCAGGGCCGTCACCGTTCACTGGCCACCGCAACTCCCTATTCTCTCTTCCATCTTTTCTCTCCTTCCAGCCCAAGTCGCCAAGAGACTGGCGAATGCGAAGTCCATTGATTCTCAAGACCCGTATCGTACAGCTCCTATCCGAATCCTTGCCAGATACCATCAGAATCAAAGGCTTATGCATTCTGTGGTTGGAAAGGCCGTCGGATTTATACGAGACAACTGAAGTGTTTAAAAATCCTGCCTCTCCTACCCAAAAAAGGTATAATGGCTGCTCTTACTGCTCACATACTATCGCGCGTCTACACCTAGCACCAGCCATCTTATCTCTCATACACTACTTGTATTATTTCTCCGTTCCCTGAAGCGGTTGAAAGGCATAAGTTCTAGACGTGAATGGCCTTTCGTTGGTGGGTTTCGTATGCTTTCAGATTCCGAGAGCACTTTGTACTATCTCTTGCCTTGGCTTCTAGTAGCGGTCAACAAAGAACAATTGGTCAGCTTCTTGTCATATCAGTTGGTCGATAAACAGCCTATCTATGGATGTCACGAGTAAAAGTAAGCAAAGGACGAGCTGAGAAAACTCCATGTCATAGAGGCGAAAGAAGGGAGGTTCAGTTCGATAAGGGGACGCCGGTCGATGGCTGCTTGTATGGTATGGAGCGTGAAGGAACAGTCAAAATATCAGCTTGGATGGACCGCACAAGAGCTATTTCGTGCTTCATTCAGTAGTTTTAGCGAGACAAAGCAATTACATGCTTGTGTCCTTCATGCTGGTAATCGAGCATCATTCCAAAATCAAAACACAAGCCCCCCAAACGCCAAGTCTTGTCATCTCATGTTCAAACACACATATCCCTCCCCAACGCCTCATACCAAGAAACAAACCCATCATTTAGTAATCCATGTCCCAAATCGTAGCTCTCCTACTCAAAAGACCCCTTTCCGAGCAGTCCCCCAACCAGTCCCGCCCTGCTCTCCGCTCCACGCACCTTCTTCTCCTGCCTCCTCCGCTCGTTCTCCTGCATCCTCGCCAGCTTCTCGTTGTCCCTCGCGAAGCCGTTGATGCCGCTCTTCTTGCCCGCGCCCTTCTTGATCTTGGCCTCCTCGCCGAACCCGCTGCCAGAGCCGACCGCCGTCGTCGTTGTGGACGATGACGACGTCGTGCTGGCCGTGGAAAGCAGCGACGAGTTGGTTGTTGCGCGGCGCAGAAGTGAGCCAGGAACCCTAAACGACGAGCTTCCCGACGTGGTAAAGGCAAGGCGGCCGGTGGAGGACATGTTGGAGGATGCGTTGCGCTTGAGGCTGATGCGGTCGACCACGACGTTCCTGGTCCGACGGGATGCGGGAGACTTGTTTTCCTTGTTGCCTCGAGACGCAGGTCGGCCTGCTTCTTCTTCATCCTCGCTGTCTGAGCCGACTTCGGTGGCAGGGATAACAGAGCTGTGCCGTCCGTCTTCCAACAGATCAGACAGTGTCTCACGAACCTCTCCAATGTTGGAAGGTTTCTTGCCGTCCTTGGTTCTCCTCATATGCGCCGGGGGCCGATTATCGCCAGCACTTCCAAGTGGTTTGCGCGGCTGGCTATCGGGAATTGTCCGCGGCTGCTGCTGCTGTTGCTGCTCAGAACTTTCGCTCTGCGACTGGGACTCTTCCGACTGCAAGGCCGGCGGCGCGTCTGTAATCTCCAAAAAGTCCATTTCGTCGTCGCTGCCACGGTCCTCAATGGTGCGTAGGAAGGCCTGGTTGCCCGGGTTTTCGGCAATCTTCTTGATCCGCTCATCAGCAAACAAGGCCTTTTGCATCTTGGCAAACTGCCGTCGCTTCATTCTCCGACGGGCTTCGCCGTCGTCGTCCGAGTCGGACAAGTCATAGTCGGCTCCACGCTTGCGACGGAGCATGCCTGATGTGATGTCCTTGTACAGCTTTTCCACTTCCTTCTCGTCATTGATCCGCTCCCGGTCACTGCCAAACGTTAGTCTTGCCCCTTGCCTGAGAGCGGATGGAGTGATCACTTACGCATAGAATGCGGCCAGCTTGCGCTCATCCACGTCATTCCCGGCCCCATCATCTATAATGTCTTGTACAGAGGCATCAGACTCGTCATCGCTGGCTTCGCCGTCCGCTCCGCCAAGTCCAGCGTACTCATCCTCGGATTCCTCGGCCTGCTCCTCCACCATCTCCTTCGCCTTGCTCTTCTTCTTGTTAAACTCATCAATGAGCTTTTTCTTCTTCTCTGCGGCAGCGGCGTCCTTTAACACGTTGAATGCAGTCTTTGATGATGCCTCTGCCTCCGTCTTCTTCTCGCCGCTCATAGGAATGGCATCCTCATCATCAAGGGATACCATCTCCATCTTTCGACGAAGCCGTCCCTTGCGCACAAGCGGAGAACTCTGAATTGCCTCGCCGTTTTGGTCCAGTGATATGGTCTCCACGGTCGACGTGGGAGGTTCGACGAATCTCGACTTCAGCGGCGTGTATCGCTGGAGACCTCCATCCTGCGAGGGCTCAATCATCTCCGAGATTTGGGAGTTCATGTCATCCCTCAGCAGGCTGTCCAGCCCATGCATCTGCGTCTGTGCGAGGTTCAGCTGAACAGCTTGAGTCTCCGCTTGGGTTTCCTCCCGTTGGGAGTCGAGCACCATATCGTCCGCGTTGTCTTCCATGGTAGCTGAGAAGTTGGAATCGGGAAAGTTATCAAAGTCGGGCATCATTGATTGCGTCGGTTCGTTGAACTGGCTTCTCTGGTTGTCGTCCATGGTCCCTGCGAATATCTGGGTAAGGCTAAGCCCGGCAGGTCCCTGCACAGGAAGCCCAGGAATAAATGTCTTCTTGGCGGATCGTAACACAGACGTAGGCGCCGCAGGTGACACGAAGGACGAGTTGATGGGAGTCTTCTTCGACTTTGGAGTAGCATCCACGGGATCAGCTTCGTCATCAGAGAGAATGGCAGTCTTGTTCCGTGGCCGCCTCCTCTTCAAGGGGGTTGCTTTTTCGATGACATCGTCGTCATCCTCATCTTCTGCCTCCTCGTTACGAAGCTTGGGGAGGCCTTCCGAGGTCTCGGATTGCGCATCTTCCGCTTCAGCCTCAAAAAGGGCTGTGCCTGCAACGACGTCTTCCGCTTCCTCCTCGTCTTCTTCCTCATCGCCCTCTTCGTCTTCTTCATCAGACCCTGAAAGCTCCACGGCAGAGACCACCTCGTCGGCATCATCACCGACGTACTCCTCGTCATCACTATCATCCCAAGCCAGAGGGTCTGCTTCGCCATTCTCTTTCCTTTCCTTCTTCTCAGCTGCCACTTCCTCCTCCTTGATTCGCTGAGCCTCCTCCCTAGCCTTGGCAAGGATGTCCTCCACTTCCTGCATCTGCCGTTCGCGTTCCTCCGAAGTTTGAATGACAACACCCTGAGCCTTGAGCATTTCAAGCCTTCGCTCCCGCTCGAGCCTGGCTTGCTCCCTCGCCTTTTGCAGTAGAGAAGCCTGAAACTCGGCGGGAGTCATTCCATCGCGCTCATTCTTGCGCTTCTTCTCTTTGCCGGGAGACGTGACATGAGCCAAGGCCCGCAGGGCCAGTATCGAGTGTGACTCTTGCGCTTGTCGGAAGGGAATGCTGTCAAAGACAGCATTTACTCTATCTTTGGACGTGGTTGTAATCTCCAGTTCGTCGTCCGAGTCTGCTGTGCCAGCTTTTGTTGGAATCGGCACTCTCACCCGCACCCTTCGCTTAGCTTGGACAGGCTTGCTCGGTTCTTCAACATCGATAGCTGGTCCCTTGCCCTTGTCTAGACGCGTAGGACCCGAGGGCTGCCCATCTTCCGCCCTCGAGTCTGTCATTGAAACATCTGGGTCTGCAGATGCGTTCTCCTCGGCTTGAGCCGCATCCTGCTTCTCCCCAACAGGTGGCGAGCTGGGCGGCGTGTCTTTATTCGCGTCCGCATCGGTTGGCGGCGACACCGGCCTGCTGGAGCTGTTTGCCGGAAGCTCTACCGGCGGCGCCTCTCCGTCTGGCCTGAAGTTAAAACGCTCGAACAGAGTTGCTTTCGACAGCTTCTTCCGCGTCCTGGCCTCGTGGGCGAGCTGCATGTTTCTGGCCATTCGCTGCGTCTCGCGGTTCATCTCTTCGAGCGCCTTCTTGCTCGCTTTCCTCGTCGGACGGGCTTCCTGAGTCAACCGGCGACCCCCTTCATCGTCCGTTATACTGCCTGCGTCGTCATCGCCAGAATCTAGCTCCTCGAGCTCAGATGCCAGCTTCTCTTGCAGAGCCCGGCGCTCTGCTTTTCGTGCTTCTTCTTCGGCCTCTTTGGCGAGACGCTCCTGTCGCTTTCGCTCCACCAGGGCCTTGAAGCGGTCTGATTTGACGGGCGGCAGGTCATCGTCGGATTCTGACTGCGCCTGCGGTGCCTTTGCAGGTGACGGGCGTACTGGCGAAGAAACGAAGAGCCCGGGGCTGGGCGATCTGGCTGGGGCATCCGTGGCGCTGTCTCCAGCAGCACGGCGCTGCAATCTTCGTGGTGCAACGGGTAGGTCCTCATCTTCGTCATCGCCATTGTCACGGCCCTCCTTCTCAGCGTCATCGGCGTCTGCCATCTCCGTATCCACCTCTCCAGACTTTTCTTTTTCTTGCTCCAGCATCCGCTTCACGCGATCTCTCGCAGTCTCGCCGTTCCTCGTAGTCTCTGGCTTGTTGACCATGTCCAAAGGGCCCTGCATCCGAGAAGCCAGCTTTCCCCGTGGCCGTATCTGGACATCTGAATCCGAGTCTGCATCCGAATCCGATCCATCGGCCTTTCGCTGGGCAACTGCGGTGTTCCTGGGCGAATCTGGCTTGAGGACTCTAATCTGACTCGCGTCCTCATCGTCGCTGTCGCCCACAGTCGCAAGCAGCGCCCTGATTTTCGACCGCGGCGTCAGCAGCTCTGGAGTAGCATCGCGAGATGCGGGTGTGGGAGAGCGCAGCGCAGCCATTGTCAACACCAATGGCCAGCCCGAATTCACCAGTCGTTAAGAGGTAACGCTTGCGAGTCCCTAGACAATATTTATAGGGGAAAAAAAGATATATTGTTTGCTTCAAGACATGGCATGCAAGACGACCTTCAAGGTACAAACAAAGTAGTGGCTGATGGGATTTGATGGGCAGAGAAGAGACACGTTAAATTGCGTGGGGAACATTTTACGCGCTTTCGACGCGACGCATGTCAACGCGCAGCACGGGCGAGTGACATAACCGACTGGGCGGCTGCCGTCCCCCCGCATACGAAGACAGCGGAAAAGGTACCACTAAAGCCTCGGCGTCAGGTACCATCTGCGCTTTGCCCACTTACACATTGGAGCAGATGGAGGCAAATAAACAAGACTTCTGCGAGTCACCAAGCGAGGCAACAAACGACTGATACTACTTACAATTCTACAATGAAGAATTGGACTTTAGCTCAGTCAAGTTCATAAGATTGTTACACGAAGTTCAGGAAAAGCACATGTCACGTCCGGCATCTGCTTCACGACATCTGCCGTAAACAACATTCAACTTCAATAACATGGTTCAACGGGACGTCAGTTGGTGGCAAATGGGCTTGCTTCGATTGTCAGCTATGCGGTATCAGCTTGCGGCCCAATTCTGCCGATTTTATGGCTATCTAAGTATCCGGTAAAGACTGTCCATATGCCGATGATTCCTCCTGAGGCAACTAGCCCACCTGGGCCTCTTGGTTGTCAATCAGAGTCTACAGACTTAGAAGAGCTTGTGCTCCAGCGTCATCTCGGACTCGGGCTCCAGGCCGACGCAGGCGCGGAAGATGTTGGTCAAAGCCGCACGCTGCTTGGCCAGGGCGTTGACAACGGGGGTTCCCGGAGGAGTCAGAGGAGCCTTGAGCATGTAGCTCAGGACGCTCAAGACGCTGTGGAAGTGCTTGAAGTCAGCAGTCTCGTGGCCATCGGTGGAGGCAGCCTTCCACTGGATACGGGTCATCATCTCGGCCACCACGACGAGGTCAATGATCAGAGGCGAGGCCAGGAGAGAGTCCTCGCAGATGTTGAACAACCTGGTGTTGCCGGTTAGTGCGATTCGCGGGAAGGATCGTCAAGAGACACTTACGAAATGGTTTGGTGGCCACCGAGGAAAATCTCAGCGTAGTACTCATCAAGAGCCCGCTTGTTGTCGCCGACAGCGGGCATGTACTTGATGACAACGCAGTGGTCGGGGTGTTCACCCTTCTTGTACAGGATGCTGTTGGCCTCAACCATGTCATCCACCACGTTGGACTTGGAGATCTCCTTGGAGCGGAACTGCTTCTGGGAGCTCAAGTTCTTGCCGTCGTTGTTGCCCAGGTGGTTGTAGCTGGCAATCGAGGTCAACTTGATACCGGCATTGATGAGGAAGTCCACCAGAGCCGACTTCATCTTGGTCTGGCCAGACTTGAAGTCGTCGCCGCCAATATAGGCATTGTGCTTCTCAGCAAGCTGAATGGCACCGGGGACGAAGGTGTTCTGGGGAGAGCCGTTGATGAACGGGGCGTTCTCCAGGATACACGCAACGGCAAAGACGGTGGAGGGAGAAACCTCCTCGTGGCCCTGCTCGATAGCCTTGAGAAGGTTATCGGCAGTGTCGTTGACTCCGTCAATGATGTCGGCGTATCGCTCAGTGTTGGCAGTCCAGAGGACGATGACCTTGTCAAGGCCGTTGTTGGCCTTGAAGTCACGAATGTCCTTTCGGATCTGCTCAACGTGAGCCATCGAAGCCTTGGAGCCCTCGATGAGATTGTCGGCCCGGTCCTCCTGGTTGGCGGCAATGAAGTCGGGGTAGTAGATGGAGGGGAGGGGAGTCATCTCCGCCATCTCCTTCCTAACAAGGGACTTGAGAGCAGGCTCAAGGACCTTGGCCCGATCCATGGCCTCGGCCAAGTTCAGCGAGCTGATGTCCCAGCCACCAATGACAAGGTCGTTGGGGTGGACCATGGGCAGCAAGCTGTGGAAGGGGATGTTGATCTCCTTGTTGGTCTTGGCGTCGGCTCCGAGCTTGACGGTGGAGCTCATGACGACGGAGCCGTAGTAGTTGGCCTCCTGGACGCCCTCCTTGGTGTCCCAAGTGAGGTTGCGGCGGTTAGCAATGATACCGGCGGTGACAGTGGTACCATTGTTTCCGCCCCAGCCCACCAGCATCATGCCGACCTTGGGAACCTTGCGGTCGACCTTGAAGTCGTAGAGCGTCTCCTTGGGAGTCGCCACAAAGTTGCCATTGGCGTCAGTCTCCACGCTGGTGGTGCGGTAGGTGTACTTGGACCGGATCTCCGAGTCCGTGTAGGTGACGTTGGGGGAGTTGACGACGAAGGTGCTCCGAGCAGCACCAGGGGACGCCGTCTGGCGTTGGGCATAGCCATTCCCGTTCGAGGAGCCCGTGCTAACTTCCGCGTGCGGTGCCATTGCGACTATGGGGCGCGGCGCGGGAGAGAGTTGGTCTATTGGAAGGGTTGTACGGGTTCTTTTTCTTGATATTCGATCTTTATTTGGAAAAGATCGAGTCCGCTAACCCTCCAGAGGCAGAGCAGCGGGCTCCGGCGAACGGGTGGTGAATCCTGGACAAGGTCAGTCCCAATTGCTCTGCTCTTTTTCTCCAGACTTTGACGAGGACATGACATACGAGTTAAGAAGATTGGAAAACGTCTTGTCGACTGTTTGTGATCGAGGCTTAACTCCTCGACCAACTTTAACCCTGTAAGAAGGTGAAGGAGAGGGACGTTGTTCGGGCGAATCGGGGTCGCGACAAAGCAGCTATTCGAGAGATTTCAGAAATAGATTCTGGAGTTCGAGTCGACTGACTTGTTTGCGAGGTGAACTTTTGGAATTGACTTTGTGGTGAGAGAAGAGGAAGAAAGAAGGAAGAGAAGCTTTGGGTTAGCAGCGGAGGGGTTGGATCTTATAGCTTCCTCCTGTAGGCTCTCGTCGGCTAGCATGTACTCGACCACCTTACATGGCCGCATCTCTCCGGCTGCGTTAGAACAGCTCAACATGTGCAAGCACCAGCGCTAACAAAGCGCCTAATGCCCGCGCCGGAGGACAGCTAATACTGATACTAGCAGCAGCAGCATCTTGGCCTGGCCCGCGCGTGCAGGCGGTGAAAAAACCCTCGCGGCTGCCTGTGCTAAGAGATTGCGGGATCGAAATCATTGTCCATGATTGGGCAAGGGCAAGATGGAACTGTACGAGTGCATATTGGGTGATGTGTACACAAGGCACAAGCCGTGGCCGTGGCGCGTCCGGATAGGACGGGCGAGTGAGATGAGCTGAGCGGACTTCGGGACCCTGAAAGCTTCCAGCCGGTTATACCATAAGGAACTCCTGCTAGTAAGAGGATTTTACGGGTTCTCTTTTCGTTCTTCCTTTCTCAATGATGTTCCATGACGAGGTTTTAATCAAATGTCCAAGGTGAATAATGGGCAACTATGTGATTACTGTCCAATTCCACTACCACAGCGTCAGGCGTCCTCGCCTTACCCAATTGACAATCCAGACTCATGCTTCGTGCTTCAAATCACTTCGTAGTCCGGCTTCGACTGAGGACAAATGGCGTGAGTGCTCGTCCCCGTGTGGGGGCCGTTGCTCGGTATGCCAAAAAGAGGCGCATCAGCAGCCACGAACCATTGAATGCTCTCGTCTTAGTCTTGGACGTTATTACTCAACCCGCAAATCGGACTCGTTTGACTGCCCGCATTCAGCAAAGGTGCCTCGGTGCGAACCTTGATGAAGCTATAAGGGACTTTAGGTAATAGTAGGTAGATCGCGTGCTCTTGGCCAAGCGTTCTTTATGCCCGTGTTGGCTGACAAGTATCCAAAACGGCAACATATGGAAGAGATCACCATCGACCGCCTTTCTTGACCGCATTTGCTGCAGTTGTTTTTGTTGGGAATGATATTTCTCTCCATCGTTGCAGGCAATTGAATATAGGTAACATTTGACACGTAACCGTGAGGCATCAATGTAAGGTGGTGTGAGCCTTTAGGCTGACATCTCAAACCGGCCAATCGCTCATCCATTGCTCTAGTAAAAGCTCTGTGAAGCTGGCAGTCGGTCATTGAAGGGGAATTCGTCTTAAGAAGGATTCAGATAAATCACGTCGATGCGATGACACGAAGCACGCAGTACCTGCAGCAAGACAGTTGGCCATGCTGCAATCCTGCAGAATACCTGCACGTGTGATTCGTCCAATATGGTGGTGCCTGGTAGTATCGCCCATCCAATGGATCAACTGCCACTGACAGGTCAATTCATGCCGAAAACGGGTCTCGTATGATGTACGACGTACAGTATTACTGCAGTGGTGATTCGGAGCAGTCCCAACAGCATACACGGCTAAATTGTCCTCTTTCGAAGTGTGTAGAGACTACAGTCGGCGGGTTTATGACATGTCGTACGAAGTAACACAGTAGAGGCATGACTACCAATCTATATGTTTACGGATGGGATTTGCATCCTGTGCTGCGTTGCTACCCTGTCGCAGCCGGGGAAGATAACAGCGGCATACCAGAGCCTACATATCGTACTTGTGTTACTCGCAATGAGTCTTGTGCGAGGCTGGTTCCCGTCCCGCTATCAAGCAGAGCTGCTTGCAATGCATCAGCCTCGAATTTGAGGCGGTTCGGAGCTGAGCATCTGTCTCATCGTCCGCTTCGGAAGGTCAGAAGGCCATGGAAATCTCCTCGGGACTTGGCACATGAAACCGAAACAGCGAGCTTCAAACAACGCGTCATGTCGCAGCGAGAGTTGTCAAAACCCCCAGTCACGACGACGTTGACAGGGATGTCTGGTGGTGTTACAATCACGGAGCAGCCAAGGCTGCGCGAGAATGGAGCTCTATCGCAAAGGACGGGGTACCAGTACTCCGTACAGGTCCTTCGCGCTACCTTATCGCGTAAACTTCAAGAGCAGCCTTCAGGCGAGTCGTACAAATATATGTGCCGTGATTGATGAGCCGATCCCAGATGCGTGGCGTCGGCTTGTACTACCCTTTCATTCTCGGAAGAGGTTTTTGCTCCTTGTCAAGACCAGAGGCCATTGCGTGACAGAACTTGGGCAGCGAAAGAGACAAAGAGGCTCCATGCTTTCCTAGAGAAGTTGCTCGACCAGAGTGCTTCACCAAAGTGTACTCCATAGCACAGTTGTACCCATACATGTCGGCGTCGGTCAGGGCCTGGATGAGACGCTGAACCGCCTCATGCGACGTGCCGGGGTCGCTCGCGAACCCCCAAGACAGAGACCAGCCAGGATGGCCACCAGCAGCATCTCACTTTGGGAGGTGAAATACAAGCTTAGTACCCCATATTCCTCCCTGTGGAGGAACAACAAGCCGCACCTGAGCCAAACAGAGATGATGATCACCGATCGAGCCTCGAAGAGGAAATGAGACCACCGGCGATGTGCGGAGAGCGGCTCGGCAGCGGCGCGATGGCAGCCTCGTCACCTTGTGCTTCCTCGTAGGAACGGCAGGTAGCAGAAGGTTATGCGCTGTAGAACCGAGACTGGGCCGGGCTCTTGTCATGCGCGATGGGACCAACAGAGCGAGTGTCCTTCCAACCAGTTCCGAGTTCCCAGCCCATCATCATCCACACTCGTGCATGCGTCGTTTGAGACCTTGGGCCGGCTGTCCACGTGCGGCGTCTGTTCATCTTCTTTGTCGCCTTCCAAACAACCAGCATACCGTACCTTACATACCACGCGAGACGGCCGGCCGAGTCGAGGGGCGCCCAACGGAGGACCGGCGTAGCTCGGTTTAATACTGAACGAGGCGTTGAGGGCCCAAGGCTCGAGGCTGAAGCAAAGGCGTGGCCGTCCGTCCAATGGTTCCAGTGTCAGGCTGACGAGACGGAACAACTTCGAGTGAGGAGGTGTCATCGAGTGTGGATGGATCCTCCGACTTCGATTGGGCGAGCTCCTGATGGACATGGAAATTTGGCCTCAGCGCCGTTGGCGACCTGCAGCGCACCCGTGTGGGCACTGAGGCTGCTGACCGTCCCCCAAAAAGGGACTCCCCCAGGGCCCCTCAGCGCTCTAGTGGTCCCCTCCCCCCCCTTATCAACTGGCGCACAGGCACTGGGCGGGGCGGCTACAGGGGGCGTCCCTGCAAGGTACGGCGCCTAAAAGAGCGAGCCACATTGGCGCTACTGCGGCCTCATTTACGCAGCTGTCTGCTTCCAGCGAACCGTCCGGCTTGGGTGCGCTGTTTGTCAACGGCCGGGGGATTTTGTCGATGAAGAAGATGAAATGAGGCCCTGCTAGTCCGTCTGATACGGAGTTAGTGGCAGGCTAGGACGGCCAATTGGGCGCCGGTTCGCTGGGCACCGCGACGATGCGAGGAAACGAACGACGTCTGGAGAATCTGCAGCGGTGCCCTCGAGTTTAGTCTGGATTGGACACCGGCGGTGTTGGCCTTGATGGCCTCGGAGCGCGCTGGGCGGCCGCTGGAGACGACTGGCAATCAAGGGAGTGGATATTGGGAGCGACGAAATACGACCAGAGTCTGGATATTGAGCACATTTCCCTGGCAAGGGAGCGGTCTCAACGACGCCAGGCAGGACCCTCTGCCCTACGAAGCACCACCACCACCGTCCGGGGGTTCAATACGGTGTGCGACCTCCGCCAGAATGGCTGGGACCGACCGCATTGCGATGTGCTCGTGCTCGTGTGTCGTGTTCCCTGTCTGGACGACAGCGGGACGGAAGCGCAGTCCGGCTCTGATACAGACGTCTGGAAGCAACGCCTCTTGGAGCGGGAGCCGCGACAAGCTGAGATGGAACCTCACGCACCTTCGCCTGGCCCTCCTCCAGCCCAGCCTCGCCTCGCCTCGCCCTGTCTCGTGTTCACCTCGCATCTCGTGTCTGCTTCGGTGCCTCTCCAGCAGCGCTCTTGGGCACAACAAGAGCAAACATCCACACCGCAATCACCGCCGACGTCTATCCACGGCACTGCGAGGCTGCTTGCAGGGATTCGCGACCTGATCGCAATTAGCTCCCACCAAAGAACCCTGGCCATCCGCAGGCCAGCGACAAGGGTTCAGGGCGAACTTGTAGTCAGGGGTCTGCCACCACCCCAGCGACGCTTTCCGTGACCTCCACAACTCGAGACACTATGCGCAACATCACCGTTTGCAGGTAGCCGTTCCTCCAAAACTTGCGACCTTTTCCCCCTTCTGCCTCGTGCCCTCTTCTCTTCCTCGCCAAACCATCCTCCTGGCACAGCAGGCGAGGCGTCAAGCGTTGACCTAACGCAGGATCTCTCCGGCGTCTCGGCCGTAGGCTCGACAGCTGCTTTCACAGGATCCTGGCTCTCCTGCCGCTGCATTCTCTTGTTGGAAACACGATTAGCTTTTCGCTGCAACACGCTCCCGCCGACGGCGAGGCTGTGCTTCCGTTGTCAGCTCGAGATCCGCAGCGTGAAGCATCTGCGCAAAGCATCTGGAAAGAGGCAGCAGAAACCGGAGGCGTCGTGGGCGGCGTTTCCCTTCGTTTCGTTTCGTTACTTCGCCCATCTCTTCTTCGCCTTTTATATCACGTCGCAGACCGGCAGTCGGCCAACCTTCTTCCAACCGCCACGAAACTTATTGCCTGTGACCACTCTGTAGCACGTGGTCGATGTCGGCATATCCAATGTTTCCCTTCACGCCTGAATAACACCGCTTGAACCACTACACGAAAAAAAGCCCTGCATCGCCCGTCATGTCCGGACCTAGGGAGTCGGCTTTCCTGCCGACGATCAAGTGTTCGTCATGTGGCATGCAGGTGGAAATTTCCATGATGGGAGAACACGCGTGTCCTGGGCCTGGGCCTGCTGTCGAGCGTAAGCTTCAACTTGTTGTCGCGGTTGAGTAGTCTTTTTGTGTGCTAAGCTCGATCATCTAGTATCACCGCCTCCCGACAGCAACGCCAAGTTCCAAGATCCGCCTCCCAGGTCAGCCGACCGTATACCTGGCCCCGTCGATGTCGGCGCAGCGAGTACGATCACCCCAACGACCTGAATCCTCTTCGATTGGCAGCAGAATACTGACCTACAATAGACAAGATGTACATGGCGCCAGGCCCGTTGACCCCAGTGAGCCAGTCTGGAGGTTCGCGGAGTGTCTCACCGGCGACGCCGTCCAGACCGTCCTTTGCCGACCAAGCAAGAGACTTCTTCTCATTTGGCGGTGCTAAAGCGGACGGGCCCGCGCAGGCACCCAATAAACTCGACGTTAATGGCCATCGCAGCTCGAAAAGCGTGGCCGCTGTGACATCCACACCAGCTTCCACCAAACCCCTTGGTTTCATGGAACGCATGAACACCATTGCCCCTGGGCCGTTCGATGCTACCCAGCGACCTTCAACGTCCCACGGGGCCTTCCCGGCAAAGAAGGATTCGACCTCTCGATTCGATATGCCTGTATCGGCAGAGCCCGGGCCTATGAATGAGCGACCAGGAACGAGCAGCTCCAGTTTGTCATCTGGAAGCAGTGGCGTCCCATCCACCCCGCAACAGCCCCGGAGGAACAATTACGAAGGATTTGGTCCACCATCGGGGCGCGGGCTGGATCCCAACGGCATGGCGCCGCCGATGAGAGCTGAGACCTTCCCAAGACCATCGCCGGGCGTTGGCGAAACCCCCCGACGACCATCGTATGCGAGTCCGAGATCCGGTGCGTTGGCTTCCGGGGCGGCCCCCGAAGGCGAGCGACGACCATCACTGGCTCCCGACACGTCGAGAAAACCTCCGCCGCGCAAGAGCCTCATCCCCCAGCACTTACCGACGGCCTCCCTCAACTTGGCCGCCGAATTCGGTGCCAGTAACCCCTATCACAACTCTACAGACTCTGCCTCTTCAGGCTACTCGACGTTTAGCAACCAAAGTCAGGGGACCGCGCAGACCAGCCCGGCAAGGTCCGAGGTGCGCAACAGCATACCGGATGCGCTCAGGGTAAGGTCGCAGGACAAGCCGCGGCCATCCAATCTCCGACTCGACCCGGCAGCGGAGATCGCCCCGCCCGCTCGATCCCCTGTGCCGCGATCGCCGTATCTCATTCCGGACGGAGATGAGGAACGCGATGATCCGGCTATCCAGTCTGGCCTGGGCCAGCAGCCGTTTAAGCCATACAGAGCTTTTAGCCCAGCCCCTGCACCGAGCCAGGAACCCACGCCTGAGCCAGAGCTGGAATTGGGACCCAAGAACGAAAGCTCTCCTAAACAGCCTTCTCCCAGACAATCTGCCCCTAAACAGTCACCTCCCAGGCAGTCTCTTCCCAGGCAGTCTCCTCCCAGGGAGCCAACTCCCGTGCAATCTCCTCCTAGGCGATCCCAGCCCGCACCAGCGGTGTCGCCTCCCAGACAATCACCTCCCAGACAGTCCCAGCCTGCACCAGCGGTTTCGCCTCCTAGACAATCGCCCCCAAGGCAATCCCAGCCTGCACCGCGGGAATCTCCCCGAAAGGTATCCGAAGACCGGAAGGGGTCTAAGGATCTCAAAGTTTCGTCTCGTGGCGACTGCAAAGCCTGCGGACAACCCATTACCGGCAAGAGTGTCTCGTCGGCTGATGGCAGATTGACTGGAAGATACCACAAGGCCTGCTTCGTCTGTGCCACATGCGCGAACCCGTTCACCTCGGCAGAGTTTTACGTCCTGAACGACAAGCCATACTGCGAGCAGCACTATCACAAGCTCAACGGCAGCCTGTGCGGAAGCTGTGGACGCGGTATCGAGGGGCAATTCCTCGAGGATGAGTCTCGAACCAAGCACCACCTGGATTGCTTCTGCTGCCAGGACTGCCGCCGGCCGCTTGCAGATGGCTATTTTGAGGTCGATGGCAAGGCCTATTGCGAGCGAGATGCCCTGAGGAGAACTCAGCCGCCACCGCCACCCAACCCCTACCCTCGGGGACCGATGCGAGGCGGCTACGGAGGCCCTGGAGGTCCTGGTCCACGACCGGGCTACGGCCCTCCTGGACGCATGGGACCGGGAGGCCCAGGAGGTCCGGGACCTCGACCGGGCTACGGTCCTCCTGGCCTACCCAGAGGACCTGGTCCGTATGGTGGACCGCGACCGGACCGTCTCGGTCCCGGCATGGGCCCCGGCATGGGCCCTGGCATGGGCCCTGGCATGATGGGCCCTGGTATGATGGGACCCGGCCTCGGTCCACGACCCAAGATGAACAAGAGGATGACACGATTGGGCATGATGTAAAATGCCTAGCGTCTCTGTCCGTCTGTTTCCATGTTAATGTCTTAGTATCACCAGCAACAATCACTCTGCGGAGCAGAGAAGGACATATCCCCACAAACCCTCTTCCCCGGAAATGTTGGAAATCAATGCATAATCTGTTTGTTTTTGGTTTATATACCCAGTTCTTTCTCGCTTGTTTTTTCACCGGCGGTTTCCGGCTGGGTTTGTTTGGTGGATATATCTCTTTTTTTGGTTATAATCCAAGTCATGCTTACGAATGAATCCGATTCCACATGCGTTCTTCAGTTCATGTTGTTTATCTATATCCTGTCCTCATTATAGATGGCGTTTTTTCTCTTTTTTTGCCCTGGATGTACCGACACTTCTAGTGATTCCTTGATATTGAAACTGAACTGAATCATATCGAATAGATGTGGAGGCTCTCCGCAAGCCGGAGGGGGGGAATTATGTATGTTGGGGTCTTGTAACAAGTTTATCTCATCTCCTTTTTTGTCGGCAGATACTATACCGATCTTTGAGGTCGTAATGTCTACTATAGAGCCTAGTATTGACGTCCACCAGTGCGCCTAAGAACTGAATGTAAATGCTGTGACAACCGCTACAACTGGCCAAACCCCTTGTTAAAGATTTGCCTGCTGTCGGAGAAGTCGGTGTTATAGATGAAAAATTATCCGATGGTGACAGGGAAAAGGGGAGCCTGCAGCATGACGCTGTGGCTTGCCGTCCGGTGCCCGAATCAGTTCAAGCTTTGAAAATACTAGCTTCAAGCCTCGATTCGTAAAAATAGATCGAGGCTTGTCAAAAAGCAGATCTATCAGAAGACATTTGTGATATCATTGGAATGTTTTGCTTCCTACTATTGAAAGCGAGTTCTCGGATGACACGTGCCAGTAGTATGTATCTTGTACGCAGCTGGTGGTGTTTTTGGATCGTGGGAGACGCTTGAAACAATGGGAGGCGATGATGTATGTAAGCTGTCGGAGAGCTGGAATGAGTGTGTGCGTGGTGCAGCTGATAGTTTGGTCTTTGCTGTATAGTAAGTGTCACTTTGACTCGCATTGGATACTTAGTTGAGTCTTTCAATGTCCATTCATCCTAAGTGAACTTCTTGATATGGCATGTATAATAGGGGATTGTGGGGTTTGGGAGGTAATTTGCCGTGCATGAAGCCGGTCAATACTATCCAATTCCTCCCATCTGCAGCTTCCTACTGTATGTACCTAGGTAGGTTTGGGGGGGCCATTGGCGTGCATTGTCAGACCTGCGTCGGGCGGTTTCTTTCCTGTCCAGATTCGAGTTTGTTGTTGGCTGGCTTTGCTGGTCGGTAAGAAACACGGCCGTTTTTGAAATCGCCTTCGCTTGTTGGCGAAGCGAAGAAGAAAAAGCGTGTGCAGAATGGATGGAGAAAAGAAGGAACATGAAGTCAGGTTGAGCCTGTGGCACGTGGGAAACTCTGCTTTCTCCCTTCTTGATTTTCCTTCATATTTTCTTTTTATTTTCCCCCTTGAATTCTAAGAGGCTTTTAGTCTAAATGTCATTATAGTATATGCTTTCTGGGGGCCGTTGGAATGGAGGGCGGGTTATTATGGGCTGAGGCTGGTCCAAGAGCATGTTTCTGTTCAGCTGAGAGCCTTGATTCTTTTTGTATTCCTGCGATAAATAACGCTATGGACTCCGTAACTGTGATAGCAGCTCATAGATAGCTGAGACCTGGATCTTTTTGACTACGATTGATCGTCAGGAGACGTTCCCTCCTTTTGATGCATTGAACGTCTATCCAGTTTGCCAGTGCGGGCCGTTCTGTGGGCACGGAGCTGCAGGTGACGAAATTGCCCCTTGAGCCAGAGGGGCCACTCACTCACTACCTTGATAGTAGGCACGCGTTTGTTGGCTGAAGCAGAGTCGGCAAATGGAGCGTCGTGACGGACAAAGCGTTTGGTTTGTGTCGGGGAGGAAGATGGGAGATGGGCCGACGTCTTACGCAAACAGCGGGCGAGTCGGTTGCTGGATTCACGGGCTTTAACGGGGTGGTGCAGAGTTTGTGTTCTACACCTTAGGTGCGTTGGACTGAGATTGTGCGATTCCTTCTGTTGAGATGGATGCTTGAATGGAAGAGATCCGGCATTGGGCGCTTGAAACTGTCCAAGAACCGTTAAGGCCGTGATTCAACTCGGCTAGTTTGCGAGTACAGAAGCTGACTGAATGCACAAAAAGGTTGCTATCCTCAATTTGGCAGGGATTTGCAGCACAAATCGCGGTCAAGCTACCTCACCGAGCATCGCGCGCTCAAAACCCCTGCACTCAATGTACCGTACTAGTAGGGGTCACGAAAAGCTGCGATCTTGACCTCTATAGGCATGGTTGCCAAGAGTTGTACAGAAAATCCGTGAATTTTACTCGACAACGAGTACAGAAAAAAAGTGTCTGTACTCAAAGCTTCTGTACTCAATCTAGCAAGCAAGGCGATGTACTCGCTGTCGCTGCAACTTGCGCAAGCCCTGCCAGACCTCTCAACCTCAATCCAGCACCTAGAGTACGCCTGTAATAACACTGCTACACATCTCCCAGCACTACAAAGCCTCTTCATTACGCAGTGACCTCAGACACAGCTATACTGCCTTATGATATAGGGTATTTGGTAAAGCCAGCAGACGAAGGTTCGGTCAAGCCAGGTTGCAAGGATCTGTGAAGGTACAAGATGCCCCGACCCACAGGAAGAGGTATCCCATTCAGCCGGCTGACTGGGAAAGCAGCCGAGTTGAATCAGGGCCTAAACGCGTAGTCTCTTCATGCCCCCTGGCGAAAGGGAAGAATACCTTACTGGAAAGAAGCTATGGAACTCTAGTACCTATCTATGTACAACTGCCAGTTATGGAGTGGCACTGTATGGATTCGATCTCCATACTCCTACGCGTAATCCTCCTGATCGACGGCATGAATCTGGCCTTGCAGCACCTTGTGGGCTGGTGGCTGATGAGAGGTTGAACCGGAGCTTGCTGTGGCAAACGCCCACTACTAACCCATTTGCCCATCATCAAATGCTCCCCCCCCTACTTGTACACTCACTGCACTGTAGCCACTAAGACGAATCCACCCCGCCGCAATTTTGGATCCCCGCTAGTAGAGTGACACTCGCGCGATAGAAGCGTGCTGGAACTGGAACTTGTGGCCACTCTGCGTCAAAATTGACAGGTTTGCAGAGGCTCAGGTTCCCCTAATTCGAACTTCAAGTCCATTCAGGCGCATTTGGGGCGATCTAGAGGCAAAGAGCAGCTACAGCGGACCCCCCAGATAGCGCATCAGGCCCGTTGCACAGGGCACTTGGACAGCCAATCCCTCGCCATTTCCACCGTGGCACAACATCTGCCAGATTGCGTGTGTGTGCTGCTTATCCTCCGAATCTTTCCCTCGACTCGTCAATCCCTTCCGTCTTCCCTCCTTCTTCAGACTACACATACGTCGCGCCTTGTCTGGCTCCCTCTGCACAGCAATCCCAGAGGCTGGAATCGGAGCAGACATTCGTTTTCCCTCTTCTTTACTCCCTTTCGTCGTGTTTTACTAGCCCCTTAGTCACTCATTTGAAGAACCTGTTCTGCTCTCTTTCTGCGCCCCGCGACGGTGAGACCTCGACATCAGAGCCAGCCTTGAGCCCTCACCCGTTCCTACGATTCCACCAACAGAACAGGCGCATCCTGTCCGATTCTTCCTACGCGCGCACGCCGTTGGTCGCTGCCGGCAAAATACATCAGACGGCAGGGTTACGCCAGCACCAGCTGCGTCACTCGGTCGCAACAGTCGCTGGCAAACAAGGCCGCTCTTGTGCGATTCCGCAACATGCAAACTTGAGAGAGCTCTGGCAGCCCGTAATCAAGCTATATATCCTGCAGCACTCGACGGCTCGGTCCAGTGTCGACCTGTTCCCGTGACACGTCAAAAAGTAATCTGTTTCAGACGAAGCCATCGCTTCGAGGGGATCCGGCACCATGTTGAGTCCCCATGCACGCCGGCCTAGAGTGAGGTTCATCCTCCTCATCATCTTCGCCTCCGTCACCTCCTATTACCTGCTTTTCAGCGGCCCGACTCCGCGCTTCAACCTTGTGCCCTATCAATCAGAAGCGCCAGAGACCAAGGGCGACCAGGCCCTTCCTTCGGGAGCGCCTGAAGTCTCTCCTGCACCCGCAGCCCCCTCACCTACCAACAGCAACAATGCCCCGGCCAAAGGCGAGAGCGATGAAAAGAGCAACGATTCTCCCGCCAAAGACGAGGACGATGGTTCCATCCAAAACGGCAAGCCGTCAGCTGAAGAGAAGCAGCATGACGACCACCCCGACAATGATGCCCCCAAGAACGAAGCGCCCAAGCCGCCTTCAGATGCCGACAAGGAGCAGCAAAAGCCACTCAATATGGATCTCGAGACCTATAACAAGGAGGTAGAGATGCTTGAGTCTTGGGACATGACGATCGAAGAGCTGAGGAAGTGGAAAGATCCCACTGACAAGGAAAACTACGACGACGTAGCTCCCGGCTACGAGACCGATGGCCAGGGGCGAGACTCGGGCACCATCAGCAGACTCCAGCATGAGAAAGACATGAGGAAGATGTGGAGATACGCTTATAAAACCACAGCAGAGTGAGTTTTACGCTACCCGGCTTTTTCTGTGACGTGCCAAGCTGACCGTATTCGCTCAATAGCCTCGAGTCCTCCAACAAGATCTACGGTAACACCCTTTCGACCCTCGACTTCAAGGAGAACCGTACCGAGTCTCTTCGACGCAAGCTCAAGGAGGGCAGCGAGGTGACTGTGGACTTTAGCGTTGATAAGCCCGTTCGCTTCAACCCGTACCCAGACTACAACAGTGACGAATGGAAGAAGCTCAAGCACGCCCCTCAAGTCGCTTGCAAGGGCCCGACCGGAGAGCCTGTCGAAGACTTGCTGGTTTTCAAGGGCCGCCCGCACGACTTCCCCGAAGCCAAGTTTGGAAGCTATGCTCTGTTTGACATGGATCCCAACATTTGCTGGGAGAGAGATACACGCCTCGGTCCCTATGGCCTCCTGCAACAGACCAAGAAGGTTGGCGGCGAAGTCGAAATCATTGACTGGGACAATGTCAACTGGGGTGACCTTGTGCGACGCTGCGTGGAATCAAACGCTGCGAGGTTCGATTTGACAAAGGAGAAGAAGAACCCGTATCTGGACGTCTATCCCGGCCTCGTCAAGCCTGCAGCTCCCAAAGACGAGGGTGCCAAGGTCGGAGAATCGAAGAGCGCCACCGATGCTCAGAAGGATAAGGAGTCGCCAGCCGCCGCACCCGTCAGCTTGGACGACAAGACGACCAAGATCAAGATCAAGGGACGGTCACCGGCTGACCCAGGCGCAGAGACTGGGGCTGAGGAGACCAAGTATGTCAAGGAAAAACGATCTGCCATCCTGCTGCGTTCCTACACAGGAAAGGTCTACACCGAGAACGACAAGCAGACGATCCGCGCCATGATTAGCGAGCTTTCGCTCAAGTCTGGCGGCGAAATGGAGGTTTTCCTCCTCGTTCAAGTCAAGGACAACAAGCTCAACCCGTTCGATGACGACGAAGTCTACCAAGATATTCTGACGAAGCACATCCCCCCGGAATTCCATGGCATCACCGTTTTGTGGAACGATCAGCAGGTGTGGGATATTTACACCGAACTGAAGGACGAGAATGAGCGAAGTGTCCACACGGCGCAATGGCTCTCTGTTCAGAAATTCAGCCAAGATCACCCCGAATACGACTTTATCTGGAACTGGGAGATGGACTTCCGCTTCACCGGCCACCACTATGAGATGCTCGACAGTATTGGCAAGTTTGCCGCCAAGCAGCCGCGTCGAGGTGCCTGGGAAAGGAGTGACCGGTTCTATATCCCTGAACACCACGGCGATTACGACACGACCTTCCGAAAGGAAATCGAGGAGGCTTATGCCGGTGACACCATCTGGGGCGCGCCCGAGCTGCCGTTCATCACGCCCGTCGGCCCCAAGCCTCCCGTTAAGACGCCCGAAGAGGATAACTACACATGGGGTGTGGGCGAAGATGCCGACTACATCGCCCTCGGCCCCATCTTCGACCCTGTCAACAGCAACTGGATCATCCGCGATAATGTTTGGGGTTATTCAGACGCAACGCACAGGGCCCGTGACCTCCCTCGCCGCACCACCATCGTCACCCACTCTCGCCTCTCGAAGCGCTTGTTGGATATCATGCACGTGGAGAACTTGCGTGGAAACCATGTCGCATCCGAGATGACTCCTCAGACTGTTGCCCTGCTCCATGGCTTCAAGGCCATCTTCGCCCCCCATCCCGTCTTTACCGACCGAGACTGGAACGGCAAGTTTCTCCAATCGTGGTTCAACCCGGGCCCCAGGGGAGAATCTGGCGGCTATGGCAGCCCGTTTGGCTGGGGCAGAGAGCGACGATTCCAGGGTCATTCTTGGTACTATCGAGCGGAGCCGCCGAACCGAATGTACAACAACTGGATGGGCTGGATCGACACTGGTATGGGAGGCGAGGCGTGGGAGAAGGAACACGGACGACCTTGCCTACCGTCCATCTTGCTGCACCCGGTCAAGGATACCAAGCCCACTAAGGAGGGCCACAAGACTGGCTTCGAGCTCTTCTACGGCTAAGGAGTTCGATATTGCTCCGAGGTTGAGCTCATTCATTCCCCTCCAGCTCCGGTTCAGTGCATGTCTATCTGACTGGGCTTCACTCTGGTGTGGCAGCTGCTGTTTCAACAGTTTTCACCATGCCGTTTCTCCCTTTTATTCTTCTTCTCTTCTTCTGCTCTCCCTATTACTGTCCTTTCAGGATACCCCTTTATGGTTTTCTCACTAAAACGGCAACGGCTGCCGCCGGGTCGAGCAGTCTGCCGATTAGGTAGGCGCTTTCAACAGGAGGAAGGATGTACTATGATTGTTGACAAACGCAAATGTTCATGGCAACTTGAGGTAACGTACGTGGAAAATGGGCGAGATGCGAACAAGCCCGGCGTTTTATAGTTTCTTATGATGGCACCGGATGGTTACTTCCTGTGGTTGTTGATGGTTACTCTACGTTATTATTTTTTGCATGGCGGTGTGATGAGGTGAAGGGAACTTGGCCTTGTGCGTGGAAGAGAACACGGACGGAGTTTTTGTCTTAGAGAATTGCATCATGTCTTGCCGGCCCTGTTTCCGCAACAAGACAGGGGATGAGGCTGAGGAGGAGGCAGGTTGAGGTTGATGCTCCTCTGAATAATGTTTTGTAAGAATTGATAAGGAAAAGTGCTCCTGCAAAAGCGTGCCCACGTGCCTTGAGAACTACAAGCAATATCTGAAGGCTTGAAGAAAGGAGACAGGACGTTCTTTGGAACTGTATCATCGTCCTCAAAGATTACAGAATCCTGTGAGAACAAAAGGCTCATGTTGCTTCATGTCAAATCCATTGCGAATCGGGGCCGGATTAACTCGGCGTGCCCCACGACTGTTACCGCTAGATGCATTGTTGGATCTTGCTTATTATTCCAACTCCGTGTGAATTTTGAATCGGACCTGTTGCTCTTCTCATACAGGCTGATAATGGCCACATTGCGCGTCGAATGGGACTCTCTCATTTACTGACACGAATAAACAACACACTCAGTAATGATTCGGCATCCCGTCCATCGTAGAGCTCTTGTTCCACCATCCGGGTGAAGCGGGCCTTGTTTTCTAGAGGGAAGCAATGCGTTTATCCGACCTCGACTCACGATGAATCCGTTTCCCAGCGTGAGTGCACATCTACAACCCCCTCAACCCTTCCTGCTTTTTTGGCAAGAAAAAAAAAATCAAATCTAACTTGATCGTGGATATTGTAATTGCCAGACGCCCACGCCGCGACGGTTTTTGTTGCCCGGGCGAGCGACCCAATCGTCGTCGCAAACGCCGGGTGCTGCGCCGCCTCCGCGATTCCAGTCCACGCCGCGGTTTGGCTCCTCTTCGGCGGCTAGGCCGACACAGCGGAGGGAGCTTGATATCGAGGAGTCTGATGAGCAAGATGATGATGATGACAAGTCTGACGAGGAGGAGGTTGTGTATGAGTCGAGTCTGTCGGGGGACGAAAGGGGGGCTGCTGCGGCTAGTTCACGGCAGCGTGTGCTTGAGATTGAGTCCGATGCTGGGGTTGTCTCTTCTCAGCAAGACGCCTTGTCCGACGGGGAAGATGGCGATGGGAGATTGAGGACACGTTTACGGTTTGACATTGAGGAGGAGAGCGTGGGTGAGAGATCTTGGGAGGCGGAGATGGGGAGGGGAGCGAAGAGGCGGAAAGTGTCCATTTCGCCGTCGCCGTTGCTCGGGTCTCCGGGTACGAGGGATGCGGAAGAAGAAGAAGAAGAAGAAGAACCTGCACTTGGGCTTCTCCATGATGAGACCGACGCAGACCCCGAAGAAGACGGAGCAGCATCGGTGATGAGCATGGATAGCAGCGAGGGCTCGCCCATAACGATGCGCAACTCCAAGGCCCCTCGCCAACCCATCTTCCAGCCGGCACCAAGGTTCAAGCCCCTCGACGCCGAAGATATTCTTAGCGGAGGTCTTCCCGCGGTGTTTTCACCACAGAAGAGAGGAGCGAGGTATGTCTCTGGAGGGATGGCGGCTCAGCTACAAGGATGGCTTTCAGAAGTCAGGATGTGGGACGAGAGCAATGACATGGCCGAGTCGTCGTCGGCGGTGCTCAAGCTGCACGTGGAGCGGATTCGGCCGGGGAGGAGAATGTATCTCGTGGACGGGCGTGTGTTGTTGTCCTCGGAGGAAACATCTAAGAGATGGATCTTGGCTGGGGAGGGAAGACTGACGGGACTGGGGAAGAGGGCGGTGGTGAAGGAGGGGAGTGTGGTGGTTGTTGGGCAGCCGATGTGGGATGTTGAGGTGGAGGGGGAATTGTGGAATGTTGCTTGCGAGTGGAGTGTGGAGGGGACTTGAGGCCAGTTTGGAGTAGATTTTGTATCTCATGTCTTGGAGTTTTGTTGGATGTTCCGTGGTTTTGCGTATTTGGGGGGTCGAGTGGTGATGATGCATCTAGGCAGTATTTGCATCAAGCGCGAATGAGGGGCCAATTGAAGTTGTGCACAACCACTCATTGCCGTACCCTGGAGCTCAGCAAACAATCACCGTGAACCTCAACTGAGCCTTGCGAAAAAGCGAGTCTATCCCTCTATCAACTACAATCTTCTCTCATAAAAGCTCGCTTGAAATGATATACCCATCATGATACGACCATATATTGCCGGAACGTTCGCCCCAAGGCTGAGATTAGCCTTCCCACAAAGGCAATGTTTCTCATCTGGGACTACGAGAAAAGCTTCCGACCCGCTGCGGATACTGTTTTGCGGCTCGGATGCCTTCAGCTGTGAATCCTTGCGGGCGTTGCACCGGGAGCATGAGACGAACAGCGGCCTTGTCGAGGCGTTGGATGTGATGGTATTGCCGCCGAGGCGGACTGGCAGGGGATTCAAGGAGATCAAGGAGGGTAAGGCTGTATTTGCTGCCTTCTGAAGATGTGATATGGCTTATGTGGCATATGTATGCTGATGAACGAGACACAGTGCCGTGTAAGTCTGTTGCAGAGCATCTGGGACTAAGGATACACCAACGGGAGACGTTTAGAGGCTGGAATGTAGGTTTTTGTTTCATACGGTTTGCTATATGGGAAAAGATGCTGAAACGCAAATATATATAGATGCCGGAAGGGACCAATCTGATTGTGGTCGTCTCGTTCGGACTCTTTGTGCCCCCGAGGATATTGAAGTCTGCAAAATATGGGGGATTGAATGTTCACCCGTCACTCTTACCGCAGTAGGTTTCTTCATTCCCCCCCCCGTAGCCTTATGATTCGATAAGACAGATCTGAGTTGACGGAGTATTACTGCAGTCTACGGGGACCAGCTCCCATACATCATGCCATGATGCGCGGAGACGAATACACGGGCGTCTCTCTTCAAACGCTGGACAGCAAAGCTTTCGACCACGGCACCGTCCTCGCCCAGACACCCTCTCCCGGCTTACCGATACCGGCCGATGCCACGCTCCAGCAGCTCACAGACAGCCTCGCCAAGGTAGGCGCAGAGATGCTCGTCCAGGGACTGCGAGACGGGCTGCATGTGCCGCCGTATAGGGATGCAGGGTGGATGGCCGAGCAACTACTTGCCGAAAACGATGATGACGAGCAGCAACTGGTTCACGCGCCAAAGGTTGGCAAGGGGGAATCACAGATCAACTGGCTGGAGTGGAAGCCCTTGGATTTTGAGCGGTTTGTTAAAATCTTTGGTACGGTTTGGACGCATGCGAGGAACGACAAGGGCAGGTTCAAGAGGGTGCTTTTCTTGGATGCGCAGAGCGTGCCGCCTGCGGAAGAGGTGGCGGGGAGAGAGGAGGAAGCGGTATTTCGGGTCGTTGAGGCTGGGGGTGAAGGGAGGGAGGTTCAGAGGACTGTAAGGGTCGATGATGAGCGTGATGCGGTCTATGTGCGGACGGCGCAGGGGGGGTGGGTGCGTGTGAGGAGTGTCAAGGTTGATGGGAAGACGACGCAGACGGCGAGGATTGGCCTGAGGGAGTTTTTGAAAAGATGAATGAATAACGAAGCTGGGCTGTATATCACTGGAGGCACAATGCGTGATACAAAGTCACATCCGGTACCAGAGCATCTCCAACCAGCTCCCTATCTACGGATACCTATAGAGATAATGTCTTTAGATACGTTCGAGTGGAATATAATGAGAATGCAAGCATACGAGCCATCCACATGAAATGCGAGACAGCACCGGCAAGCCCTACCTTGGCAGCATTCAGGAGTTCGCTCCCTCGCAGCTATACCTCGTATTTGCCAAATGAGGCAGCGAGAAAGCCCAAGCTGGAGAAGCAAAGGAGATGAGAAGCAAGAAAAGCGTACGATGCTATTCAGAACCTAGCCAAACACGAAGAAAAGGGCCTGCCACGCATGCAAGGTTGCTGGCCTCACCCCTCTCAGGCGCAGGGGATGGATGATGGCGAGGCGAATGGGCTCCCGGCTGCATACAGCCGTGGTACGTGTACTCGGCAAAAAGCTTGGGCGTAGAGAAGCTGTTTAGGTAACTTCTTCTGGGACCCGGACGGTAAGGTATGATCTGGCTGATTCCTAGTAGCAGCATTGGAAAGAACTTTGAACAAACGATCGAGTTTGAGGGCGAGTACTCGTATTGGAGGGTTCCCCTGAAAGAAGCCTTGGAAGCAGAAGACCTCGATTCCTGGAGTGGAGTTGACACTTCGAATACGTGTAATTCGCACCCAGAGACAAACCATCCATGTAGAAAGAGAAGAAGAAAACAGAATTGCTCAAAGAAAAACTTGGAAGTGGGCTTTGCTTTGCCTTGTTCTGTCTCCACAGCGGGCGATGTGTTTCCTGGTTCTTCTTCACCATCGGGCTTCTTGCTGGTGGCTCCCAGTGGTGGTGCATGAAAACGAAGCTGTACTGTAAGGGGTTCAAGGTTCTCTCAAGCAGCGACTGGATCCAATGGTGGTGGTGAAGGTGCAGCAACTGAAACGCGGCTGGGGCAGACGCAGGTGGAGGCCCCCTGGTTCGCTGGGCGGGCTGGCCAATCAGCGGCGGGCCTCGGTGCTTCGGGGATAGGAGAGCATTGAGCCTGACGGGCGCCCGGGTTGTTTTTGGCGCCCTGAAACATCCCGGACGTTGTTATGGAAGGTAATGATAATACTAGTGAGTGAGTGGTGTGTCCGACGGATGTACGAGTGAAAAGTGATATTGACCGGGAGTTCCAGTTGATGCTTGTGGTAGGTTGTACTTGTATATACATACCTTACGTACAACAGCCTTGAAGAGATCAATCGGAAGCGCGGGAGCCAGGATTCCGTTCGCTTGGGATTCGACATGGAAGGAACGTTGGGAGGATGGAAATGAACGACTGCATCAGCATCAGGAGATTGCACTTGCATTCTGCATCTGTCATGTCTAATGCTGTGCACCTCACACCATCAATCTTTGTTCATGCTTGTCCATGATACTCTTTCCTCTCTGAAAGAAGAAAAGCCAGATTGTTTACTGTGTTCCGCCTCGAAACCGGGGCCGAGATGCTTCTCGCGGGTCGTCTGAGATGCATCGCTGCGCCAAGATTAACGCGAGGGCCAGTCAACCAGTCTCTCGTCCTCCACCGGGCGCGGATCTTTCTGCAAAAAGACAACAAGTTCAGGATATCACAGGGCAATCTCAAGTCAACCGCAGACTCGCCACGCGAAGCACGGACAGCAGATACATACGACCAGTGACCTACGATTCCATGTCCCCTCGTGCCGCCCATCCTGCGTGGCGCAGCGTTTCGGCGAATACACCCGTGTGGGACTTGCACATGCCGTTGACAGGAGGTGCCCACAGGAACCAACGACTCGGCTTCGCCAGGCACAGCGTCTGTCCATTCTGCAGCGGACGTCTGGAGTCGGATAGGCCGGAGCGTCGAGGCAGAGCTGCGTCTACGTGTACTCGTATGTACAGCTTATCACAGCGGCATCACCTCTGCGCACTGGCAAAAGGCGGCACCTGGAGCAGATCCTGGTACGCAGCATGTATCTCGTATCAAGCACGCATTGGCCTGGCACCCTTATGCCGGGGATATCCCGTTGAAATTGAGGGTGATTACTCCGTATGGAGAATCGAGTCCAGATGCTATCGCCATGCTGACATCCTGGATGAGAGCTCGCCGCAGGGCCGGAATTGACTTGCCGCCCTGAAAGCTGGCGAGGCCTTGTCGATATCTCTGCTGTCTGGTATACGAGTATGGGCACCCCTCCCTATTTCACGCCGTATACTGTATGGATGCAAGGTGTGGCAACCAAACAACTGTTACCACCCAATACCGCGCTCCGTACCCGTACGGACTCGGACCTTTCTTGATCGAGCAAGGGTGCTGAAGAAATCTTCAAGGAAGTTGAGAGGTCCAGAATCAATGTTTCGCCCCTGGCACCATGCAGTTCCTGCATTAGCGGCTCCGTCGTCAGAAGGGGGGATGGGATGATTCACCCTCTGCAGACTGCACCGCACATGGCTTTCGGTACGAAGCAGGACAGCAGTTCATGCTTGGACAGAACTGCCATCCTGGGATAGCACGGTAATACCTACATGGTATTATCTCGTAACTGGTCTCCTGAATGCTTGGCTCCCGCGTCGTGATCTCGAAATTTTATCCGCGGCTTTTCGAACTCGACTTGGTTCCCGCTGAATACCTCTGCTGGTTCCAATGCTCAGCATCGGGCTATCGGACTGCAATCTCGCCATGCTATTTCTGTCTGTTTTGTCTGCGATCCAAGGCAGTAGGGCTCGTGTCCGTTGCCACTCTGGTTCGGCTCCTCTCCCGGATCAGCTGCCTGATTCGCTCCCCCCATGTTCTCTTCCAGTGAGTGATTGGACAGAGCCTTGCTGTTTTCCACACGCCCAAGATGGGTCCATGCCAGCAACAACCCCTGATCTTTCTGGCTATTGCGCGCATATGCTCGATACGGATACCCCCCTGATTCTATGGGATCTGACAGTGGGCAACAAGGACTCCGCCCAGCCTAGGAGGCCGTTGAGGACTCACTTACAGGCCGTAACATTGTTGGCCTTGGTTGCATGAGGCATTGCCGCCCATGGGCAGCCTTCTCGTAACGGATACAGGGGTGGGAGACGTTGCTATCTAAAAGAAGGACGACTGCCCACTTCAAGCGTCTCATTCATGCTCCTTCGTCGTCCGTTTTGCTCTTCCCATTAACGACAACTTTGAGCTTGATGCTCGTCCTCTGACGTATCGTACGTCCAAAACACACTCATTCCAACCGAACACCAAGAGAAACCAGCCATTCATTCTAAACGATTCGAGATTCAAACAATCCTTAACTGTCGAGACGACTTTTCGAAATGCCTTCTATCAACGCCCTTAGCGCGGCCTTCCTGGCTGCCGCTGGTAGTGCTGTTGCTACTCAGTTTACATTGACCGATACCTACGATCACACCAACTTCTTTGACAAGTTCACTTTCAACGACGTACGACCCTCCTCATGTTATATGGCTTCTGGCTGGTTTAACGCAATGCCTTGCTAACGATCTCTATATTTAGTCGCCTGACTCCAACTCGGGATTCGTCGTCTACCAGAGCCAGGCCGATGCTGTGTCTTCGGGCTTGGCCAAGATCACCAGCAACAACGAGGTCTACCTTGGTGTTGACCACAGCACTGTCCTCAAGGGCGCTGGCTTCCCCGGCCGTAACTCCATCAGACTCGAGTCCAAGGCTTCTTACAAGCACGGCCTCATCGTCGCCCGATTCACCCACCTGCCTACCAACCGCTGCGGTAGCTGGCCTTCCTTCTGGACTCTGGGTGACAGCTGGCCCAACGATGGAGAGATTGACGTGTACGAGGGCTGGAACAACATTGTCAACAACCAGCCTGCCTTCCACGTCGGCGACAGCAAAACCTTTGGTCAGTGCATTCTCGAGAGCGCTGGCCAGACGGCGTCTGTTGCTACGAGCAACTGTGACAACACCTTCCAGAGCCCCCCTAGCCAGTACCTCAACCAGGGATGCCAGGCCACCGATAGCAATGGCCCTTGGGCTTCCAGCAACGGCGGTACCTGTAAGTGAACAACTTCACCGTACTCACTGGGCAACGTGCATATATCTGACTATCAACCTAGATGCCATTGAGTGGACCAGCGACTACATCAAGCTGTACAACTGGGCTCGCGGCTCCGAGCCTGCCAACCTGGCCTCGGCCACGCCCGACACCGCTACCTGGGGTACTCCCGCGGTCAGCCTGCAGAACTCCAACTGCAACATCGACAGCCACTTCAACAGCCAGCGCATGATCCTCGACATCGACTTCTGCGGCAACCCCGTGGGCACCCCCGCCTACTGGCAGCAGGGCTGCTCCGCCTCCACCGGCCAGTCCACCTGTGCCGACTACGTCGCCAAGTTCCCCGGTGACTTTGCCGAGACCTTCTTCCAGATCCAGGACATCCGCTACTTTACGGAGGGTGCTAGCAAGCCTGCTTCGTCCTCTGCCGCTGCTTCGTCGTCGGTTGCCGCTTCGTCGTCTGTCGCTGCCTCTTCCCCAGTCGCCGTCCCGACGTCCGTGATTGCCAGCCAGCCCGGTGCCCCTGCCTACCCCGTTCCTGGGAACAGCACCACTGACTACTCTGTTCTCCCCACCGGTGGCGCTTACCCCGTTCCCCCGAGCGGCCCCGAGACCATCACCACTGATATTACCGTTGTTCACACTATCACGAGCTGTGCTCCTGAGGTGACCAACTGCCCGGCCCGTCACTCTACCCAGGTCATCCACACTACCATCCCTGCTCAGCAAACTGGTTCTGCGGCTCCTGTCGTTTCCTCTGGTGCCCCTGCTGCTCCCAGCGGTGTTCCCGGTGCTCCTAGCCCCTCATACGTTGTGCCTGCTGGCCCTGAGACCATCACCACCGACATCACTGTTGTTCACACCATCACCAGCTGCGCTCCTGAGGTGACCAACTGCCCGGCTCGTCACTCTACCCAGGTCATCCACACTACCATCCCTGCTCAGCCAACTGGTTCTGCGGCTCCCGTCGTTTCCCCCGGCGCCCCTGCTGCTCCCGGTGCTCCTAGCCCCTCATACGGCGTGCCTGCTGGCCCTGCTCCTTCAAACGGTCCCAGCGGTCCTGAGACCATCACCACGGCCATCACCGTTGTTCACACCATCACCAGCTGCGCTCCTGAGGTGACCAACTGCCCGGCTCGTCACTCTACTGAGGTCATCACCACTACGTACCCTGCTCCTCAGCCCACCGGTGTTGCGCCTCCGGCTGCTCCTCCTGTTGGTTCCGCTCCCGCCCCTAGCGTCCAGCCTGCTCCTCCCGTTGCCCCGGTCCCGGTGCCTAGCTATCTGCCTGTTCCCTCTGCGGCGCCAGCTCCGGCTCCTCCTGCTGGCTCTGCCCCTGCTGCCCCTGCTGGCTCTGCTCCTGCTGCTCCTGCTGGTTCTGCTCCTGCTCCTCCGGCTGGTTCTGCTCCCGTTGCTCCGGCTCCGGCTCCCAGCTCTCAGCCTGCTCCCCCGGTTGCCCCGGCTCCGGCCCCGGCTCCTCCTGTTGCCCCTGCCCCTGCCCCTGCCCCTGTGGCACCCGGCAACGGCACCGTTTCCACCCTGATTTCTGTCCCTACCGGCCAGGCTCCGGCCCCCTCCAGCAGCGCGGGCTGCACTGGTATCGACTGTCTGCCTTTCCCCAGCAGCGCTACCCGCACCGGCATGAGCACCCTTGCTCTCGTTGGCGCCGTGGCCGTTATGCTGTTGTAAGTGGTATGATTCTGACGAGAGAGGATAGATGAGATGAGAAGAAAAGAGGAGGATTGCATTCAAAAGCTCTGGTCAAGTAGCTACAAATTAATCAAGGCGTTAGTGTTGGATACTAAGTCATGTGCCCCCATATTGAATGTGGGTGGACGTATATACATTTATAGAGTTGGATCCGCGGATCTATGTCATACCTTCTGATAGTTACAATTTTACCATTTTTCTTGTCTTTTTTACAAAACTCGAGGGCCTTGCACGAAATGTGTTGTAGTTCAGTGGTGTTGAATACCGTCAAATTCATGATGCTATAGAATACGGGACCTCCCAAGCAACTACCTACCTTACCCAGTATACCCAAAAATGAAAGTTTCAAGAGCTCCGTCTCCAAACCCCCTTCACTCCTCAGGATCCTCAAGGTGCGTCTCAACAGCCATCTCCACCTTGCCATCCCCATCAGGACAATACCACGCCGTAATAATCCTCACCTCCCCCTCTCTGAGCCTCTGCTGCTGCCGCTCCCCCCCACACGCCGTCTTCGCAAGCTGCACGAGCCGCGCCCAATGGCCCCTCGGAACATTGGTCTCCTTGAGGCGGTCGCTCAGCACGTCGTCGGCCGAGATCCAGTACTGGACTTTTGCGGGCGTGGACCCGTGGGCGGGCTGGATGGAGATGCGGTGGTAGTGGCTGATGCTGGGTAGGGTCCTGCTTTTGGAGGAGGACGGGAGGGAAGAGGATGGCTTTGAGGAGAGGCGGAGGGGGGCGGTGGATGCGGTTGAGGGGTGGGGGGAGAAGAGGGGGGCTGGGATGAGGTTGCGGAGGGAGTAGGGGGTTGGGTTTGAGGGGCGGAGGGGTGGTGAGGGGGGCATCTTTGGGGGAAGGGGGGGAAGAGAGTGAGGGTGATGGGGAGGGGGTGATGGGGGATTGGGATTGGGGTCTGTTGTCGGGATTGGTGGTAAGGACTGTGAGAAGGGTTTGAATGTGGTTGTGATATGAGAGAGTGTAGTTGGGTTGGGTTGTGATGGAAGGGAAATGGAGAGGGTGTCCGGGAGGGAGATGATGATAATTGATATAGACAAGGCAGAAAGGACCTGATGAAGTTGGACGTATGCTGCGTTAGGATTGTACCGCGAGTGTTCAAAATCTGAATTTGGAGGAGAGGAACAGTCCAGGGACAAGACAACTTGCTTTGAACATCACGAAAAAGGGGCTAAACTCGTTCATTCATGAATCCAAACATGGAATGGGAGCAAACACATTCTGAACACAAACAAGGCGATAGACATAGAGTAGTTCAACCGGGTATCGAAAATGTTTATTCATCACTGAGATTTAGTTTCAACACAAGCGCGTGCGTATCCATTCAGCCCACTTACACAGATCCTCCAGCCGTTCAAGCGCCTTTCCAAGATCCTGCCTATTCAGCACCTTGCTCCTCCCGCTCGCAACTTGGTGTTCAACAACGTTCTCGTTGACGATTTCCACAACGCCGCCTTCGAGAATGCGAAGGGTAATGTCAATGGTGGAGTTTTTGACGGGGAAGACGACTTGTAGATATGGCAATGGATGAACCCATATTATGACATCAATGTCCATGTCTTTGCCGGTCTTCCTCTTTCCGCGCTTGACGCTGCCGTTTGATCCTTGGTCTGGTTCCACCTTGACATTCTGTCCTGCTTCTTTTGCTACCCCGTTGTTGAGATCCTCATCATCGCTCGATTCCAGGAACGCTGCTAGTTCATCCTTGATCGTTTGTGTGGTAGCAGGAGGAGCACTCGTATCCTTGGCCGGCCTTGGCAAGGCCTCCTTTGTTCCTGGCCCAAAGCTATTGTTCAGCAATATAGACAAGAAAGCATACTGCCGTAGGAGAGGAAGCATGTCAATGAGCTGGCGTGGATGCGAAAAGGACATCTCAGTGACTTCCTGAGAATAGATTGGCTTATAGACAAAAAGGGTATTGTGATGACTCCTGGTGAAGGACTGCCCCTGCTGGTCGAAAACAAGAACGTCCCGCAGGCGTGTAACCGTCCGAGGTTCACTGGGGTCTTGCCTGCTGCCTGCAGATACGGGGAAGAACAGGTCATCAAACGTCGGCGGAGGGAGAGGTCGCTGACCAAAGTCGTTTGAATGATTCGGATTAGGCGGCGTGGAGTTGACATAGGAGTAGAGCCTCATGCAGTCGTTCTGCGGAAGGATGACGGGCGGGTCGAATGTGACGGTAAACGTCACTTGAGGTAGAGTCGAGAGATGCATGTTAAGCACCTCCATGCCGCTGTTCTTATTCCCGTCCGACGATGGAAGCGAAATGTTCTCTGGCTCCTGCCAATCAAGGATGGGGATGTTGGTAGGGTTCAGTGCTTGGTCCTGCTGGTGGAGATCCTGCTTGACCACATCCTTGGAGATCCAGTCTTCAGACACTCTCACGGGGGACATGCCGAGTGATTCGATGGGCGCGCAGCCAATCAGAAGCGACCAGACCTTCTCCTCGTTCTCCGAGAACGATGCCAGTCTGTCGTCGGAAGGCGGCACGAATCTCAGTTCCTTCCAGTACTGCAAAGCGAGGCCGACCTTGTTTCGTGCATGCATGACAGGATAGCCGTGTCTCGTACACAATGCAGTCAGAGACAAGTACTGATCCGACTTGCCGGCCACCTCCGGCTCTTTCCGCAGGTTTGAGAGATCCCATTGGTGCAGTCTATCCAAGCTTGTAAAGATGCCCGCCAAGGCCTCATAGCAGTCGAGGCCTGGGATGACGCTGAGCTTGTCCAGGTTGGCTATATACCCAAAATTGGAGGCGAACTTGTCCAGAGTCTTTGTCAGGGGGCTTTGGTTAGGACCGAGCTTCAAGTCTGCTAGTAGAATATGGCTAGCCGACTCCATATGCGCGGCGACTGAAGTTGCTGAGCCATGGTAAGTTAGTGATACGTTTTGGACAATGTTGTTGTCGAGTACAATGTCGACGGCAATGGCAGAGCCTGCAATTGCCAGTGTCTTCGTCTTCCGTCCGTCCGCCGCCGTGTGTTCTTCGGAGAGTAGTTCGAGGCCGAGGCGCTGAGCAAGTCGTTCCAGGCCAGCTTCGCTGACGAAGCCCTTCTTCTGCTGCGGCGGCACGTCAGCTTTCGGGATCTTGGTGTCTATAGGGAAGCAACACACAAACATTCAAGAGTTTGAGAATGTTATCCAGCCTCTTAAGCTTGTCATCCTCAGTAGCAAACACGCCCAGCGTGTCCAGCCCGCCGACATGATCGAGGCCCATATCAAAACTACCGCCAATTCCCAGTGCCCCCATGGCGGCAGCAGTCGAGGGGCTATCGAAGTTCAGAGCGCCGATGCCCGACTGGCCCATCAGCGTCGACGTGGCTGGCGATTTCTTAACTTGCTGAGGCGACGAGCGCTGTCCGCGAGGCGAGAATGCGGCCTGGGCGGGATTGGAGAAGGGCGTCGAGATGGGAGGCGTGGCTCCGGCAATCTGCGATGGCGTCGGGCCCTGATGCGACGGTGTGCGGCCCTGCTGCGAGGGCGCGTGCCTCATGGGCGTTGGGGTCGCCATTGTGAATCGGGGTGTATGTTTCGTAGCTGAGCTGAAATCCTACGGATCGTGAGATACGAACAGGACAGAAGAGAGTTGAGGTGCTCGGTATTGGGAAGGTTGAGAAGCCGAAAAGGCGAGAGCGCCGTTTGCCTGTCGGTCAGCCCTTCGATTCCATCAGTTACGAACCCATGAAAGGGTACATGCGGTGGGTAGAGCAAGCGAGTGACGATGAACCGGTGGCTCCTGAAGTGGTGCGTGAAGCTGTAGTTTCGAGCTGGTGGTGGTTGAAGAGGTTGAGCTTGAGCATTTCACAGCCTTGTGCCGGCCCGACAGCTTAGCGGCAGAACCCACTGAAAGAGGGTACTTGGGCCCCCGCAAATTTGTGGCCTACAGGCGAGTACTGGACTAGCCTTCTTGTTCTAATGGGCGAGGCTGCAGTTCCATGATTTCTCTTCTCTTCCGCCCAAGATTTCGGATCGCATCTTGATGGCATCGATTGGAAATGCGGCCCGGCAGGTTCGGGACCGGGTCCTTAGCGAACGATCGATACGCGTGCTCGTGACGCCCACGCCAATCACCTTTGCCGAGCGCCGCTCCGTGCTGCAGGTGCTGGAGCAGTATGGCCCTGTCGAGTTCTTCAAGATGACGCCCGTAAGGCCCCGTCCATCCAAGATCGCATACCCGGGACACATGAAGCAAGATCTAGCTACCTAACCAGGCAATCTGTGGAATCATCATGCAGGGCTATCATGCCAACTTCGTATCCATCACCAAAGAGTCCACGACGGCAGAGCGATTGGTTGCCAGCAGCCCTCTCACATACAAAATCACGGAGCCTGTTCGCAGCGCCGTGGAAGACATCTACGTCGCCGATCTAGACGAACCCGAGAGCTTCAGCACAGCCCAGCCGACGATAACAGGGGAGCAGAGGCGCAATGCGAGCCCGTTGCCCAACGGAATCAATCAGAGACCGGAAGAGGGCCTGAAGCAAGGGCAGCGGGAGTTTATGCTGGAAATCTTCCCTGTGCCCGAATTCAACCACAGATTTGCCATGGCCGGATCACTGCTGCACGGCTCCTGGCCTGAGGGTTACGAAGGGGATCAGTCCTTCATCGCGACGACACTGCAGCAATCGCTGCCCAAGAGCATCGCCAGCAAGGGCCTTGTGCACTGGATGGTAGGTCCAAGCCCTCGGATGGTGGCTCCAGACATCAGGCCAAAGAATCCTCGCAAGGAAAGGAGGCTGCAAATCAAGGGATGGCTGCCCAGCCTGATGAAGAAGGGCACGACTGAGTAAGCCAGCGGGATCGTCGTTTGCGATATTACTAGATGCGCGCAGGGCTGCTGCAACGAGGAGGAGGAGTACAAATTACGCCGGCCCTTGTCGCAACGCTGGTCACGCTGAACGCTTGTACTGTACATCCAAGTACGGAGTACAATGGAGATGGCGACACATGGATTGATTGCAAGAGGCTGGTTGTCGCACACGATGTCACTCCACTCCCAAATCTCAATGTCTCAAAAGGTGACGCCAATTAATTTGCGAAAAAAACCAAGGCAGGGAAACAAGCATCGGTCAAGCGGCGGTAGGGCGGCGGAAGGAGAAACAATTGAAGTCTTTGCGAAATGGAACAAAGCGCTCGAAAACAAGAATGTGATGGAGGATGGACTATTGCCCAATGAAGAAGTCGATGATGATGGATCTGCGCTCTCTTTGCAACTGGAACTGCTCAGTTCACAACGTACGAGGTACGGCATGTACAAGTCGGGCCATCATCATGTGCGCATAAGGTAACCATGCTGTAATCTGGAACATACGAGACGGCTCCATCGCCGATGATGTGGCCACGCATTCGGGGGGCTAAGGGGGCTTGGGGGACTTGGCCCGACGGGGATGCGCAAGGCTTGAACCACCAGAATCATCGACTTACGTCACGAGGGAAAAGCCATCCAACGCGAGCTACGACGACTAGCACAGCCCATGACACCGTCGTGGTGGTTGTGGCCCAGGGCAGTGGCGCATCACCTCCAGATTCCGCTTGCTGTGCCGCTGCTGTGCTCTCACCTCACCTCACGTTGTCTCACGATCAAAAGGAGTGCTTGCTTGTTGAGCGGCTCATGTCTGGCCGCGGCCGAGACTGGAGACGGGGCGGAAGAGAGTCCAAGCTGCTCAAGCCTTGTTCCATGTGATTTTGACAGCAGAAGACCTCCAGCCGCGTCTCGGTTCAGACCAGACCGCCACACCACGGCCCCTGTTCCAAGTCGAATCGGGCTTGGCCTGGCACCAGGCAGACCCATGCTGTGGCTCCAAAAGCAGGGCAGCGAAGCCACCCGGCTCTACGTCACCCGCAGCTGCTCGTGAACCCTCGAGGCCCTGGAGCCGTGATCCGAGCGAGCTGCTCTGTACAGTAAGTGGTACTACTTACGAAAGACTTTGTACAGTCGGGCCTTGCGCGCAGGGGGAAGCGGTACCCGGCTTGTGTCTTTGACCGTGTTTGTTTGGAATCTTTCCACCGTTACACAAGGGAAACAAAGCTTCTTTTGAGCACAGTGCCATGGTTGGCCCGAGACATCTGACGGGCGGAGCTGAGCCGCCAGTTGAAAAAGATTTGCATGAGACTTGGTCCAAGCATCGTTGGTGTTGCGAAGCAATGCTTCTGCCGCCTGTGTGAGTGAGCACGTATGAAGCTGGGAAGTGCTGAGTGCTGAGGACATGCAAGACATGTTATGCCCCGGTTTGTCGAGGGCATCACCTCCCAAGTACCGAAGGCTTCTTCTCGTCTCTCCTTGTCCATTCACACGACTTGTACGCTCGTGGCATCGCGCTAGCCAGGGATGATTCGCGTTGTTCCCCCCATAGACCAACAATCTGCTAGCCGGGGGTGGATCCTGATGCCCGTCCACGCATCGCATCCAGACACCCAAGCCCTGCCCATCGCAGAGACCAGAAGCCAGCACAGGGCACCGCTTGGCAGCTCAGTCAGGGTCTAATTCGTTCGTCTCCATGACGTCGCTGCCCTGTGGCACCCAACCTGCCGTCGGCGGCCGCTGCGCCCTCGTGAGACAACTCTCGAGCCGTGCGCTGGCTTATATGCTGACCACTTTCCCTCCCTTTTTTCTGCTGTCCCCTTGCTTTGACCACTCCCTTTGACATATCTATTTGTTCACAGCCAGACCTCTCGTTTTCCATCTTCCGTCTCCATCCAGGCTTGATCCCATTCACGACATCAATCCCACGGTTGGAAGCTTATACCATCTCAGTCGTACATCAGCGATACTACATACACAGCTGGTCCTCGAGGACACAACACACCTACAACACAGTAATTGTAGCTTGACTCGAAACTCTTCACCACCATGGGTGTCGGCACATTCTTTCACTACTTCGGCACGGTGCTGCTGCTCGCTGCCACGGCGCTCCTCATCGTCGTGTCCGTGACCGCGCCCGTCGTCAACGACCTCTCTCTCCTGAAGATCAACTTCAGCGGCAGCAGCTCTGTGGACAGAATAACATTTGGTACATTTGGTTACTGCATTCAAAATTCAAAGTACGTATTTTCTTCAAACCACATCAACTTCCTGACGACGACGACGGACCATATCAGGGGGAGCATAGCAATGCTAACATCTTCATTGCAGTGGACATGATACATGCACCCACTCTCACGTCGGCTACCAGGGCACCGACGCCCTGACGCAGGTCACCTCCCTCAACTTCTCCAAGTCGGACCGCGACGGCTTCAGGATCCTCACAAAGGTCATGATCCTGCACCCCATCGCCGCCGGCCTCACCTTCTTGGCCTTCCTCCTCTGCCTGGGCACCAGCTTCCTCGGCTCTTTTGTCGCCTCCCTCTTCTCCTTCCTGGCCTTCCTCGCCACCGTCATCGCCATGGCCTGCGACTTTGCCGGCTTCGAGATCATCAAGCACGCCGTCAACACCAGGGGCCCGTCCAACGTCGAGGCCCGCTGGGGTCCTGCCGTGTGGTGCATCCTCGCCGCGGCGGCGCTGACGCTGATTGCGACCATCTTGGTGTTTGTCACTTGCTGTGCTGGTCGCGTCAAGAACCGCCGTACTCGTCGCAGCAAGGCCGAGTACTAAAGATGGGGTTGACGTTCCTATGCCTTTGCTATAAGGCCCAAAACAAGAGTTACCTGTTCGGGGTTTGACCCGGCAATTGTTATGGAAACGATTTGAAGCCCGTCCTAAAGGAGAGGAGCGAAAGGGAAAGCAAAAAGAACGAAGATATGAAGAAGGCGAGAACATATGGATATGAACGAAATGTCTTGTTTTAGGTTGCGCGTGTTTGCCAGCGAGCAAGGGGAAAGTTTGTTGATCATGATACCACCCAGGGGGCACGTTAGGCTGGAGGTTGGCTCGTGCCGGGACCTGAACGACTTGTCTCTTTTATGTCCTTTACTTTACATAAACCTAGTACTTAATACTGTAACGACCAATCTTTTATATACTGAATCTTAATACTCGCGGAACATGACTGTTGATGCGGCTGCTTTGAATAAGAAGACTTCGTTCATTTTAGTTGGTGCAGGACATTGTGAGAAGGGTACGTGAGAGACCCGACTTCGTGGAAAAGCTTTGAACTGCAGTCTATATACCACACGACATTGGCGTAGCTCCATCTTCATTATGTCGCCAGCCAAAGCATCTTGCCGATACAGATGAGAGACGAGATGTTGCCCCC